GTCTGTGGCAAGGACACAACAGGAGCTCATTTCTGTTCCAAACCTGTGCATGCTATTTGTGGTGTTGCTGGTGGAGAAGAAGGTTTTGGATCTCAAGTTCAATGTTTTCTTTGCCAAAAGGAACAGTTGATAGTTAATGAAAGAGAGAGAGAAATTCTGTGTTTTCTTGAATGTACCGAAAATTGACCGTGGACCTCTTGACACCAAAAATATTGCTGGAAAGGTAGTTGATTTTAGGAACGGAGTATACAAAATCGGAACGGGTTCTGGAACAATTAAAAATTGGTTTTCTCGACAAGACCTACAGGTGTCGTCTAAAGATTATTACGAAGTTATATCAGAATTGCCAATATCATTGAGGGAAGCTGTAAATTTCCAATCTTTGTTTGGAGGTCAAGGCTTATAAAATGCTTTTGTAAGCCAGCAAAAAACCAATGCCGTACAAAGAGATGCGCATGTTTCAAGAACAAAACACTTTGTACTTCAAAGTGTCACCAAAGTGTCATGCGCCAACAAATGACTGAAAGGTTGTAACACTGACTTTTAAAATTTTTATTCATTTATTGTGCATTCCATGTGAATTATTATATTACTTTTTGTAACTATGTACCAAAGTACCTACTTATTTCTAAATATTTGTTTGTTATACCAAAGTACCTACTTATTTCTAAATATTTGTTTGTTTTCTAAAAATAATTGTGTAACATGACGTGTTTGATGTTTAATTTTGTTACAAAAATTTAATTCATTTTGTTTGTATCAGTCGGACTTAAATAACAATAAACAAGTTCTTAACATATTCTGGATTTTTATTAAATATTTTATGGACACCCTATTTATACGATCCGGCCAAATGTGAATGAAAAAATCGTGAAATGTTGACGATTTAATGGTCTGGTCAAATTAAGTTGCCCACATCATGAAATACGACCATTTCATGAAATTCTCGAGCATTTCATGAAGTGAGCAAATCTAGGATATGGCCACGACATATACACATAGTTGCTACTTTCTTTAATATCTCAACTTTACAGTCCACAAAAGTCAAAAATCATTTACTTATATAAGGTAACACAATGTACACTTATGAACGTCAAATTAAATAGCAGGAGGCTCATCTGATGTTAAGTGATACCGCCCATGGACACTCACATTGCCAGAAGGCTCGCAAGTGCTGCCGGCCTGTTAAGAATAGGTACGCTCTTTTCCAAAGGTGCCTAAGTCGACCTGGTTCGGAAATACTTCAGTGGGCAATCTAGTAGTTAGTCGCTTAAGGGTATTCCTTCACAATGTTTTCTTATAATAATAATTATTTATTTATTGCAAGAATATGGTACAAAAATGTGTGAGGTGGTATAAGTTCGCATATTCTGCCACACACAATGGCGCGCAAATTATTTGTATCGTACAAATCATATCATACTTTATTAAATTTATATCGACTACAGTGTCTCACGCAAATAATCATTTATTGAATAGTAATTTTTTTCCAACCCTAATACACCAAGTCGCTTTTTAAAGACTAGTCGGAAGACACGTCTTTAGACAAGTGTTAATTGCGTAGAAAGTAAAACCTCCCGTACACATTGCAGCGATTAAATACAGCGGCGCCAAAGCTAACATGTAAAACTGCAAACTGGTTATCGTACCGTTGTCTCGTCGGGACTGTCAGTTCGCCATAACGGCCCCTTACAATCAAATAATTCTAATTACTCACTCATGTGTAAATCTTGGATTGAGGTTACGGATTTTTAACGCCTAAAGATGTTTGATATTATCTATGCTTAAAATTGGAGCGCGTCGAATTCAATTTAAATTTATTTGGAGTAAAACCTCCTTTGAAGTAGAAGAACAAAATTACAGAACATATAAATTTGTTATTAATAAAAACTTGACAAATATTTGATTTGGTTTTTTATTATTTAAGTTAAGATTATATTTTAGTATTTTTTTTTTAGATTTAATATATATATGTATATTTAAATGTGAGAACTTGAAAATTAATAACACTTCGTTGTACATACAGAAATATAATATCGCTTTCGAGCGATCTCTTCCAGGCAACCAAAGTGAGAAAAAAGAAGTGCAAAAATACATATATAGACAAAACGAATTGGAACAAAACAAAGCAATTAAAACATAATATGTGAACAGTAAACAGGACTTTATTAAAAAAAAGGACACATGAAAAAGAAAAAGTGCATATGAATTACAATAATTTCAGATCAGTTTCACATCAGTTAGTACGAAAGTTAGGGATACGATGTGAACAGGTAATGTTTGTACAGTATAGATATAGTATCTCATTATAAAAATTCTATTAAAATAAAGGTATTGTCTGAAGTGTTTATTTGCTATTTGTACCTATACTTTACTTTTTTATTTCTTAGAATACACATTCCATTTTGGAACGACGTCAAAAATCCTAAATGTTCAATCGAAATTTTGTATGAATTTTTGTTTTAACTCGACGATATTAATTAAATAAACACGCAAAATGTCTGAAAGAAAATCAAGTGTACTTCGTTGCGAAAACCGCTATTTTCGTACACCAAGGTCATTATTATCGTCACCAATCGATCTCTAAAGGGTACTTCCTATGGAAAACATTTCAAAGTTGACACTAATGCGGAAAAGGTGCTCGGATTGTCAGAGTACGGCCATGGAGCCAAGCCCCCAACGACGTAACAAAAATGAAAAAACTACGACAGGCCAGTGCATGGCACATTCACCTTTAGGATCTTCAATTTATACATATATATATATTCTTAGTCGACCATTATTATGTCACATAATAATGTCGTACAGCTATTTGCTACAGAATTGTATATTGCACTGATTAACGTCTCTAATGCTGTATGTCCTTTAAATTAGTTGCCATACCTTATTACTATATTTTTAACTATATACATAGTTTAAACAAATATTAGTTATACCTATATCGGAGAACAAAGTTTATAGCCACTATTAAATATTGATTTAGTATTTAACTGCCCATATAACGAGTTACTTTTCCTGTTAAAATTCCTTTTTAGTACACTTAGTTAAGTTTATATTACGGCGATAAATCAAACACATTATTATTACAAACACGTATAACAAAATCTAATTTATGCGTCAGCGCAAGCCGGTAACGACCGACATCAGTTAGTGACTGGGCACTTTTGTGATAATTATAATTTACTATTGAAAACCAAAGATAAGCAACCGTGTGACTTCCGTAGAACTCGCCATGCTATCCATCTTGATCCAAGAAACAATATGAACGTAACATTTTGTTGAACATATTGAAGGACTTTATTTACGAATGTGTCCACAAATCTTAACAGTACCTTTCAGCTGTATAGCATAAAAAAAACAAAATAGGACATACTAATATACTAAATCAACCTAATTGTGTTCTTAAATAGATGTATTCAATAGAAAAAAATATTAGTTCTACATCTTCACGTTGTTTTTCAACCTTATAATTTTAGGTTGCAACAAACTGTAATTCAAGACTGAGAATTACGTTAATTCACTGTTCAAATAAGTTCTTAATCTTTTTTATGTGCCGTAGTCACCCTCATTTTGATAGCTCGGTGCTTTCGACAGCTGTTCGGTATTACAAACAATTTTAGCCTTTAAGTATTTAAATCTAAAGTTTGATTTTACAAATTAAATTGCATAATACTATTCCAGAAATGATGTGAAAATAACTAAGACGTAATTTTTAAGTCACTAATTGTTTAAAAAAGGCCTAAATCTAAGTTATAAAAATACTAAAATTCTTTAATTAAAGTTTCTTGTGGACAAGAGACACTTATTGATAATTTTACGGTAAAAAATGTAGTCAGGGAAAGTTAGGAAGACTTAAATTACTCACCGGTAATTTAAAACACTTAAATAAATTCACAAAACTTAAAAATACACAAAATTACAACTTAAAATAAACCTTAAGTAAAGTTTTTAGTAATAAATATCAAGCTTAAAGTAATTAATCGAAACGCGAATTGAAATAAGCGCGCACCCGTCTCCGACAAGCGCAGAAACCCGACTAATGCGCCCTCACGCGACGATTCTATAAAATCGTATTCGCATTCTCAAAATACTTTTCAATGTCTGGCCAATGAAATATATTCCGTAGTCCGTAGACGTACATTCCTGTTTAATAATTGTTTCATTCATAAGCATGTATAAGGTTAAATATATATTTATTACTATAACGAAAAGCTTATTATAAACAATTTTGATAGTCTGCTACGAGTCTAGCAACGGCAAGCGACAGCAACCACAGACTTCATTTTACATTCTTTTTTATTTGCAGTAATGTAAAACTTTATAATTTGACGCACTGTTAGTTCAAAAATGATAAATTTATGTACTAAGTACTAGTACGTATACAACATTCTAAGATAATAAAACGTGGCATAATACGAGTAATTGTGGAGTTTGTGTTTCCTGAAATTATTTTTAGTGGCGCTTATCTTTGCGAATATTACCGATGGCGCGACGGTTCAGCGTTCCTATTGGCTGTTACGAGACGGGCCTCCACAGCATATATACCACCAGACCATTTAACTTTATATAGAAATATAAAGTTAATAAGAAAATTAAGCTACAGACTAAATGACATAATAACAGTTTTTTAAATTACTTTTTCATGCGTGGTTTAAATGAATATTATAAATTAATAAGCAATCTACAATTAATTATAATTTTATAAATACTCCTAACCTGAATAAAAAAAACGATCAAATTTCAAAACATAATTAGTACCTTACATTTTATTAAATGCACAAATATTTTTTTCAACTACCCTCATAAAGCATATAATTTTCTCAATTTGGAAGCCATGATGATTTTAATAGTTGGGCACAAGTTGGGGCGTAGTAAAGCTGTTTTAATTTTAATCTTATATTAACGTTATTTTAGCCATTTTAAATTATTCATTGTGCAAGTTATTTATTTTATGACAGTTTAAATAAGTTGATATATTATTTCATCCCTTATGTATAAAAATGGAATCTAGTAATTTTTTAAATGTAAAAACGCACGTGTCTGAACTAAGAAATGCCGACAAGGACTCAGTAAGTGAGGTAAAACCTCTTTAAATTAAGTAATATATTATGAAATTTTGATAAAACTAATTGAAGATGGTTTCGTAAAGTAGTCCGATTCATGTAAAGTAAGATTATTTTGTTCGTGATTAACCATGCCTGAAATTGGGCCACGCCATTTTGATCATTCTTCCGATTTTTTTTAATATTATTAAATTACTACAATGTTTTCGTATTTCTATCAACGCTGACGTCACACTTTTTAAAAGATATTTTTTTTTCAGACACTGGTTACCAGTGGCCTGTATCTATATTTTTAATCAATAAAAAAATATTACACTGTATAGGCTGTTTATTATTTTCGTTTTCGTAGGCTTCTGAAAGTGGAACAAGTAATTCCGTGACGTCAGCCGAAGACCTACAGAATGTCGCTTTGATATTGGGGCTGGCGAATGCTGAGGATGTTCATCAAGAGCGATTTCGAGTCGACAGACGGCGTTTGGAGGGTATGCTTGCTGGTATGTTTAATATGAATGGATTTAGATTCCAATAATCCAGAATAGCAAAGTAAGGCTAGCATGGTTTGATCCTGGTTCGTGGTAAGAATTACCAGAAAAGGAAAGGAGAAAAGAAATTTGTACCAATCTTAAGTATTAGTGTTTTATATTTTAATATCTATACATATGTAGCTACGGTCTACCTAAGTAAAAAAATAATAATTATTATTATTTATGCGATGCGATATAAAGTTTTAAATATTATTATTATGTTTAGATAATCTGGATGTGTCTCAAACTGCGCAGGCGTTCTTTCAAAAGGTAAGTTATATTTTTATCCAGGGCCAGATTTTGAGGTCTGGAGGCCTCGGAGCAACAAAGGAGTGGAGTCCCCTTAGGCCCAAATTATCTTCCAAATAAAATGAACCATTTTTTTTTCAGTCGAGAATTTAAAACAATTTATTTTTCCAAGTCTATTGTGGCCCCCCCTTTGTGAAGGCCCCGGGGCTGTAGCCCCAGCTGCCCTCCCATTATTATTGCCGTACATTTTTAATTTACATTAATCTTAATCTAAGTATAATAAAATATTATTATTTTAGGTTATGGATGAGACCCGTACTGTGATCAACTGGCCTGCTCGCCTTAAAATTGGAGCTAGATCAAAAAAAGGTAATATGCGTAAAATTGGAGAAACCAGCAGGCGATCAGCCTACTGTGTCTGTTAAGCTAAAATAATTACTGTTTTACTAAGAATCCAGAACTGGCTAAACGGTTTCTTAAGGATTTTTTGATTACACATGCACTAAAACGAATTATTTACCTATACAACTTACACCCAAACAAAATTTAAATAAAAAACCGTTAAAATATTATATTTTCTAATAAGTACGCTTTCAAAGTTTAAAAATTCAAATAATTGGAACGGTTATATTATTGTCTTCGGTATAATATCGCTTGAAATTCAAATATTTCCGTTAAAAACGTGTAATTTATAGACATTTATATATTAAAATATCAATTTATACGACTAATTTCGCTATATTTTCCTATAATACAATATTTTTAAATAGTTTATACATATTTTTTTTTTTAAGTTTTAATTGGCGTGAAATGAAACGTTAATATAGGCGCCAAAATGTCTATACCCGGCGCCAACTAGGCGGTTACATTTTGAGAATTATTATTTTTTTTGGATATTTTGAGTATTTCACGTTCGCGCGTCGTTCGGAACGAATGAAATTGAAATGAATTTTAATTTTCTTTGTTAATATCATGATTTATTTAATTAATGAAGTGTTTACAGTATTAATTTAAGATGGTTTTACTAAATAATAATGATGAAATCGTGTATAGTATTTTAACACACCTGCGTGATAATAATTTTAAAGATCTTTTAGGTAAATTTTAATTACAAGTGTTTATTCATTTTTTTATAGTGAAGTTATTTATAGAAAGTATTAATTTTAGACCCGCACGTGAGAATATCTGGTCTGTCTGAAGATGTGAAGCTGGCAAGAGAGAAAATAATGCAGTTACTAGACACTAGAGTGAGTAATACTATATAAGTTTTGTATCTCGTAGAAGTTTTAAGCCAATTTTATGTAAAGGTATACTTTATGTACGTCATATGCGAATACTGTAATTGTATTATTTTAATTTTAATTACAAAGAGTTTTTATCAATAAATTAAATATTAAACACGCCCTTCGCTCGCTAACCTTACCTGTACCGATGACATGGTTTTTGTAAGAAAATCAAGGTTGAAGGGACATACAATTGGCACGGCAATTTAAGTATTAAATGCTTATATTGAATACTAAATAGTATCGTGTCCTTTCTCAAATATTTAGCCTTTCATATTAAGGATAAATTATATGCTAAATGAATGCCAAATGCTTGCTCCTGCGCGTCGATTTATAACATTTAGTTTTTAATGGCATCTTAAATTATTTCTCTCTTCGAAGCCTCTCCAAATGAGTAATACATAAAATAAATAAATAACAACAAAGTGCTTAAAATTAATCTTAATTAATTAACTAGAAATTGCCTGAAATTGTTTTGGATTTATAAATTAAAACATCTGTTACATTCCAAGGATAAATTTTTTTGAGGTCTGACCAGTAATTTTTGCCTTTTTTTTGTTTCATACATAAAATAAATATATCTTTCATCTATATTATATCGTTACATAGATTGAATGCGAAATATAAAGATGGTCGTCATACTTTAAATTTGTAGTAAATATTAAACATTTTATTAGTACAAAATTATATTGTTTAATAAATATATTGATACTAGTGGACCCCACAGACGTTGTCCTGCATGATATTTAAAGCGATTAGGATATTAAGCAAAGTATGAAAGTACCGACTGCAGTGCCATCTGCCGGGCTGATTTGTGAATCTAAACCATTCCCAGATCCCCTTGAACACACACAAAAAATTTCATCAAAATCTGTCCAGTCGTTTGAGAGGAGTTCAGTCACATACACACGCACAGAAGAAATATATATATTAAGATATATCTTTCATATTTCAGAGTAACCGTGTTACAATGAAAATCGATGTCAGCTACACAGACCATTCGCATATCATCGGAAAGGTAAGACACTCGCAAAGATATACAATATATATCATCTTAGCTTAACGGATATAGCGTAAAACGCTAGCGTCCAGGGTTCTAGATATATTTATTTATTTCTTGTTTACCACATCATACATAACGCTATATCTACAGTTTATGTTACAAGCTCTTTTATCTAAAATACATATATTATGACAACTTTAATAAACATAAATGTTACAAAAACAAAGACTAGTAATTTTTTAAGTACAGTTAAGCTAAAAAAAAATACTAGTGAAACGGCAGATAATGGAGCGGATTCTTTAAAATTGATCAGCCCACTACCGAATATTTCCAGTTCCGGATTAGTACTGTTTAATCCGTTATAATTTCTAAGAATTTGGATGAGAGGTGCCTGAACTCCTAGAACTTTTTGCAGACGGAATTTGGAAAATTCCTGCTCATTATAATTAATTCGAATTTTAGGGTTTAACCGTAATAATGAAAACTTCTTTAGCAAACTATTTTTTAAGTCTTGTTCATATTTATACAAATCTAAAACTTTAGATTTCTGAGACTAAGGGGAAGAGAAAAAGGTATGTTAGGAATCTAATTGTCGTTAAAATATTAAGTATCGAAGATTAATACAACTTATACATTTAATTTTTAAATAGAATTTCTATAAGGTAATTCGCCCTTCTCACTATCTCTTAATCGGTCTCAATCACTCTCTCCCTTTTCTTCGACAAAAACGCTGCACATTTTCGTGACGTTTCCGTAAAAAATTACCCTCATGCGCCTAAAGAAGTTTCACTTCTAAAAGTTGTAGCGCCATTGTTTTGTTTGTTGAAAGATTAATTCATAACCCGCACTTGTGTTTCGTTTAGTGTTTGTGATTTATGACATTGCAGCAACGAACAACAAGGCAATGGGTTTTTGCATGACAATGACAGGTGTGCATTGATTTAAAAACCTTATAATGTAAATTTTATCCTGATAAATTGCTCCTTGGCTTACTATGACTTGGAGATCGCTCATATGCATGCAATATTCACATTAATACCTAAATATTTTAAGTAAAATTGTCAGCAGGTTCAGGATTAGCCAATTTGTATATAAAACCCAAAAATAAAAAATCATTTATTCATATAGGTAACAAAATGTACACTTATGAACGTCAAAAAATAAATATATATGAAATGCTTCTAATTTTATCAAATCAAGGGCGTTGAACGGAAGAGAAGAACTGGCAATAAACACTTCGCCACTCTTTTTGTTTTACACAATGTTTGTAAGGAGCTGCAACCATTACACCATATTCCACATGACATCCTAAGTAAATAATAATAATAAAATAAATTAAGAAGAAAGATTTGTCCTCTATCAGGAGGAGGCATGGGGAAATAGGAGCACGCACTTACATTCTCGTGGGAACAACACGCAAATACAGTCGAAACAACTAACATAACCATCACCATCATACACGAATTCAAGTCACCACAAGTAGCACCCGTTCACGAGTATGACGCATGGCCAGCCATCAGTCCCCTCGCAAGATTAATAATATAATATGTATCAGCCTTTATTCAGACATAATTTTGCATAAATTTAATCTTAAACTAGTGACTCTAGCTAGTCGGTGACACCGATAACTCATCTGTTTGCCCAACTTTGGCAAAGGCCTTCTCCAGCTCTTTCCACTCTGCTCTGTTCTGAGCTTTCCTTGTCCATATTTTCCCGGTTACGGCTTTTATTTCGTCCACCTTCGAAACTGTCTTCTTCTCTTATTTCTTGGATAAAATATAACACAAGATTTTCTATTCCCCGAATATCTGTTTGTGGTAGTTGAGATAATTGATAACCAATCAAAGAAGCAGATTAACTTAAAACGGTGTTAATAATAAAATAATCAAATATGTCATGTAAGTCGAACAGCGCAACGCCGCGCGGGTCCCGCCGGCGCCGGCCAGCAGGCTCCGTCCGACTTGCCCATAATTATCTTGAGGATATTTCCGGAGTAGCTGTCGCCCGGGCCCCGGCGGGAGACGCCAAGCTTACCTAAGCTTGACACTCCCCTGCTGCCTAGCTTCCCAGCCACAGAAATGCCTGATAGAGTATTATTTAAGGGTGCTTTGTATTAAAAAATAAAAAATTTGTGTGCGTACAAAGTAGGGTAGAGCGGGGCTAGTTGAGCATAGGGGCAAGTTGGGCAATCGAAATATCTCGGAAACTATTCACCTTACGCGGGAGTATCAAATAGCGAAAAGAAGGAGTGGTAGGAGAGGTAATCATCGCACGATAGCTAGTGGCAGCTCGACGAGTGAGTGAAGTGTCACGGCGTTTTGTTTATTTTGTGACCAAAAAGTAAAAACATTGTTTATCGCAAGTTTTCGTCTGTCTTTGTCAAATGTTCTCTGTTTTCAATCAGGAGAGTGTTAATCTTTCAGAGGATTATTGTATTTTTGATTTGTAAATAGGTTTTGGGTCTAATTCAAGGCATTTATTTACAATCCTACTTTTCTTTTAAAATTCCGGGTTGGGGTAAGTTGAGCAACTATAGCTCAACTAACTCTACGACTTAAACAACTGATGAGTAATGAATCTTATATTTTTTGTTTGGATGCGGACTTACAAGAGGAAGACTACAAGATGTTCTTACACTACTGAATACTTAAATAATGCTGCAAAGGCTGTCCACGATGAGGGAAAAAGTGTGAATACCGCCGCTAAAGAATTCGGTATTGGTTGACTTTTAAATAAATTAAATGAAGGTGATGATTTATGGGCTATACAACACCGAGGGAAGTATATCCTCTCTCACAAGAGAACTGTTGAAAAAATTCTTGCTGCAAATGGCATTTTTCTCCAAAAGACGTCCGTCGCCTTGCCTAAGAGTGTGCTGAAATTCCACCAAGCTGAATTGCAAAAAAGATTTCCGGAAAAGAATGGTTGATGATGTTTTAAAAACAAAAAAATCGTAGCTATCCATACAGAAACCAGAACCCACCAGCCTTGGTAATCTTTTTTTAGAAATTATCGGAAGTAATGGATAGATATGGATGCTCATGTTTTGTTGATTCTAGTTTCGGTTAATTATACAAAGAAAATTTCTTTAAATTTTGTTGTTCTGTCAATAAAAGACTATAAATAAAAAGCTGACTGTCTAACACATATTTTATTTCATCTCAAGTTAACATAGAACCCATGGTTTGGCCTAGACATTCTTAGTGCTCAACTTGCCCCATACCCTTGCTCAACTTACCCCACCTATGGGGTACATTGAGCATACTTGACTTTCTGCATTTAAACATCTGTAGCTATTATATTGGACTTGTTACAAAAAAATACTATGGACACTTTTGTTAAGGGATAAATTACTAATCCATCAGGACACATAACAACTCATTGAGACTTATCATTGAGGAGCTATATCCAAGCAAGTGAAAAATTGCTCAACTAGCCCCGCCCTACCCTACACATGTCAGAAGTGAAACTTCTTTGGCAAACTAATTTTTCAGTCTTGTTCATATTTATACAAATCTAAAGCTAGATTTTCGAGACTTAGAGGGAGGGAAAAGGATATGTTAGGAATTTAATTGTCATTAAAATATTAAGTGTCGAATTAATAGAAATTATACATTTAATTTTTTAAATTTATTTTTTCGATAAAAAACACTTGGCATTTTTATTGACAATTCGTTATTTGAGATTTCAATAAATTATTTTGCATAAAATATAAAATACTAATATTTCATAAATTCTCTTTACGCAATTTTAATTTTAACTTCTCACTCTCAATCGGTCTCTCCCTTTTCTTTTACAAAAAACGCTGCACATTTTCGTCACGTCAATATTATTATTATGCCGTTTCATGCGTAAAAATTTTACCCTCATGCGCCTAAAGAAGTTTCTCTTGAAAAATAGAGTAAAAAAAATCAAGAGTAAGTACATTTAGATTTTATTTTACAGGACAATATATTTGATTCTATCCGTCACTGCCTTAATCAAAATTTCAGTAGAATTATTTCAAAAGAACGAACGAATTATTTGAAATAAAATAACATAAAATCTTGATGGATTAGTTTAAACGAAGAAGGAACCCAATATGGTCATAAAAACTAAAACGTATTTGTATTAAAGGTGTCATAAATGACAGTTATATGAATTTAAAATTCACTCGGCCATTAGACAGTAATGCGACAAGATGTAATGCGGGCATTAGATTTTAATATACATTTTGTTTTAATGAGGGCTTGAGGTCACACGATACGCTAGTTACTAACGGAATTATTACTAGTATGTACCTGTGACTTTTAGCGCGTCTAAAAGCTGCAGAACATGATGCCATAAGGCAGGATTCTAATGTGGGTGGGTCCGAAAATGATTTTCTTTCTTTTTTTTATGTAATAGGAGGCAAACGGGCTCATCTGATGTTAAGTGATACAGCCACCCATGGACACTCACATTGCCAGAAGGCTCGAAAGCTCCTTACCCTCTTGTTTTGAAGGACTCTTAGTCGAATTGGTTCGGAAATACTTCAGTGGGCAGTTGTGGAACGACGGACGTCGAGGTGATACGGATTTACAAGATACTTCAATGGCGACCCACATGCCCTTTGTATCTGACCTTAGGTGCTCTCGCCTTGCTATGCTTGGAGATATATATTACAGGTGTAGGATATATAACAATAGATACATAAAGACAACTAGCTATAGCAAACTAGCCATTGATAAATTAATCGTAAATTCATAGATGGTGTTAACGCAGCTAACTTCAATTCGGTTGTTCGATGTCAGGGAGAGTAGCTATCTTCATTCACATTCGAATTCGAAAAGTCAACCAAGAAAAATTTATCACGCGAAGTTCGGTTGTTGTAGATATGTTCAGATATATTATGTTAAATGCAACATTTTGAAGCTGGGTGTCAACTGGCTTTAATTGTTTTGGCGCCACTTATATAATAAATAGAATGTCTATCGAGGTAGACCTATTTGTTTGTACACTGGCTGTTTTCACAAGAGTTGCTTGCTGATTTTTATGTTTTTTAAATGTAAGATAATCGCTGTAGGTAATATTGTGTCGTTCTAACGCATTAGTAGTAGCTAGACAGAAAATTGATGTGAAAATAAATAAAAACGTCATGAGCTTATAACAAAGATAACATTAGGGATAGTGGGTTTGCGACGCTGGATTAACTAACTTGACTTATTGAAGAGTTCGTAAACCTAAGTGTCACTTATGGCTTTAAGTGTGCGATGATTGTTGACTAATTATTAACTAATACATATAATATGTATACATTTTTCTTCTCATGATATCGAACATTACCCATATGGAGGAACCATTGTAACCGAACCATTTAATAACCATTATACCTACATTATCTTACAAAGTTTTCGAATGAAAAGACTAATTAATATAATTACTATAAATATCAGTGATATAAAACGCTCACAGACAAATGAAAATAATTTAATGAATTTAAGTTTTATTCGGTACCTCTTCCAATAATTGTAATTGCTTTCAATAATAAATATTTCATTATAGGGCGGTCTCACAATAAAGCGTGTAATGGAGGAGACAGGGTGCCACATCCATTTTCCGGATTCGAACAGGACCAGCGCAGTGGAGAAGAGCAACCAGGTGTCCATCGCTGGTGACATGGAGAGGGTTGAGCGAGCACGCGCCAGGGTTCGGGTAAGTTCTCTTTTATAGAATACGTAATTTTAGTACACCCTCGATGGTATCTGTGGCTGGTTTTATTGGTATAATATTTATTTATTTCCAGCATAAATGACTAACAATAATCTCGACTTATGTAAAATTCTCGTGTCACAATGTTCGTTCCCATACTCTTCCGAATGGGCTCTACCCATTCTTATGAATTTTTTTATGCATATTCAGGAAGTCTGAGAATCGGACAACATCTATTTTTCATCCCCCTAAATGTTAAGGGTGATCCCAACCCAAAATTTTTATTTTTTGGACAAAACTTTTTGTTTTTATTTTTTTATGATACAGCATACAAAAATACATACAACCCCTAATTTTCACGCCTCTAAGATCAACCCCTATTTTTATTATTGTAGATAGTCATTTAATTGAATTAAAAAACCGTTTCCTAAAAATAATATACATGGCAAAACAAAGTTTGCTGGGTCAGCTAGTAATATAGTACTAAAGTACTAATAAATTTTATTACTATTTAAAAAATAAAATCTTACATTTATCTCTCAGTCTTCCCAATATATCCAGTTCTGGGGAAGAACTGAGATAACAGTCAAGTAGCGTAACTACTGCGTGCTGTTCGTGCACTCAGACATCAGGGCATGCTTCATGAAACACTTTTCAGGCAGTCTACTTTACATTTAGTGCAAAGTAGATTAACATTTCCTCTCTCAGTAGTTCAAGTGAAAACCCAGATTGGTACAAAATGGATTCTAGTGGTATCTACGCCGGTAATTGTGCCTTAGAACGGTTTTTGTATTTTTCTGACATCAGTTTATATTTTCGTTCATAAAGCATAACGTAATCGACTCGAGTACGCAATTAGCGTGACAGCGTACCAGTGAAACATAAAGAAAACACTGCACTGTCCGAGAATTAATTAGAGTTACGCATTTAAGACGCTTATGATGCAGCATCAGGGTCATCAATGAACGAACGTGTTCGCGAAAAGACTAGGCATAAAGATAACTAGGGTAGCATTTATTTAATTTTAATTACAGACTTTTTTTATACAATTATGTATTTATAATTTCTAAAACAACGTGTATGCATGAAATTATACAAGAAAATATTATATAGGTACCTAGTTACACTGTACACAAAGAAAAAAATTGAAAAGATCCAAAAAGACTTCATAAAATGTATCTCTTATAAGATCTACAATAAGTTTAAAACATAAAAAGACGCGTGTGAACATTTTAAAATTAATACTTTAGACTCTCGACGAAAACAATATGATTTATTGCTACTACATGACAACATCTCAAATAAAATTATTTGCAGCTCCCTTCTAGAAAAATTGCCCTTCCTTGTTCCTGCCTACCAGACTCGTAATCGTGCTTTGTTACTCACATTAACACTAACTATGCAAAAATTAACTTAAAATTAAGTTTTATATCGCGCAGCCCGGACATACAACGACCAATATTAAGCCTTGACTTGTTTATTGTTTAAGCCATCGCGGAATATGGTACATACAAACCTAACACCTTCACGTACTTACCCTCACTTTTGCACCATCACACATCACAGCCAAATTAGGTATTACTTAGTTGAATGTGTTGAATAATTTTTATTTGTTTGTTTGATTTTGTAAATTTTTGAACCTTTTTGTAGTAAAATGTATTATGTATTCCATCTCTGGCTATATTTTCAGTGTAACTGTTTGTTATTATATATAATTTATGTTAGCTGTAGGATTAAGAAATAAATAAATCACAAATTTTGCTTTAAAGCTACCAAGGGAAAAAGTTAAACAAGCAACCACAAAATAAAAATAAAAAACAACAGAAGACTAAAAATAAAACTGGATTGAACTTCGTTAAGTTCTTGTCTCAGTTGTAGAAAGGTGTCTGTTTAAATAGTAGCTAAACCAAATTTTAGTCGCAGTTATAAAGTACACAACCAAAATCCCACGAAATCTAGTATTTAATCCGCCCAAAAATATTTATTTATGTATTTCTTAACAATTATTCTTATTTTTAACATTTAATTTAATTATATTAAATAATACTACTATTACTACACTTTTTCTTACACAAGACTTCATTACTTACACTACCAACTTTTACTAATATTATTATTATTACATTCTTTTTCTTTTTTTTCGACTGAGACGCAAACTAGCTGCTGTCGACTCTGGCAGAATGACCAGCGCTGTGGAACATTCTGCTCCTCAGCATAATGCTGAGCCAGGGCCAATTATAACCACAGCACACACTTAAAACGAAGTGTTGTTATCTCTCATTATATTTTTGTTGTGTGTGTGTGTTTTTGTTAGTAATAAATGTAATGTCTATGTCTAAAATACGTAGAAAAATGTGTATGCTGGTGTCATATTTCTTCTTTTCCAGGCTCTAACCCCACTGATCTTCACATTCGAGCTGCCAGTTGTAGCGGCTTCGAACCCACTTCCAGAGATCACCTCGCCCTACGTCCAGCAGATACAGGACAAATTTAATGTTCAAGTTAGTTTATATTTCTATAATAGTTTTATTATCTATTGTTTCTTAATTGCATTATTATACAGTAATTGTATCTTTTTTTAATTAATATTCATGACTTATATGATAGTGTTTAGCGTGCGACTTGTCCTTGAGATTGTAGGTTCGATCCCCAACCAATGGACTTTCTGACTATGTCGATTATGTTTTTATTAGATTTGTTAGGTAGTAATTAATTCAGTTCTTGATAATCCGTTTATTATATTGTGATTTTGTTCTATATGTGTATCTAACACTCGGTTGTACGGTGAACGAAAACATTGAATCCAAAAATCTACATGTATTAGACAGAATAATAGCAAATCATCAAACAACACTGAGATTAAAACAAATATCGCAAATTAATTAGAAGTAGCCTGTCTAGCACTAGTCCCAGGCCCTTTTATCAACTAGATAATCGTTAACTTTATAGTAAGCTTTTTTACTCAGCATTTCTTTAATACATTTCTTAATAATAAAACAATTTTTTACCGGATTGAAGTTTTTATTACAATTATTTTTCATAAATTTTAGATGTAAATGCATAACTTCAATCCGGTTAAAAATTGTTTTATTATTAAATGTGTGTTAGTTATGTCAATAAACAATACAATGTACATTTCTTAAATTTATTTTATTAAAGAACAGTATCCCTTTTCCCAAAAAAAGAATTTCTAACTTTAGATAGTCTACGGGGAAATTACAGCCTGCCTTTGTCCCAAGTATTAACATTGTGCGTATGTTCTATTCTAGTAAACTTATCACTATTTTTCTATTCATACATAATATTTTCATAAATATATTGCGAGGGAAAGTAAGTATATCAATGTCCTTGAATTTATCTCTCACAGATTCCCTACATTTTAAATTATAGATTGCACGAATAGCACTCTTCCGCAGGATGAAAATAGTTTCGACATCAGCAGCATGACCCCATAATAATAAGCATAATTATATAGGTGATGATTCGCAACCGTCCCAAATTACACGCGAATCTCGTCGTGGTTAAGGGAGTCCAATGGGAAGTGCAGGCCACCATGGAGGCTACCACTCTGCTGCTCAATTACATGTGTGGACAACATGCAGTAAGTATATTTCTACTTAATACAAAATACCACTTATCACCTCGACGTGCGACGCACAACTGAGCGTTTTTTAAGGCAATTTCTGCCTCGCGCCACCTCTATGTTATTTTCGAACCAGTTGGACTTAAGGTCCTTCAAGACAAAAACGTACCAATTCATAAAAGGCCGGCAACGCGCTTGCGTCCATGGGCGGTATCACTTACAGGTGAGTCTCCTGCCCGTTTGTCTCCTATAACATTTTTAAAAATTACTGTGAATTATTTAAAGTCTACTGTATGGAGGACATACAATTTTATATGTTCCACTGTCATACAACTTAGCTGTAATTTTTAATGGTCGTAAATAAACTAATAAAACATATAATAATATGCACATACAATTTGCGTTATTTACAATATCAAGTAAGAAAAGTACAAGTTTGAATCTTGAGAAAAGTACATAAGTTTCATATATTTGCAGATGCATGTTCTACTGGTACATATATAAAATATATTTTCAATTTTAAATTTTCGGCTACTCAGTATATAATTTGTATAAGAGAGTAGTTTTATATTATTTAAAAAAAATTATGAATTGATTAATGTCAAAGGCAAAAACTTTGATAAACAAACTTGCTTAAATTTTTCATAAGGCGTTATTTTGTTTCACGCAATCAAGGATACAAGGTATTTTGTATGGGTTCATAATGCCCTAACAATAAAATTTATGAGTTTTTGTTATCAAAAATAAATTTTGGTGATGTTTCACATCTATATTATTATATGATTTTTCTTATTATTGGATTTTGACATATTTGCTTTTAGATTTAAAACGAAACCATTTTCCAAAAGCAGTCTTGGGCTTTGTGGTTTCAGAGTGTTATCTCATCCCTGAGGTCGTAGTTTCGAAACCCGGCTGTGCACCAATGACCTTTCTATCTATATGCGCACCTAACACTCGCTCGTACGGTGAAGAAAAATATTGAGAAACCGGCATGCCTTTAGACCCATAATGTCAGGCGCAATAGGCAGCACTACTTGCCTATATAACGAAACAAATGATTACAAAACAGATACAGAAATCTGAGGGATTTAACTCCACTGTTTTTTTTTGTCTACCCTCAATTTTAATTTGTGTCTACCCTCATAATTTTAAATGCATAATCAAATTCTTAACCTATTTTCATGCTACGCAGAAACAAACCCATGTCCAAATGACGTTGGAGATATCACCAATGCACCACCCGGTGGTGGTGGGCCGGTCGTCTGAACAGTTGAAAGTGATCATGCGTACAACAGGCGCACAAATAATGTTTCCCGACGCTGAAGATCCGAATATACCCGCATTGCGCAAGAGTTGTGTCACCATCACTGGGGCTATACAAAATGTGTACGCCGCTAGACAGCAGTTGGTGGTGAGTTTTTTAGTCTACCCTTTTTTATAATTTAAGTGCCTAAGTATGTCTACCCTCCAGTTTTTAAGTGGCATTATCATTTCATAATTAATGCTAGGTGTGTAGGGACACCTGTCATCGTTACAAATTAGTGCGATGGCATCATACCCTTAAACGCGGTAACGCGGTAACAGCGGCGGCAGATATTACGCTATAATAAAAAATAGGGGTTGATCGTAGAAGGGTGAAAATTAAGGGTTGTATGTATTTTTGTATGTTGTATCATAAAAAAAAATAAAAAACAATAAAAATTTTCTAAAAATAAAAAAACTCCTTATCACCTAAGGGTTTGAAAGATAAATAGTAGCCGATTCTCAGACTTACGGGATATGCATAAAAATTGCATAATCGGTCGAGCCGTTTCGGAGTAGTATGGGAACGAACATTGTGACACGAGAATTTCATATATATAAATATAAATTTCTAAATTCTCGAGCTTCTAAATTTACATTTACTGCCAGTTCTCAAATCAAGGGCATGGAACAGTCGAGAAGTGGCATAAATCTCTCCGTCACTCTTTTATTTCGCTAAGATCTTTTACAAAATGTTTGTAACTATTACATCTTGCTCCTCAATACATGTAAAGTAATTTTTTTTCATTCCCAATTCTACAATTCCTCTACAACACATACAGTATACAGCTTAAAATTTGACCTAAATTTTTAATCTTATACCAAATAAGATAACATCTCTCTCAATGATAACGGATCAGAAAGTCAGTATTCTTTGTAAAATATCAGAATGCGTACGTCTAAATTACAAAATATTAAAGCTGTACAATTTTGGAAATATTGTGAAATAATTGGTAAGAATATTTATAATTTAATCCGACTAGAATCCCTTCTTTAAACCTCACTTGTCGGTACAACAGTACTAAGACAAAGTACACATGTCAGAAGTTAAACTTTTTTTTGTAAATTATTTGTATATCTATATTCATACTGTTTTCACAATGTAAACGTGCTAATGATAATAAAAATATATATAAATAAAAAATCTGCATTTACTGTACCTACAAGACGTTATGCGACAGAATTGCCATCTAAAGTTCTAATATGTACTCAACAACATCAACCAATAGCGTGTATTTTTTCTCGATCCCTTACTCTCTCTCTCTTTCTCACTTTAGCTCTCTCCCACCTCTCGCTCCATGGCACTGTGCGTGATGCTACGTTCGCCCTTTCTCACTCTCTCTCAATCAGTCTCAATCGCTCTCCCTTTCTTTGACAAAAATGCTGCACATCTTCGTGACGTTAATATTATTATTATTGCGTTGCATCTGTAAAAAATTTACCCTCATGCGCCTAAAGAACTTAAGTACCTAATAATTGTTTTCTGTTTATATTTTCTTACAGGGAAGCCTCCCCCTGGTGGTGATATTCGATGTCCCAGACGATATGTCGCAACGATTCGAAAACGATAACGTCACGGATCTGATGAATAAGTTCAACGTCTACATCAGTGTGCGTAGGAAGCTCAAGCAAGGGATTGCTTCTATCGTCATCAAGGGAATTGAGAGATGTGCTGGTAAGTAATATTTTTTTTTTTACTTAACATCATATTACGCCTCTCTTTCACTTAAATACCAGTGTAAATATTTTCGTTATTTATTTATTAACACTTCGTTGCATTACAATATAAAAAAAAAAAATTGAACATAATGAAATGAAAAGGAGGGCAGGGCAACTGGCGGCCTTATTGCTTTCGAGCGATCTTTTCCAGGCAACCACTGTGATAATAGAAAGAAAAAATGTATTAAATTAGATAAGGTAGTTTATATGTAATATAATCTTATCTACCTTTCGTTAGTCTATATTAAGTACATATAGTTATTAAGAAAAAAAGCTAAACTAATAAAGGACAGATGAAGAATAAAAACTAAAAAGTGCACGTTTGATTATTTTATTAACGATTATTTGAGAGTAACATTATAATTAATACAATAATTAATTAATTATTAATGTAATAATTTATTTTAATAATGTGATGATGTAGTGATAAAATAATATAAGAATTGGCTACGATTGATAATGTAATGTTATACGTAACTACTATGTAAAATTCTACCTTTTAATTATGTGAAATGTGAAAAAATAATTGTGTTACAGTTTGCGAAGTTTAAATTGTACCACCATAATATTTTTGTACCGTATTCATGCAAATAAATTATCATTATTGTTATAATACATGTATTGAGAACTCCCCAACTTTTAAGAAATTCGAGAGACTTTCGGATATCTTATGAAACGATATTGATCTACACGTTCAATAAACTCTAATAATACTAACATTTAATAATAAATGATTTAAAAAACAAAAAAGGCATATGTTTTAAATTAAAAAAGAAGCTTCTTGAATAGAATTGCTTAAAGCGCCATCTGTGATCTTCCAGCCGACATCTACGAAGCCCGTCGCGAGCTCCTGGGCAAGCGCGAGGCGTCTCTGAACGCCGAAATCCCGGAGAGCTACAACATCCCGAGTCTGACGAACGTGATGCCCAACTTCCCGCCCTTCAACCCGTTCTCGCCGTCGCACTCTAGCGTCGCTACCAATTCGCCTTGTTCGCAGTTTATGAGGGTAAGCCGTGTTAGAATTCTCAAAAGGCCGGCAACGCACCCGCGAGCCCTCTGGCATTGAGAGTATCCATAGGCGGCAGTATCACTTAACATCAGGTGAGCCTCCTGCCCGTTTGCCCCTGTTCAATAAAAAACAATATTTGTCGTCACTCATGTCGATTTTCTTGTTTGTTTTACTCAATATTTCAGTGAGGAACCGTACAATAACCCGTACATGTTGGATTATTTAAATTTTTTGGTAAACTGTATACAATGTTATCAATTCCTGATAGGCCGGCAACACACTCGTAAGCCCTTTGGCATTGAGTGTTCATGTGCGGTATCACTTAACACCAGATGAGCATTGAGCTTTCTGTCCGCTTGTTTAAAAAATATATGTTTATTATGGAACATAAGATACATGTATCACTTATTTGTTATATATATAGATTGTACGATAATTTTTTAATGTTTTACAGTATATTGTACCAGCATAATTCTTGTGGATACGAGTATTTTGATACATGATATGTCATGATCATGATATCCTAAGAAATATTATAGTACATTTTCAGCTGCTGAACAAATGTCTGATTCGAAAACGAACGTATATAGAATCCACACGGAGTTATTAGCGGCCTAGCTATATTTGTTTCTTTTCTAGTATTTTTTTTTTGACTCTAGGTATATATAGTATAAAATAAATAAATCAGTGGCGCTACAATCTTTTTAGGTCTGGGCCTCAGAATTCTGTATCACTTTCATGATCGTATGTCAATCTAATAGTCAAGTAGGTGATCAGCCTCTTCTGCCTGAACTGAACACTTCGACTTTTTAGGTCTAAGGCATGCAGGTTTCCTCACGATGTTTTCCTTCACCGTTCGAGCGAATGTTAAATGCGCACATAGAAAGTCCATTGGTGCACAGCCGGGAATCGAACCTATGTGAAAGATGCTGAAGCCACTAGGCCAACACTGCTCTATATATATACTACGCTTGAGACAAAATCACTTTACGATATGAACGCAAAGGAATTTGTTTGAGAATGACATTAGCGTAGTCACGTGACCATTTCCATATAAATTGTAGTTTTATTATTTTGGTCACTATCTGTTTACCGTATTTTTCTAATCGCAAGAGCAACTTAGGGCAGTCTTATCATAGTAACTTAAGGGCGTGACTCTCCTCTCTGAAGCCCTAGGTTCGATCCCCGGTTGTGCCAATGGACTTTATATCTAAGGGCTCCCACACAAAACTGCGATGCGATGCGATGCGAATTCGTATCGCAGGAATTTGCGATGCGAATTTCTGCGATACGATTTCGTGCGGCAAACCATTTGGTAGGGAGACCATTCCTTCGTAGTCAGCCGTACTGGACGTGTTTTTAGGAAGCGTAAGATGGATCGCAAAAAGATTATTGCACTGCTGTTATTGTTAAATAGATATAAAAGAAAAAGAAGATTCTGGGTTCATCCATTTATTACGATTATGAACTCTGATGCAAACTTTCACAGACGCACTTCCACGCATCTTGCTTAATAAATTTATTATTATAATTGTTTAATGTAAAAAGCTTCAAATCTGGTTACATTCTTTCAACTAGTTGACTTAACAACCTATTTTTAAGAATAACAGTAAAAGGAGGTTAGATAAGAAAATTAAAAATAAAAATCAGATTTGACGTTAGTGATTATCAAAATTATTTTCTTGTGTTTTTTCTTTAATAAAGTTTTTTGGGTTAAAAGTATAGTTTTAAACATGTTGGTCCTTCTTGAACCGGATTAGAAAGTGTAATAAGTGCAAAAAACAACTTAAAAGGCTAAGTACTTATTTCTGCGAGTTGGATTATTTGTTGGAATTTTCGAAAAGTCAAGGTCAACCTTCAATTATAACGACTGGACAAGTTTTAAAGATTTGTTTAAGGCTCTCGTACATGACAACGTGCATCTAACAACAATTGAAAAACATCATTATTTAAAAACTAGTTTATCGGGAGAGGCTGAACAACTTCTAAAACATTTTGCACTCACGGAGGCTAATTACGATAAGGCTTGGAGCACACTTGAGAGTAGATACAATAACAAACGTATGATTGTCACTACAATAATTAGCCGCCTTTTAAATCAAAAGAAGATGATCACAGAATGTTTTAAAAGCTTAAAGGAAATTTTAGATACTACGAAGGAATGTTTGAATTCTCTTGATAATCTCAGCGTGGATACCTCCACCTGGGATGCAATCATCGTACTTTACCATTTTATCATTATTTTTAGAAAATCGTTTTCGTTCTATGGAGATGGTAAATGTTACTCACAAAAAAGACCAACCGCAGAAAAAGGACTTAGTTAACAATTATACAACCCAAAAACCCACAAATATGAAATCATTTGTCACAGAAGTAAACAGCGAATGCACTTATTGCTCACAAAACCATTATATTTGTCATTGTAAAGAATTCGCCGCATTAGATGTTCCTCAACGTCACGATTTTATTAAGAAGAATGGCATTTGTTTTAATTGCCTTGTAAAGGGTCACTCCGTTAATGCGTGTTGGCAGAGCACTAATTGAAGAAAATGTCGACGACATCACACTCTGCTGCACTTCACAAACCCTAACAAGTTCACATCAGTGCCAGAAAGCGATGCAGCAACATCCAGTACACCTGAAACAAGCCAAACCACATCAACCGTCGTTTACAAAGCTGAGGTTGACAGCGACAGTGAAAAAGTAATATTGGCAACTGCACGAATTGCAGTTAAGTTGAGGAACGGCGACACTATAGTCTTGAGAGCACTGATTGATCCGTGCTCGCAATCAAACTTTGTTACTGAAGCGGCAGCTCAACTGCTTAATCTCGAGCGCACTTCAATCAGCGGAAAAATTACTGGCATATCATCTATACCGCTAACAACCAAGTCACAAGTTACGTTGAACTTTCATGCTATTAGAAATCCATCACACATGATCACATCTAAGGCGTACGTCCTTAGACGAATAAATTCGAGATTACCATCACAAGAACTCCCATCAGATACCTGGCCTTCTTCTGAGATTTCGGATCTTGCGGATCCACACTCTCACAAGCCAGGATCTATCGACGTGCTATTAGGTGCAGTTGTATATGCGCATATTATTCTTGACGGAATAATAAAACGCAATGAGTCTCTGGTCGCTTTGAACTCAAGATTGGGATGGCTAGTAAGCGGCGAAGTTACGCAATCTGGCCATCAGTCACACAATGTAGTTGTTATGCACACACAATTCGAAGTTGATCAGTTGCTACGTCAGTTTTGGGAGATCAATGAATATTCACCAAACGTGAAGCCTCTGTCAAAACCTGAAATGCAGTGTGAAGAGCATTTTAAGAAAACTCACACTCGAAACACTGACGGTCGATATGAGGTTAGACTACCCTTCAAGGACGAAGACGCTCCAAATTTAGGCAACTCCAGACAACTTGCTTTGAAGCGTTTACTTCAGATGGAGAATAAGTTTAAGCGAAGACCCGAGTTTCACGAAGAATACTGCAAGTTCATGAGGCAATATGAGTCACTCGGTCACATGGAGGTCATCCCTGAAACAGAAAAGAAGAATAGAGCTTATTACCTACCACATCATGTTATTCTGCGTGCCTCGAGCCTCACTACAAAGTTGCGCGTAGTTTTTGACGGAAGCGCTAAACCTGTAGACGGAAACTCACTTAACGATGAGCTACTCATCGGCCCACCGCTGCAACAAGATATACGAGAATTAGTAACACGGTGGAGACAACATAAGTACTGCATAGTAGCTGATATACAACAAATGTACCGACAGATACTTATCTCAAAGCAAGACACTGATTACCAGAGAATCTTGTGGCGCGAGTCATCGGAAGATCCGATTAGAGAATATCGGTTACTTACCGTCACATATGGCAGTTCATGTGCTCCATATCTTGCCATAAGGACACTTCATCAACTTGCAGAAGACGAACGTGGAGAGTTTCCTGAAGCTGAGCTTCTAAAAACTGATCTCTATATGGACGATTTGATGACGGGCTCATCTACAGAAGAAGACACTCAACGGCTTCAACGTCGCTTAACTGAACTGTTTAAACGTGGCGGTTTTCTTCTACATAAGTGGTCGTCTAATAGTGAAACTGTTTTAAATGAAATTCCCGATTCGAAAAAGGCATTAAAAAGTTCAGTGAATATTAAAATGGATGATTCGGTGAAAGCTTTGGGCATAGCCTGGAAACCACAAAGTGATATATTTGAACTGGTAGTTAATTTACCTCATGACAACGATGTTGTTACAAAACGAAGTGTGCTATCTGCGATAGCAAAAACGTTTGACCCTCTGGGTTGGCTAGCACCTTGCTTTGTTATGTTAAACATGTTTATGCAGAAGTTGTGGCTAGCCGGCCTGGACTGGGACTCTGAACTTCCAGAAGACCTGAAAACTGAATGGCAGAATTACCTGACTAATTTTGAACACATGCAAGCCATTAAGCTTCCACGTTGGTTAGGGATTGCAAATAATGTAAAAATTGAATTGCACGATTATTGTAACGCCTCTTGCGCCGCCTACGCTGCGGTTATTTACATCAGAGTCATCACGGACAATGAGATAAAAGTAAGTCTGGTCGCAGCCAAAACAAAAGTCGCTCCTGTTAAACAGATCTCATTGCCACGTCTTGAACTTTGTGGAGCAGTCCTATTGTCTAAATTGATACTGTATGTCAAATCTAGTCTAAATATTGATGATAATTGTGTATTTGCTTGGACAGATTCCACAATAGTTTTGGCTTGGTTGCGTAAAACTCCAAATACTTGGAAGCCATTCGTTGGTAATCGCACTACCAAAATCTTGAATGTTACGAATAGTAGTCAATGGCATCATATTAAGTCTGCGGATAACCCCGCGGACTGCGCCTCACGCGGTATCAGTCCTGGCGAGCTGATGCAGTCACAACTATGGTGGGAAGGTCCAGCCTTTCTTCGCGAGTCTGTTGAGATTTGTTACCCTAATTTTACTATACCTGCAACCACACTCGAAGCAAAACCGAGAGAAAAAGTTAGTTATTTATGCACCTCTGAACCCAATGAATGTACTATGTACCTCAATAGCTACTCAATTGATCGGCGATGCACCGGTTACTATCCCTGAAGAAAGTTTCGTAGATACTCGACCTGACTATTTAAACCGATGGATAAAGGTGCAACGTATGGTACAAAGTCTGTGGCGACGTTAGCAATCTGAGTATCTTACTATGTTGCAACATCGATACAAATGGTCCCAGAATCACCCCGACATAAATGTTGGTACGGTTGTTTTAGGGGAAAGATGATCGTTTACCTCCAGGTAAATGGCTTTTGGGACGAATTGTGGCGAAGCATCCGGGAGATGACGGTGTAACGCGTGTAGTCTCCTTAAAATTTAAGGATCATGTATTTAAGAGACCAGTTACTAAACTGTGCCCTCTGCCTCTAGCTGCTTCAGAGCCTTAATTAAATTATAGTTCATAGTCTTGTTTTGTAGATTCTCACTATTTAAGTTAAAGTTCAGATGTTTGTATCTTCCACGGTTAAAGGACCCATATAGTCCTTGGGCCGCGGCATGTTTAATGTAAAAAGCTTCAAATCTGGTTACATTCTTTCAACTAGTTGACTTAACAACCTATTTTTAAGAATAACAGTAAAAGGAGGTTAGATAAGAAAATTAAAAATAAAAATCAGATTTGACGTTAGTGATTATCAAAATTATTTTCTTGTGTTTTTTCTTTAATAAAGTTTTTTGGGTTAAAAGTATAGTTTTAAACAATAATGTTCATCACTTGTGTCCCAAAGGTCGGGACGGTCCTCAATTAAAAATATTAAAAAATCCATATCATATTGCGCAATTTTTTTATAAACAAAGAAGGCGGCGGAGGCGCCGCGCGTCTTTCTCTAAAGCTGTCTCAGAGCGGACTAAAATGGCGTCACCAAGGATGACGTAATATCGCAAGAATGTGCGATGCGAAGCAGATCGGAAATTCTTGCGGTGCGTTCGTGCGAATTCGCAGATATTTGCGATGCGATGCGAATGTAGGAAAACGTCGTTTGGAAACCGGGATGTCTCAAATCAAACAAACGACGAAGTGTCAGCCAAAAGGCTGCCAACATTTGTCTATGAAATAAAAAACATTCAAAGAAAGGGATGCAAAATCCCAAGAACCATTTGGGTTATAACGCCACTGGATTATTATTATCTTAAACGCTGATTATTTATCTATCTGGCTGGACCATATTGAAGAGTCGTGTATCTTTTCTACAATCAGACCGCGACATAACAAGGTGCTGCTAAATCCATCCAAGTGGTTATCTTAATATATGTAAATTACGTGTCACGTTGTTTGTCCGCTATGGACTCCTAAACTACCAAACCGATATCAATCAAATTTGCACACCGTGTGTAGTTTGATCCAACTTAAAAGATAGGATAGCTTACATCTCAATTTATACCCGCGATATTATTTTATTGCAGAATATTTGTTTATTATTTGATAGTCACAATTCTAACAGATGGCGCTGTGTTGAAAGTACCAATTTTTCACATTAGCTACAATTTAATGGCATAACCACCAAAAAAGCATGGTGGTCCCCATCACTGGTGTTCTCCTACCGTTTCCCTTGAATAGTTTGCTACTATGTAATATAACAAAAACCTTAGCCACAGAAACGCTTGGCCGGTCTGCTAGTAGTTATATATTTCGTTATTCCAGGATCTGTCATCCTACGGCAGTCCGATGTACGGGCAGCACCCACCCACGCCCGGCGGGTTCCCGGCACCCATGTCTCCAGCCATCCAGGTGTACGGCAACTGGCTCATCCCGTCCCCGCAGCCCAGTACCAGCCAGTTCCATTACCCCATGCCGAGCCCCTCTGCGCCTTATCCGGGACCTTGGAACTGTAAGACTGTTTTTACACTTGTGGGGCATTTTTAGCTTGAGTGGATTTGTATGTTTTGTAGACTATGTATTTGATTCTGATCGCCCCAGTGGGGTATGGGGCATAAATATTTTTTATTTTATTTTAGAAATCAGATCTTCAGATAATCTAACGGATGAATAAACCTAACAATTGTCTTTTTTTTCCAAAATCGAACCAACCACCCATGTCCGAAGTCTTTATATACTTTAAAAATGAAAAATTTAAATGTTTCAGCGATATCCGGAAACGGCGAGAGCAACGTTTCCAGTACCAGCATGATGCAGCAGTATCCTGGGAGCTCCCACCCACCCAACTGTGAGAGCCGACCGGTAAGCGCACATTTTGACAACTTAAGCGGTCTTCAATATATACAATATACGTATACGTAATACCACAATTATTGCATGGATATCTTAAAAACCACTGATCCAATTTTGATGAAATTTTGACTATTCTCTAAATGAGGGCGTCGCCAGCCGGAAACGGGAAAAGCTCTTACTTGGAGGCCTGTGATTTTCGTTTAGGACAAATGTTTTTGATTTTGTAAAATTATACTGTATAAATAATCTCCGTTCAAACATTTTAAGAATTAAAAAAAAATAATTGAACAAAAATGTGATTTGCGTAATCGATAACCTCCGTTTTTGAAAAAAAATTAACTGTTTTCAAAAAAGTAGGATTCATTTCGAACTATTAAAACGTGGAAGAGTATTTAGACCATACGTTTTGACAACAATTATAAATAACTTCACTTATTATTATGACATTTCGATAATTAATATGATTTGCCTATTTTTATAATAATAATAATTAATTTTCAAAAATATCGTACAAAAAGTTGTGGTGGTAATTGTACCAATATATATTGATATAGTTCGCATATTCTGCAATTTGTCTTAAAACGAATTTTATATTGTTGATGAACGATTTATTTCTTATCATTATAACTAAAATATGTTCCTTTGTCGTGTCTCGTCGTTTCCGAAGTGCGCGGGCGCATATTTGCTTCTATATATAACCGGGGGAACGCGCCTATAAAAGCCCCGCGGAACAGTCGCGCTCCTCAAATGCTTAGACATTGTTCATGATCTCATTAACGAATATCGAAAACGAATAAACGAAGTCATTTTCCACGTTATGGGTGAGTGCTAATACCTGAAGTACTAATTATTTACTAATTACTATTATTTTCACATTAATTTATTTTAACTTATCTCACGGAAGAGATTTGCTTAATTATATTATACCTAATCGAGCTTTTCTAATTTGAAATATTAATTTTTTGAAATATAAATTTCCCAATTAAATTTTATACACATATATATTAAGAAATTTCCTTATATATATATTACTATTTGTAATCTATATTCTTAGGGGAATGGTGCATATCTTACTTCAAATCTTACATTAATAATAATTTATAATTATTCCATTTGAAGTATTTCCTCATATTCCGAAATAGATTTTTTACGTTGTGTCAATATTGTGGCTGACTTTATTTGATACAACTATTGCTATGTGTATCATATGATATATTTATAATACTTTAAAAAATGTATTTTATTGGTTATAGATACGCTTTTTATACTTACTCCTTTGGAAAAACATCAGTAGATTTATAAAGATCCCTCTTAATTCTGTTCTAATTACTTAACTGTTAAAGTGACTAAACTTGACTTAATGTCCTAAAAGTGAGTTTCCATCGAGCTCGTCTTGAGCCTCGTATTTCACTTCGCTCCAAGTCTTTTCGGCTCTCTTTGCTGATCTGCAACTGTACGACGCCAGGTTTTCTTGCGAGTCCCAATCAAGCGCCTGCTTGGTATGATTGGGATCCCTTCGGAGTGTATCGCCTATCTATTTCCTTGCTTGATTTGCTGGCTAATCGGGGTTTTTCGGCAGCCGTCCCAAAGTTGTTCGTTAGATATCTTTTCGGGGTAGTAGATACCCAGAATACAGCGAAGACAGCTTGTTAAAATGCCTGAAATCTAAATCGAAATAATCAAATTATTTGTTATTCGACAAAATTTGATTAATAAATGTTGTTTTGATATAAAATAATTGATCGGTTGTCCATCTTTCTTTGTTTCTTATAAAAGCGTTCAACAACGATAACTCGTGCAATGTTTAAACGCCTCTATTAATAAATAATTTTATTGATTGATAAAAGTTACATCATTTATTTCAATTAGGCCTATTTAAAAGGCACAGGAAAGTCAACTAAATGTTAAAGGTATTAAAAAAAATTACTAGTTTTCCATCCTGTAGTTTCATATGGAGAAGAATGGGCAAGAAACTTCATACTTACTCTTTTAAAATAGTTTTTACAATATATTCTACATAATTGATATATGTGAAGACCACGTACCTAGAACAAAAAAAACTAATATACTAAAATAAAATAGACGCATGGTGTTTTAAAAAACAATGCAGATACTATATTATTATGTTGATATATGGTGCTCTCATATTTTCCCGAGTTTGTTTCGACATTTCTTCTCAGGGTAGTCGGTTAGGAAATGTCGACTTCATCTAGCTTAGGAAGACATTGTAAAAGTGATTTATATAGTCCTACTTGCAAGAATAAACTATTTCATTTCATTTCATTATTTCATTTACTAATATTGTAACTATAGCTTTTAACTTATCCATTTAAAACGTTTAAGACCACTTACATTAACTAAAGTGAGATTACTCGTGACATTCCACAGCGTAGGTGTATTTATATCGCAACGGATGATATTTTAGAAATCTAGAACATACTGAAATATTTGAAATTTCAATTCAAGTTTAATTGCCTTACGTATTATTAGCCCACGAACTTCGTTTCCCCTTAATATGATTTCTTTACTTAGCCATTTTTCCTTGCTGCCCCATAGACTGTTTGCTTATCCGGAATAATAACTGGTTTTTAGGTATTTCCATGAAACTTTTCTCTCCATAAAAACCATCCTCAGAGTTCAAGGTATAAAAAAACACTCGAATGGGTCCAGCCGTCTTTGAGCTTAAAAACATATTTTACGATTCATTTTTAATTATATAGATTTACCATTTGTATTAAAATATATAACGCTATGCTATAAAAGTTTTTATTATATATTGAAACGTACCTAATAAATTTTTAAGATATTTGTATTATAATTCCATAGTAATATAAAAATAGCTTACTAATGATTAACAAATGATGAGGTTAACAGCAAGAAAACGTGTCCGTCACATGTGCCGCGGACGGTATGTGGTATGTGTTCATATTTAAATTAGTTTTTTTTTTAGATAATTATTACTTCGCCCATCTTAACAATGACGTACACGGTTTTTAAAGTTAAATAATGTTGCAACGAGCTCCATCAAGCTACGGTTTCCTAGAAAAGCGGTGTCGGTAACTAACGGCCGTCATTTTACGGTTGTTAATAACGGCCGTCTTTGCGGTGGCCAAGCTGTGGTTTGCTAGAAAGTAGTGCGACCGTATTCATTCGTAGTCACTCAGTACTCACTCGAGCGTAGGTCGTGCTGGTTAAAAATGGACGATTTGGACATTTCATTATTAATATTTTTGGATGATGAAGAGTCATCAGAAGAGGAAAAAAGCGTTTGGAGGAGAGTTGCTTCACAAATTTTGCTTCTGAGCTTGTCTGTAATCTTTGGATTTGATATTGTACAAAGCTTCATAATTTAGAACAAAATCAATTAATAATTGTTCACCATTTTCGCTCGTCCAAGTCATTGTATTAATTAAATACACGCGAAAAACGTTGAACTACTGTTTATCACCGCTATGACGGCCGTCATGCAAATGACAGCACCGCTATTTGACGTTACGGTGACACTCAACGTTCTCTACAAAACCTACTCCGATATTATTTATAGACAACGTATGGATGACGTCACCCAACGTTACATTACGGCCGTTAGATACCTAATGGCACCGCTTTTCTAGGAAACTGTAGCTTTGCGGCAGTTAAGAAATTCGACGATATACTTTCTTGACTTTTATATACATATACACAAAAAAACGTTTATTATATATTTTCATCCTTTTTTTTCTAGATATCTCTAACTCAGCTGTTGAACAGCAGTTCCGCCTGCAGCAGCGGATACCAGAGCAACTTCACCGGCAGCTCCGTCTCCATAGATGCGCAGAATATCTCCGGTATGTCTTTATTTATAATGTTACACGTCCAATTCCACGGATCTAGGTTTATGCAGTTGGAAAACATATGTAGATTGTCAGGCATAGGTGGATCAACTTGCCTAGTAATAAAATGGTCGTGGAAATGTGTCTGCCCCATGCCCCATTGCAGTATTAGAGAGAGAGAGAGGTATTTTGGTCAGATTTCTTTGAATTTAGATAAAATATAATAAATCATGAGCAGTGTTAGCCAAGCGTGTCTACGTGCGACTCTCATCCCTAGGGTCGTAGGCTCAATGATTGGCTTAGACCCGACGTAGAGGGCGTGTTGATCATCTGCTTGTCTATCAGAAATGATCGCGGAACGGATACAGAAATCTGAGGCCCAGACCTAAAAAGCTTGTTTATACCAACGGCATACGTATATATTAAAATTATTATAATTTTTTATCGATTCGGTACTTTTTCAGTTTATCTCTGTGTGTCTAGTTACTGATTTATTTTCTATGCAAATATAGAAATTCATAAAAAAATAAATAAAACCTTTATTCGTCAGGAATAATATATAAATAAATATGATTGTGACAAAATCCATCTACCCCACACTAGGTAGAAGTGTTTAAATTTTTGTTTAAAGAAAAACCAGTATTAGTATTACAAATACGCGTGAATGTATGAGTATTTGAATGGGTGTGTGTTTGTATGTATTTGAGAGTGTAATATACGTGCGCTGTCTGTGGTAGTTTTTGGAACCACAGAGTCATAATGGATTTTTAGTATGTCAATATAGAACGTTAATGAAACGTTATTTTACGGGCTGTCATACATTATTTTTATATAAAACGAGATTGTGATATACGAATCAGATACAGCCGATAATGGCACCAATGTTGTCCACCACTAAGTCATAAATATTTGATTCAGCCGGGGCTGAGAACAGCGTGGTGTCTCCTTCGGTGTCTCCCATCAGCAAATCTGCTGTCAGCCCGGCCCAGTCTTCAGAAAATGATCGCTCACAGCAACAAGGTAATCAGTGCTTTTATGGATTAAAATAGTAATTTCTACTTAATCGCGCACTAACTAAAGCACGCTTTCGTCTTTTTCTGTCAAATTGTTTATGCTGTGATGAAAAGCGATACTTAGATTTCAATCAAAGCAGAATGAACGACCCAGGGGTAATTTTGGGGTAATCAGGCACGCTCTTAGGCATTTATATATTGTATATCCTTTGTTTCTTGCGAGTGGTTAATATACAGAAAAACATATTATCCTCTATTACTATAAGCCCCAAGATGGCCCTGGAACAGTACATTTTGGTCCTTCGAGCCGGATTGCCCGGATAGACGGATTTAACTTTTTTATTTTAATATATAAATGAACGGTCAAAATAGTTTATTATTGAATTATATTAAAAAGTAATCCTACATTTTAAGCAAATCATTTTTACCCCCCTTTTAACCATACAAAAGAAATCCTTTTTAAAGTTCAAATATTTTAAAACATATACCTCCTTTGATTAACATATAGTTCTATCAAAACTGTCAAATAGCCAAAAAAATACTGTCAAAAACAAGAAATATGTGTCAGAACTTCAAAATTCCAAATTATATTCATAATAGAGCTAGCGAACCTCATACTGGAGCTGAAGAACAGCGACCGTCGTGCTCCAGGATGCGAGAAGAAGACTTTGGAGACCATAAAACAGCTTTCACCGCTCTCCGAGTACCGGCAACTGCAGCAGGAGGCTAATAAGGTGAAGTTATATGGAAATTCTTTTCATATTTCAACTCCTACGAGCAAGCATTTTATATATTTTTAGATTATAATACTAAAAAGTAATAAACCGACGAATTATATTTATTATTTATTAAACTAAAACAACCAAATATCAAAAAGTACTGAACCTGAGCTGACTTAACCTTGACCTAACCGGTTTAAACTGGTGGATTAACTAAAAATACACTTCGGAAATTTAGTACACCTGTTGGGAAGCCTATATATTATCTTATTTTAATAAAGTAGCTTATTGATTTAATATAAATTATAATAGCAAACTCATATTTGGAATCGGTGAAACCTATTTAATATGATGAAAATTTGAGCACTCTACCAATTAACAAATGACGTGATCACCTAATCTGAAAGCACACACAAAATATATCTTTAATATGTCAGCAAACGGATATTTTATTAACTATCTCTAACAGGCAATGCGCGAAAATGTTGGCAGCGGGTATCGCGTACCCACGACGAGATGGTCCGGGCATTATTTCAGCAACACTATGCCCGCTTCGAACGGAGCCGAACCAGAGAGCTCTCATAGCACTGTAAGTTTATTTATTTACTAGCTGCTCCCGCGAACTTCGTTTCTCCTTAATGTGATTTTACTTAGCCTACCTTTTTAGTTCATACGAACATGGAACATTTTGCTATGCTACCCCAGATACTGGAATATAATACTTTTTAGGTTTTTCTGTGAATTTCTCTCTATATTAACCTCAGAGTTCAAGTCTTTCAGATTTTAATTAACAAATAAGAAAAAAGGGGTTGATCGTATAGGGGTGACAATTAAGGGTTGTATGCATTTTTGTATGCTGTATCATAAAAAATAAAAACAAAAAGTTTGTCTAAAGAAAATTTGACAAATAAATAGTAGCCGATTCTCAAACTCACTGAATCTGCATAAAAAATTTCAAAAGAATCGGTCAAGCCGTTTCAGAGGAGTATGGGAACGAACATTGTGACACGAGAATTTTATATATTAGATTAAATACACACATACACTATCCTTACATTACTAAGCCAATATAATATTGTTGAAAAAATATTGCATAATCATAAAGTATATAATATATAAGGGGGCGTCCATAAATTACGTGAGGTGTTTTTTTAAATTTTCTGTACCTCCCTCCCCCCTGGTGAGAAGTCGTGAGATTTTATTCAACCCCTCCCCCATCCCCCAATCTCACGTAAGATTTTTCAAAATGTGGGTTTCTTACGTAATCGCGTAAGAAGCTATCTTTTGAGCTCGGAGAACTCAAAATAACACAGAATTCGTACTATTGAGCTCGAAGAGCTCAAAAACCAAATAATTGAAATGTTGATCGTTTAGGTATGGAGTTAGAGGGAAGTTGCAGAGATGGCCTTAAGGGTCAACCATTTTCCTAATTTTTTTTTCAATCAGAAAAAAATTGCGTGATATTTGCCCAGAACCCCCCCTCTCTCCAACGTAAGATTAAATGAGATTTGACTCGACCCCTTCCCCCCTTAAACATCTCACGTAATTTATGGACGCCCCCTAACATGATAACCTAGAGATACTTCGAGACCTAGATTACCTGTGAAGGGGTTCTTTCAAAGTAATTAGTAAATAGATATTACATAGTACAAAAAGTATATTGTGATATTTATTTTCTTAAAAAATTGTAATAGGATTAAGCTTACTTAGATTGAAAAAAAAAAATCAGTGGCGTTACAACTTTTTTAGGTCTGGGCCTCAGATTTCTGAATCTATTTCATGATCTTTTGTCAATCTAATAGACAAGTTTTTTGGGTCTAAGGCATGCGAAACCTTGTGTTTTCCTTCACCAAGGGTTAAATGCGCACATCGACAGAATCTCTTTTGCACAGCCGGTATTTGACCTTACGACCTCAAAAAAGAAATCAAAATCATTGATTCATATTATATTGTACGCACAACGGAACATTTACGAGTCTAATTGCGGAGAAAGGTGTCCTACTACCCATTATAGGTAACACAATGTACACTTATGAACGTCAATAAAGAAATAATAATAAGCCAATTCTCAAATCAAGGGCGTAGAACGGAAGAGAAGAACTGGCAATAAACTCTCCGCCACTCTCTAATCGCCAAGTTTTTTCCGCCTCAGGAATGAGAGTCGCACGCTGAAGCCACTAGACAACACTTAAATGATATATTATTAACAAGAATTAAATGATATATTATCAACAATAATTAAATGATATATTATTAACAAGAATTAAATGATATATTATCAACAATAATTAAATGATATATTATTAACAAGAATTAAATGATATATTATTAACAAGAATTAAATGATATATTATTAAAAATAATTAAATGATATATTATTAACAAGAATTAAATGATATATTATTAAAAAGAATTAAATGATATATTATTAAAAATAATTAAATGATATATTATTAACAAGAATTAAATGATATATTATTAACAAGAATTAAATGATATATTATTGACAATAATTAAATGATATATTATTAAAAATAATTAAATGATTTATTATTAAAAAGAATTAAATGATTTATATTATTAATAAGATTTTTGAGCCAACTAGTCTATCAACTTGTATATATTACAAAAATGAACCCCTAAACTATGAGTCCAGTAATAAGAGACTTCGAAACCTTATTTAAGAGACTACTTCTTTTAGCCCGACAAACAGCGCAACATTTTAGATCTATCGCGACTGAAAATAGCTGACAATTGCGCGACCCCACCCAAGACCAAGCCGTGCCGATACCAGCAGCTCTACGACATGCTGCAAGACATTGGCCTGCAGAAGTATATCGGTAAGTAGTTTCAATAATATTCATTTAGTTGAATACTAATAAATTTTTTTTGACATTTCAGATAAATGATAGAGATAGATCTGTATACAACATGGCTTTAAGTTATAGAGTACAAACTTGATAATAATTTATAATTAACTAGCCCCGGCAATTTTTTTCCATGTATCTTCTTTCTAGGAAACATATTTTTAGTTCAATAAAAATAACTATCTACTATTTTAAAGAATAGGGGTTAATCGTAGAGGAGTGACAATTAGGGGTTGTATGTATTTTTGTATGCTGTATCATAAAAAAGTAAAACAAAAAAAATCCCCCACCATGACACCCCTTATCACTTAGGGGTTTGAAAGATAGTAGCTGATTATCAGACTTACTGAATATGCATAAAAAATTTCATAACAATCGATAGAGCCGTTTCGGAGGAGTATAGGAACGAACATTGTGACACGAGAATTTTCTATATAAGATGTTTTATTTTTAGATTTGTTTAAAACCCACGAGTTGGATATGTCCACATTTGCTTCACTGAACGACGCGGATTTGATTGAGATCGGAGTGACTGCCTTCGGCGCTCGCAGGAAGATGCTGCTAACCATTGCAAGTTAGTAAACCTTTTATCCTAATAATATCATCTTGAATCCGCCATAGCTTACTTTTAGGGGTCCGTCTTTAATAATAATAAGCCGCATCTTATTTACATATACACAGTAGATTGGTTCCGTGTTATAGCCTCATTGGAATGTCGGCGAAGTCAGCATCTTTTATACTCGCTAGTCTTAATGGGCGGATAGATAGCCCCTATTTTCTGTCGTTAATTTCTCTTAAAACTTCTCCTCCTTATGCGACAAGATACGCAAAATTGTTTCATGTGCCTCGTACGAACTCGAATTACCTGCATAATTCGCCAATGTTTCGGGTTTATCTAACTATGACACTAATTATGAGAATATTGATATTTTCCACCTCACCAAAGAAGATGTGAGAAAGTACTTGAAGGGGCGGGAAGACTCTGATTGTGTTTAAGCAGTGATTTGAAATATTGAGTATTATTTGTTTTAAACGTTAAATTTCAGTTTTCTTTATATATTTTTGTCTATAAATGTGCTTATGTTTTCTGTTTCATATATATTGTATATCTATGTAATCTGTTTTGTCTTTCTGTATTGTCTAAGTGTTTCCTTTTATAATATGTATGTTAGCTGTAAGATTACTTATAATTAAATAAATAAATAAATTTTATCAAGCTAAGATCCGGCCCCCAAGAGTAGGTTATCATTTTTGACAACTCCTGTTTAACGAGCTAAGTGCAAACTCAAACTTATGAATTATCAAGTTAAATTAATTGTAAATTTACATTTACTACCAGTTCGCAAGTCAAGGGCGTAGAGCGGGTAAGAAGAACTGGCAAGAAACTTTCCGCCACTCTTTTTAATCGCCAAGTATTGTCATACAAATTGTTTGAACTGGAGCAAATCAATCCCAACTCTGATAACTCTTGGATTATTAAAATCAAATAAACTTTAGCGTATATTAAATGTAAATTTTGTTTCAGAGCTGCAAAAACAAGCGAGTTCATCAGGTAGCGTAACTCCCAATCGCAACTTAATCAATTCCCCTCCTCAGTACAATACAAACGCTATTTCCAAGGACAATTGGTAGATCGGATCCAAAACGCTTATGAGACTTATGAGCTGGTTTCATATTTATTCTGTGACCTTTAAATACATAGACTTCCTAAAGCAAGACTAAAATGTCCCATAAGCGTTTATATATAAGTATTTCTCTATCGTTCAGAAGCCGTATCGGAAACCTTTCAATTACGAATCCGATACCACTGCTGAACGAATAGCGATCCGTCGATCTCATTCCCGGTTCGATTCGTATGTATGGAATTTAAATTTGAAAATGGAATCGGGCCTCAATACTCAAGACTGATGAAATGGAGTATTTGACAGTTTAATCTATGGCCGTGTAACTGTCGTGATTGTAGTCTATGATTGTTGTTATTTTATAGAATTTTTAATCGTAGCTCTAAGAGCGCATTAGACGTGTATTAGTCTCGAATAGACAATAATTGTTGAAGTAAATACGGGCCTTGGGCCATAGAGTTAAGTAGATTAAGTTTTTAATAGCATGTTTTATCTTTTGATTATGATTTTTTTCTTTAGTTCATCTGCGACAATTGTAATCACGTTTTTAAACTTTGATTATACACCACCGTCGAATTGCAGCCGATCAGCTCTTTTGATTACATATTGAATTCAAATATGTTTCATCTAAAGGACAGAAAACGTTATTTTTAGGAGTGAATATTTCGAGACTATTTTTTGGCCATATTCTCACAATCGAGAGATTTTACGATATATTTGCTTTTAAAAATAACAAAATGATGGCGAATCAATGACATTTGGTAATCATACGTCACCTTTGGATTAAATCACATGACCACCGAGAATTCCGGCTTCTTTTTCTTTGAGCCGTATTTTAATCAGATAACATATTTTTTAGTTGTAAGTGCATTTTTGATTTTAACAACGTTAACATACTAATCTAATCAAAGTATTATAGTAATGTTTTGGCGCATAATATTTGCGTTCGTTTAATTATTTCTTTTAATACCACGATATTATGCGACATTCCATTAACTTTTTTATTTTTAAGTTCACACTTTAATCATGAGCTTTTCCTCCATTTTAACAACTGATTATGCAATGGTTTAAATGATTATGAAATCAACGAACAATTTTGAATTATTTCGTCGCTGGTTGATTGGAAATGATTTGAAATGGAAGTTGTTTTTTAAGTTTCTTTTGTTTTTTTGAAAGTTTTGCTTGAATAAATTATCCATTAAATTTTGAGGTACCTATATAATGCTAGTTTTATTTACGTCGTTATCCCACATTGTAGTGTTAAAATGTAGTACACAATATACATTTAAAAAGTATTACTATTAGTACAAGAAGGTGACCTGTAGGGAAAAGGAGCTCTTTCCTCCAGGTCACCAGAGGGCCTTTCCACCTTGTTACCCTATCTATCTATCATTGCAAATGCAAGCGATACACTGACAGACTCATAAACTTCATCAAAGTGAAAAACGACTTTGAAATAAATATTTTAACCAAGTATGCAAACTTTCTACACAGATTTAAATTCTAGATTGGTTCGATAACTTTAAAACAGCGAAGGGTCATACTGTAAAGGACCTTAAAAGTTTTTTGAAGAAAAACAGAAATTTAAAGAAAATTGGTTTTAACAATAGACACAAGCTTCATGCAAGGGTTTTTTTATGTGTTAATAACCTCCACGTGCCCTTATTATGGATTCTAATCCGCATAGATTTGATTAGGGTTTATAAAACATCTTGCGGAATATTGTCCCATTCTTCTGAAAGTGCTGTTCTTAGTTGTGCCACTGTCGTAGGCACAGGATTTCTCGCATATACAGCTCTTTTTAAATTGTCCCAAAGATGCTCAACGGGATTAAGATCCGGGCTGCGTGCTGGCCAATCCATTGTACGTATCCCAACCTCTTTGCAATATTGTCGAACTTGTGCAGCAGCGTGCGGCCGGGCATTATGCTGCATTAAAGTAACATTTTCGCCTATAAATCCCATGTAAGGCACCACGTGATCTTCTAAGATCTCTGTTATATAGCGATGTGCAGTCAAACCCCATGTCTATGAACACAAGTTCTGTTCGCCCGTTCATCGATACGCCACCCCAGACCATGCACGAACCGCCTCCAAATGGAAGACGCTCCTCAATGCAACTTTGAGCATATCGCTCCCCACGTCGACGATAGCCTCTTCTGCGACCATCTGCACCATTTAAACATGTCCTACACACGTCTGTGAACAATACGGAGGCCCAATGCTCATCTGTCCAATTTAGGTGATCACGCGCAAATCTTAAGCGAGCTTGTCTGTGAGCTACAGACAACTTTGGACCATTTGCTGGTCTAAAAGGAATGATATCCGCTTCCTTTAACCTTATTCTTATTGATCGTGCACTAACGTTTACTCCACACACTTCATTAAGCTCTGTTTTGATGTTAACTGACGTGACGAAACGATTTCGCAGGGAAGTTGTAACAATAAATCGGTCATCACGACCGGTGGTTACTCGAGTTCTGCCTGTACCACGTCTCCTTTTGTAAGAACCTGTCTCCACAAACCTTCTGTATATCTAGAAACCGTAGACTGGCTTAAATTTAAATTTCTACCAATCGTTCGTTGATCCAAGCACCAATGCTACAATTTGAGCAGCTTCTTCGGATGAAGTATCCATATTATGGTTCAGAAACTCTCGATGAATTAAAAAGCTAACCCAACAATTCTGCTGGTAACAAGAATTCAATTGTCAAAAGAATAAAAAATCAATAAGAATCAATTTTAAAAAACACACAAATCTGATACTACGAGTAAATTTTCTTTTCCCGGCTATATTCATTTGCTTTACTGCAGTTCTATTTTTAAATATTGCTTTTTTTTAAGATTAAGGGCCAGTTACTCCATACTTAAATAATTTAATCTTAAAAGTTTGCAAATCGTTTCAAAGTAATCCTGAAGTTTTTTTTTATGGCTCTGGCACGGTTTGTGCATTAGCCAGCGTCAAGTATAAGATTTTTTATAATTCGTGCTTGCCTTTTTAGAAATTCGACCGTGCCCTACATGTACGGTTTAAGCACTCGCCCGGTACCGCACAACCCTCCCAAATGCCGAGAACAAATTTTAAATTAAATTAAAACTTGCCCTCGAACCGGGAATCGAACCCGGTACCCGTCACCTAGCTGCCACTTAATAAGACCGCTGGGCTATGAGGCCCCTATCCTGAAGTTTGATGCAGTTTATGAGTCCGTCAGTGTAATATATCGGACTTGTCTAATGCCTAGTCATTGGCACAATACTTGGTTAATTATTTTGGTTGGTTGGTTGCTTGGTTATTGAATAAGAATTGTTATTGTGATTTCTGAGGAATCCATTAATGAAAAGTACACCATAATAACATTATTTTCTTTAAGACAATAATAATTATTACAAGTCAGATAACAGACTATGTTTTCAAATTTTGTTTGTCGATTTGTCAACATCACCTACAACTGTCAAACTCTCAATTATGAAGTTTGATTGTGAACTGTCATAGTCACGCCGAAATACGAATGTCCTTTGAGAAATTTCGTAATATTTTGTGAATTGTGATCATTACTAAGCAGAGAAGTCTTTAAAAATTAATAAGAATGGGTAATGCTAGTGCAAAGTCAGCAGAGATTCCGGAGCTACCGGCACCAGCTAATGTTGAAAAACCAAAGCTAAAACCATGCTGCGCTTGTCCTGAAACCAAAAGAGCAAGAGATGCCTGGTAAGGTTATTATTAGTTGGACGAAATCCTTATGTAATTTGTATGACTATGGACTATGCATCATATGATCTATTATAATAGCCCTATAGCATTGATATTTTTGAGTACAAAATCTAAGCTTATAGGTAATTTTTTATTATGTTTTTAACTTGGACATTACTTCAACAATTTTTAAATGAGGTTGTTTAAAAAAAATATATTCGACGAGCATATAATATTTATAAAGATTCTAGTTATAAATTTATTCCTTTTAAAAGACTTCAACTACAAAAAGCAATGTTTTGATTAATGATTAATGATCAATAATATGAAAATAAATTTAGTATTTCTGTATCATGAAATAATATAAATTATATTTTTAGCATAATTGAAAAAGGCGAAGAAGAATGTGGATCACTAATTGAAGAACACAAAGCTTGCATGAGAAAAATGGGATTTAACATCTAGGTCTTTCAATAGACCATAATATTTACTACTTGTTTATAGTATAATGCTTCATGGTATGATACTTAAATTCCTTAATTCTATAAATGGAATATCCTAGGGTTAGATTTAGACTTGAAACTTAGCATGACTATAACTTTCCTATGTTAAAATGTAATATGCATTCCATGTACGGGAGCCATATTTTGTGCTAAGTGCTAGTCATACCCTTAGACTTTTGTTAGGAAGAGAGGTATCAAACAAGCAATAAAGATATTGACAATCTCCTGTTTTGTGTATACTAATTTATAAATATTTCTTAACTAAGAGTGAAATAGAAAAGGCCATATATTTCATTTGTTGTACCCTATCAAGTTATTTGAAATGTGAAAGTAATCTATTCTTTATTTGGTAACATCTAAAATTTAAACACCTTATTTATTAGGCCAAAGAAAATTATTTAATTGTAATGTAATGTAGTTTTAGAATAGTTAAGATTTTTCATATAGACTGTTATGATCTATGTGAATTGTGATTTGCACTTATTTATTTTGTTGTATTTTATGTAAATAAAAAGTTAGTTTCTTATAAATATTTTTCATTTTCTAAAAAATCTTAAGTAAATAAATTCATCCTAATTAGTAAATAAGCAAATTAGTGAAGATAAAAAAGTTGAAGTAGAAAAAAAATTAACTTTAAATTCTTGTAATAAAATGCCAAGTGTAAACCATACATAATTACCTTTTTTTATTAATTTACTTAGTGATGTATATAATATATCTATATGTAAGTATATCTTAATATATATAAATTACGTGTCACGTTGTTTGTCCGCTATGGACTCCTAAACTACCGAACCGATATCAATCAAATTTGCACACCGTGTGTAGTTTGATCCAACTTAAATATTATTTTATTGCAAAATATTTGTTTATTATTTGATAGTCACAATTCTAACAGATGGCGCTGTGTTGAAAGTACCAACGTTTCACATAAGCTACAATTTAATGACATAACCACCAAAAAAGCATGGTGGGCCCCATGACTGTTGTTCTCCTACCGTTTCCCTTGAATAGTTTGCTACTATGTAATATAACAAAAACCTTAGCCACAGCAACGCTTGGCCGGTCTGCTAGTATATATATATATATATCCTTTATTTTGTGGCAAAAAACTGGCCATATTAAAATTAGTTAAATAAAGCTTACCATTTTTACAAGTTCACCAAAACTATTACATAATTTAAAATTGGTAACTAGTATTAAGTGAACTTGGTAACAATAAAAATGTTTTATCAGTTCGAGTTCAAGTACTATCACATTAGATGCTTACGTTATGAGAAACATAACAAAATGATAATCAATTGTGATTTAGCTGCCACCGGCAGTGCTCTGTTCAAGACATTAAGATATGTGTGTAGGGAAGAAAGATGCGTTCCAAAAGGAATAATATAAACAAATGTGGAATTGAGTCTGCTGCAAGTTCTTTTCAATCAGCTGATAGCTATGGGTAAGTTTTGAATTATGGTATATGTATTTCTTTGATTAACATTTTGGAGTAGACAAATAGGATTTAAAAAAATATATTAGTGTGAATAATTTAATCTGGATGGTTTGGGAGCCTAGAAATACTTTGTTTCTCTTAATATTAAATAAAAAATGATGTGTTGTTTAGCTTTTAACTAAAATAATGTTTTTAAAAATTAGAATTCTTAAGGTATTTATTTTCTTTCAAAATACATTGGTACACAGTTTTGTGTGTAATTAGGCGTTGTTCGAAATCCCGAGAAAGTATGCGGATTTTTAACTTTTGATATTCTTAAAACCGCTATAGATTACTTTTTAATTGTAAATTAGGTTTTGACAGTTTTAAAATTAGTTTCTAAATTAAGTACATACTTATATGTAATTTGACCATTACGGATACCACGCATACATTCGGTTTTTTAAATGTGACAATGCGATTACGCATGCGCCATGGATGTCGTGTATGACATCGGGGACTGTGGGGCTGGGTCTATGCTCAAAGCCCTCGCATACATTCGCTACGCTAAGTAGTTTTATAGCAAGCCTGTCAAAATTTTAAAGCGATAAAAAATGTATGGTGGCATATTTTCTATGTTTCAACTTTCAAGACAATAGTGATTAGTGATCCTTTTAACAATAATCCCCATTTAAGCAACGGTTACACATAATAATTAGATTATACAATAAATATTATCTGAGTACTTAAATCACTTCCTATTCTAAATTTAGCCGTTTGGGTCAAAGTTAAAGGGCACAATCGAATGATGAAATAATTAACAATTATTTCATCAATTCGATTGTATTACAATTTAGACCAGTCTTTTTCTTTGGGTCAATGACCTAATTATTTATCTTAATGTAAATACGTGTAACATACGCACGTTTTTTGCAATGCACGTAATTAATATTATATTCATTTTAAAGATATCTTAGTATAAAAAACACTGGAATGTCCGTATATATTTTCAATTGTTGTTTGGCTGCGTCTCTCTGTTTGTACACGTGTATAAACTCAAAAACTAACTGTGCTGTGTATTATTTGTATTATGTGAATTGACAACGGAGGTCAGCATTGGACGTTTTATTCACTCTAAGGTCCTGGTAGGCAAAAATGCGACAGTTCTTCACACCGGAACAACTTCTTAATCTTTATCAAACTCAATTCCGTTCGTGTATGGACTGAAGTCATCTGGTAGCCTTGAATACTATTGCGCAGAGGCGATGAGAACTTGGGAGAAACTGATCGTGGGTGGTAACACAGAAGGCAAAAGATAACGTGGCCGTTCACTAACCAGATGGACCGATCAAGTGAGGCGCTGGACAGAAACCGGTGGAAAGAGATAGTCTGCTTCAGGTGCTTCCTTGCTGACCACGACACTCACAATGAGCTGCCGATCAGAGAGAAAGAAATTGATACAACTTTTTATGCGCTAAGTCTATCTACAACTAATTGAGAAGTTGAGTCGTGCCAGAATTTATATATAATTGTAATAAATCATAAGAGCAGTTTTTGCCTAGTGGCTTCACCGTGTAACTCTCATCCCTGAGGTCGTAAGCTCGATTTCCGTGCCGTACTTTATATCTATGTGCGCATTTAACATTCGCTCGAACGGGGAAAGAAAACATCGTAAGTAAACCGACTTGCCTTAGACAGTAGACTCAAAGTCGACGGCGCGTGTCAGGCGTAGGATACAGAAATATGAGGAGAGACCTAAAAAGTTTGTAGCGCCACTGATTTTTTTTAAATCAATCATAATATATCAAGAATATGTTATATTTGTATGTACAATGTTGTTATTTAATAAAATATATGAAATTAAACACACTGATTAATTGACATGTTTATAAAATAACTCAAAGTAATGTTAATTATCTTCAGATCAAGGTCCCTGTGGAGAGGAAAGTGGTAATTTCATTGACTCGTCATAAAGATTTATTGCAGGAATGTATATAAATTGTATAAAGCGGAAGTTTCTTTTAATGCGCATATCTCGAAAGGTTTGAATTGAAAAAATGTCAGATCTGGACTTTTCATTTATTCCAAGACCAAACCGACCAAATATCGTGGGATATATAAAACTAAGCTTAAATGGAGATGGGCAGGTCATGTAGCAAGACTCTCTGACGATCGATGGACCATAAGGGTGACCAGGTGGGGTGGCCCTATTGGGAAACGAAACAGAGGAAGACCGCTCACGAGATGGGCGGACGACATTGCTCAAACGGCTGGCTCGAGCTGGATGCAGCTCACCCAAAATCGAGATACATGGAGATCCCTGGAGGAGGCCTACACCTGCGGAAGGGTTCTTGCAAAATAATAATTGGGAAATAGATACAAAAATTAGGAAAAAAATAATAATAATAATATGTAATAATTGTTTAATTTACTTTCTTAAAAATAATTTGTAAAAATAGTATTAACTTTACTCTGTTCTTTTGCAAGAAATAAAAAGGCTTTTTTATTTTTTATTTTATTATTTATTATATAAAACTAAATAGAAACAAACGACTTACTTCCAATTCTGTTTCATTTAAAAAAACAAAATGCAACACTTTTACAATTTATTTATTGAAGTTTTACTTCTTTTGGCGCGTTAGGGGAAAATGATAAGAGTACATTTTTACGATGCGCGCGCACACCGTCACAAAAAAAACGACACCCTGAAGTTAGCTATAGTCAACATTTTAGTTTTTTTGTGATATTCAAATAAACTTTATTTAACTAGAAAATGCCTTATTATAAAACTTTCAATGTATTTAATACCTTTTTCTATTGTTGTGTTTTTTCTACAAACTTAAAATAAAATTGTTGAAAAGCTTTTTATTTTGTTACGCCAAAGAAGTATAAATTCTAACCCCTGTACATAGTACACACGTTTTTTCTATTTATTTTTAGCGGTTTCCTCAATGTTTTCCTTCCGCATACGTGTTAGTGACGCATAAAATAATATCCATTAACTAATTTGAACATTAGGCGAACACTGCTATGCAACAAGCATACTTACTAGCGCGCGCTAGCAGTTAGCGCAGCGACCCAATGTGAGCTTCGTTCTCCGAAACTACACAACCACCAGCTTTGCCGATTTAAAAAAATATATCTAATGACCTACATAATATAAAATGGGCTGCGTTTATCTATCTGTACGGACAGGAGCTGGTTAAAACATATACTTTTGTGCTATATAATATAGACAATATTTGCACTATTTTGAAACATCTTGTTTGTTTGGGGATGTCGATTAAGTAGAAAACTCAAAGCCGACTCGTAACAGTTGTACCTAGTACTTGTGCATTTTGCTCCTATAAAAACTAGAGTTTTAACCGGACGTTAGCGACTCGGGTAAAAAATAAATATAACTCTAGATAACATAGACCAAGGTCTAAGATATGACACGTAAAACTTATCAACTAATCACATGTTACACCTAACCTTACGCATTTTCAGTGCAGCTGCAAACAATTCGTGAGCTATGAGTTTATATTTATGTTACACATATTTTCCCTCCAATTAATCTGACGGCTTGCAATTTTTAATTGTCTATTCCTAATGTCAAGCATTATGTATTAAGATAATCAAGGAGGTTGTTCCACGAAGGGTTTACTCGCCATAGATAATGTTTTAATTTTTTTTTTATTGGGCAAGTAGGTAGGTGTATTTACATTTGATAATATTAGTTCAGTTACCCGCGTATATAAATACGTTGTTAGAAGGTAATTTTTTAGGAGTATATTGTGTTTTCTTTTGGTACGATTGTAAAGTAGGTAAATACCTAGTAAGTTTGTGATTTGCTATTAACTGTTAATCTCGAACAGAGTTTTTGGCAGTGCCTGTTCGGACTTCTCAGAATGCGAAGAGGGCGAGGAAAGGCATAAAGGATCTTATAAATACAAGTAAGACATCTTTTACGTTTTAGACATCATTTTAACTGTATACAGGTTAATCTCAATTATTTATTTGAAAGCATTTTAATTGAAATGTTGTTTTAATATTCGTGAGGGTGACTATCCACTCCAGTGCACCAACAATGTATCCTATTTGATTTCGCAATCGACAGTTGCTCGTAAACAAAGCAATCACTGAAACAGACGCAAAAAATTATCTGCGACATACTTAGTTACGGAAAATTATAATGAAGATATGTACTACTAATGTGATTCCTGCGGCGCTATTACTCATATGAGTAATTTTTATTGATCCTTAAAAATCTTTTTCAGTCAAATTCCCTCACTTTCAACGAGCATCGCCAGTTTCCAAAGTGTTATGGAGCGAGAGACTGCGCCGTTGCTGCTTTCCCCATCCTATATGCCGGGATACAAAAGCACACGCTTCACCAGTTCTGATACCCTGGTATGTGATAAAATATTAATATTAAGAAATTTAAAGACAAATATACTGTATTTACAATATTCTTACATAGTAATAATAATAAATAAAAATGGACAAATAGAAAATTAAAACGAATTTAAAATGTTTGGTCCATGTGGCCACTGGCCAGTGTACCTTTAATGGTGGCATTTCCTCACTGTATTGCGATAATTATTCGTTAAGCGAGGAAAGCACCAGCTCTGGGTTCGCCGGTACCTACTATCAACCAGGCGCCAAGTTATTTCTTTAATTAGCTGTGCACTTGAACCCCACGGCCCAAGAGTATCTACTCCAAAGGGAACAAACACAAAATACTCTTATATATTATTTAGATATTATAATATTTTTATACTTATATTATTTTTATATTCGGCTTAGGTAAAAAGTCTATCGCCAGATAATAGATGGAATACTATAGATATTTTGTTTTATCGTAACAAAATCTGTGATAAGCGCTACTTCTATGGGTTAGTTGGTCTCATGGCGTGATGTTTCGATATTTGGTGAAACAATAAGGTTTAGGATAAGTAGCCACAGACGGCTACTAAAACAATTCTGTGGCTCAACGCCTATCGATCTGCAATTGAGCGTTTTTAAAGCAGTTTTTGCGGCACACCACCACAATGTGGACCCGAAGAATTTCCCAACCAATCCGACTTCCGGGTCCTTCATGAAAAGAGCGTTGCAATAATTCTTAATAGACTGGCATCGCCCTTATGGCATTGAGAAGACAAGTCAAAAATCATTTATTCATATAGGTAACACAAACTACACTTATGAACGTCAAAATGTCTTAACAACGTTAAATTACAGAAGACATTTTGACGATAAGTGATAAATAACATAGGTATGTTAATTTCATGATGTTCATACCAGGAATTATTTTATCGACATATTAATTTACTATCATTTTAAATATAATTCTTAACTTTCCAGGGTCCAGGCGAATTATCAGATAGGGATATTATCGAGACATACAAACGAACACATGTGAAACCAGATAAAGAAAACAAGAAGAAACAGAGCTCCCTCGTTACTATGTAAGCACAGCTAAAAGTATTACGTAAGCAGATTTACTGCAATTTATCCCCTCTTCCTCCCCTCTTCCTCTTGCCCAGCAAAAGTAAGCAAAGCTCTCAAAAATAATAGTACATAAACGTATTAATTTTTTGTACGAATCCTCCATAATGCATTTCGTTTCGGTAATATGTGTAAAAAAGTAAATAATTACTGTTGACGTAATCACCAAATAAGAAAATCAAAGCAGACACCCCCCATTAGTCCTTACGTATTCCCAGCTTGCTGGCATATACCTACTAATTTAACCAAGACTAACAGATCAAAGTGTGTGAACATGTGTCTATTTCACTGTCAAAATTTAAATTTCAAATCTATAATACAATTGAGTGAAACGACATACTGTCTATGTGATTCATAGACAATAGATTTTCTGGAACAGACTAACATATAATGTCAAAACATTACAGTTTTTCAATATGGAACACAATAATGGGGTCATCCCTGCTCACAATGGCGTGGGGAGTTGAGAGGGCAGGTCTTCCAGCTGCTCTTACCTTGGTGGCTTTGATGGCAGCCCTCTGTTTATTCACTGCTTACCTCTTAATTCGGGTCAACGCTTATCATGGTTTGTGTATTATCTGTAATATCTCTATATTTAACCGATTTAAAAAAAATGTTATCAATTTGACCTGTATTGGTATATGATTTACGTACGAGGCACTTATCTCTTGCCCCGGGGGACAAAGTCGTAAAGCACTATTACGTTTTAATTTTTCTTTTTTTTTACTTTCTTGGGTGATACTCATTGCCACAGGCTTCGCAAGCGCGTTGCCAGCCTTTTAAGAATTGGTACGCTCTTTGAATGACCCTAAGTCGGTCGGCAGCTGGTTCCACATACCGGTATCAACTGTCTTGGGAGACAAGATTTCGTATTCTGCTTAAATGCAGTTATCTGTAGCGCTTATGATACCAACCTTGGAATTATGAGTTACAATGGAACTTCTACTGAAACATACGGGTATAACCCGGCAGCATATAAAAATTATTATTATCAATTTATAGGTGGCGACACATTCGAGGTTCCCTCTCTATGCCGCCTTTTGCTTGGTCCCAGGGCAGAAGCCGTGGCACACGCCTTCAGCCTTCTCGTATTAACTGGCGCTAACGTCGTGTATTGGATTCTCATCACGAACTTCCTGTATTATACAGTCAATTATTTTATTGGTGAGAACACATTTATTTATTTCGTAATCCTATTATAAAGTAGGTATAGCTAACAAAAATATATATAAAGTCGGTTTACGGACGATAGTTTAATGTGACAACGTCATAACAACACATTGCTGAAATGATTGCATACTTTTATGAATAAAATTTATTAATTTTTATTGAATTATCACTATTTTATATGGATACAAAGGAGTGAATCCTCGAACGCATAGGCCAATCGGGTAGTAGAGAGATAGCTGCGGCGCAAACGTACAATGAGCGTAACGGGACAATGAATCATGCTTTTCGTGCTTGCAGCCGGCGTTCATCGATTTATTAGACGTTGTCACGTCAAAAAATAATTACTTAACATATAGCCACAGATGGATACATAATACAAAAAATACTAAAATAATGATAAAAATGATTAAATACGTAATACCTAACTCGGCTGTGCTGTGTGATGGCGTGAAAGTGAGGGTATATGTACGTGATGGTGTGTGGGGGTGTGTCAAAATTTGTTCGTATGAATAAAAAATAGTAAGCACGCTAGAATATAGACGAAACTAGTGGCCTCTCCCGCATTTGCATGGCTGAATTTTTTAAACATAAAATAAATATACTCATTGATAAAGTAGGAAAAGATGACAGAAACCGTTCCATTATTTTTTGAGTAAACATACAAAATACTTTATAATATTAGTATAAATAAACCAAAATTTTCAGAGGAACCTCCTGTCAACGCAACCAGTCATAACTCATCAGTGCTGCTGTGCCCCAAACATGAACTGATCCCCGGGTCCTCACGTGAAGCTCACGATCCATCCCCATTCTGGGGCCTGCACACTACTGTACCCTTTTACGTAGCGGTTTTAGTATTCCCACTACTTAACTTTAGAAATGTGACATTTTTTACCAAGTTTAATTCATTGGGTGAGTTTATTCTTCATTAAAATTCAATAATTTATATTTAAAACTCCACGGAGACCTTTTGCCGAGTCGTTTTAGAAACTTTGTTTGCAAATTTTTTGATATCATTATTCGTACCTTATTATTTTGCGGATGCTTCGCGGACCCATGCGACTTCTTCAATACAAAGAGTCCCCTACATAATCTCGTATCACGATTTAAAATCTTTAATAATTAAATACTTTTTGCTATTTCAAGACTGCGTTTGGTAAAACATTTATTACTTACTTGGCACTACTCTTATATAACCGATTACGAAAAACTGTCGTGTAAATTTTCCTGTGGCTGTTAAATTCGTTTTTACTTGCCTTAGATTACCGTGAGGTTTTTATGACTATGTTTCCTCGTTGTTGTATGTGCCTTCTTACTTATGTTGGTTTGGTTGTTGTATTGTTAAAATAATATTTTTGGTTTGTTGGGTACACCTAAAAGTCTTCCTATCGTAAGTTTTTTGAAACAAGTACGGAGGGAGCACCTTATTATTATAATGTTGGTTATTGTATTGTATAACTAAGTAAAACCAAAAAAGGGGTTTGATTTGTAGTCGCATGTATTTTGTTTTTTTTTGTAGGTAGGTATTTGTCATATAAAAATTACTGAAAACTATTCCTTAAATTAATTTATATTTGTTATTTTATTCCAGGTACACTATCAGTACTATATTTACTGATATTCGTCCTAGTTAAAGGTGCCTCTTGGGGTATAAACCTTAATATGCCCCTTGGCCCACGGGGTGGGACAGACGCGGCCGTATTAAGTGGGATGTTGGCACTATCCTTCTACATACACAATATTATTATCACGATTATGAGCAATAATGAACGGCAAGATAGAAATGTAAGTGAAATATTAAAATTGGTCCTTCAATCCGGAATCTTTATTACATCTTATTGAAATTGTTAATTATAACCAAAATCCGAGTTTAAGCGAATCTATTTATTAGAATTTTACATGTTAATGTTGAACGTTGTTATTGATTAAGCAGTTAACAAAACTTAAACTAAAAATGGAATCATTTTTCGTATACATGTATGCGGTATATACATAACTCTTCCGAATCATTACGATTCCTAAGGATGTCATTTGCAGAAATTCAAAGAATGAAAAAAATTCAATAATTTTTATTATTTTTTTACGCTATTTATTTTAGGGTCGGGATTTAACCATAGCATTCCTACTGGTAACTATTACTTATACGGTTGTGGGGGCCGTATTCTATGTGTGCTTTCCGTTGGCCAAAAGCTGTATAGAAGATGTAAGTAACATACAAAAATACAATTAGTAACTAAAAAAAATAATTACAAAAAGTCAAATCATTTATTTCAATTAGGCATAATAAAAAGATGACTCTAGTTGCCCCTTCCAAAAAGAAGTTTCATATGAGAAAGATATAATATTTCGTATACATTGATTTGATAATTATGTGAAGTCCATGTACCTAGAACAAAAAAACTACTATACTAAAATAAAATAGAGGCATGGTGTTATAAAAAGCAATGCCGCAGATAATAAATTATTATGTAGATACCTGGTGCTCATAAGTAATAAATGTTGAATATTGTCCTGGCTAATTTTTGCCAAAAAGGAACATTTCTACAATTAGTTTTTTACTAAGATTTATTTTTTTCAGAACATATTAAATAATTTTGAAATGCACGATGTAATGACGGTTGTCGCGAGAGCATTGCTACTTTTCCAAGTAAGTAATTTTTTATAGATTTCTCCCCATTTTATATACAGAACTGACCTCTAAACGGGCAGAGACTTACCAGAGAGCCCGCGAGTGCGTTGCCGGCTTTGTAATTTTGAACGATGTCTCCCTAACACTGAGTTAGAAATTCAATTATAATACAGTGAACCTGAAACCTTATTGAGAATTGCATTGAGGTCCCGGAACTTTTTCATCAAATTACCTACCTCAGTTGCTTTTCGAACCTGGTTAAATGGGATTTGATTCTAGTATCTTTTCGATATTTAGCTCTATAATTAAAACTGAATTCCCTGTATACTAGGAAATGCAACCCCGATCTTGCGAGATCTTGATCCCCGCGAGATCTCGCGCCATTTTTGGAGATTAATCGCTTCTCTCTGCTACTTATCAGACAACAGAGTCGAGACTCTTAGATTCTTAAGAACTTATTCCAAAATCACTCCTAAATATCTAGCATTCCGAGACCTTGAAAATATCGAGATCTCGCGAGATTGTAATTTTCAATTGAAATAACGATTTCGAGATTGCATTCCCTACTGCATACTATACCTACATCAGGTTTAGACAGGTAACGAAGCGTTAACAAACATCTTAATTTCTTTGCCACATGCTTTGTTTGTCAGTACTCTTTTTTGACCTACAAAAAAGTAATAAAAGTGTACTTAAAACAACTGTATATTTATAAACAATGATATAATATGTGCTATTTCAGGTAATAACAGTATATCCTCTAGTGGTATATATGTTGCGAACCGAAGCCATTCTCCTTCTTCCATTAAAAGATTCGGGGAAGGTCACCATTTTAATCAATCTCCTATTGATTAGCGTCAGTATACTTGTGGCCTGCCTTTGTCCTAACGTTGGGACTATCATAAGGTACGTGTAACGCCTCATAAGATGCAACCAATATACTAACATAGGTATAACGTCATTGCAGTGATTGTAGCCAGAGACTGTAGATGGCGCTGCTCATGTATGAAACAAATAAAATGAAAAACAAAAATATTTCGTCATTAGAATGCATTTGCGTCATTGCACAACGGACGAGAACTGGTACTAAACTCTCCACCATCCTTTCTAATCGTCAAGTTGTTTGTTTTATAGACAAGTAGGTGATCAGTCTGACACATTTCAACTTTAGGGTCAATTCAATCGATTTTTCTCTTTTTAAAATAAATCGATTTGTCACACATCAAGTAACTTAAGAATAATAGTTTTTTGTATATTCGAAAAGTTGCAGTTTGTACATGATAATATTTTTTCATTTTTCGACTGGCAAATGTCATTTATTTTTTACGTTGAGTCATTTAATGATTTTTGATGATTTTTGAAGTTATACTTCTTTAGGCGCGTTATGAAAAATTTATGAGAGTGAAATTTTACAATGCGCGCGCACCCGTGAAAATTAGGAGTGTGATTATAGCGTGCGCGAGCGAGATAGGAATAAGACAATCTACAAGTAAAAAGAAATAGAATATGCGTGACGTTAGCAGCTATGCCAAGAATTTTGAATGACCATAATGACATTTGTACTTGACTTTTAAACAAAAGTCAAGTACAAATGTCAGTTAAAGTCAAGTCAAGTAAAAGGAGTTTTAATTATTTTTTCAAAGAAATTTAGCGATGCTTTTTGAATTATAATCAGAAGTGATTTAAATTGAATATTTAAACCAATACTAATTAATATTTGTGAAAAAACTGTGCTCATCAACCTTCCTAAGTGCTTCAATACAATTGAGGTTAACTATCCGTATGTATTATTATTATTATCGAGTAATGTTTTGATTAAAAAATTAACCACATTGTTTAATCAAAACATGTAATTTTTCTGATTTTATCTAGCAAATATAAGGAAAAGAGACAAAAAACAATTGATGAATCAGTGTAACTGCACTAAATTGAATACAAAAAAAGAGTTTTCATCTTATCGCTGTGAAACATCAAAAACTGGAGGTGGAACAAAGCCAAACTATTTTTAATATTGCCAAAGAAGTATAACTTCTTACGCGCGTACATAAGTACACGGACCCTTTTTTTGAAGTTGTACTTCTTTAGGCGCGTTATGAAAAATTTATGAGAGTGAAATTTTACGATGCGCGCGCACCTATGACACAAAATTGGCAGTGTGATATAGCGTGCGCGAGCGAGATGGGAATAAGACAATCTACAAGTAAAAGAAATAGAATATGCGTGAAGCTAACTTCACGCATATTCTTAGCTTAGCAGCTTAACAAGAATTTTGAATGACCGTGACTGGTGACATCTGACAATGACATTTACCTTTTAAACAAATATAGGAGTTTTAATTATTGTTTAAAATAAATAATTATATACCTAGTTATTTTCATTATACGAATTGATTATCTAAATCAATACTAATTAATATGATAAAATATTTGTGAAAAAACTGTGCCAACCTTCCTGAGTGCTTCAATACAATTGAGGTTAACTATCCGTATGTATTATCGAGTATTATTGTTGATTAAAACTGAAACATGAACCATTATTCATTGCTTTTGTTTATTGCGTTTGTTACAGCAACTTTTTAGAAATATTCTACGACCCTATATATCAATAATTGAGAACAAAGATTTAAGCACGAATACTAATAAGGAGAAAATGAAGGCTTGGAGCGATATAACAGAGAAGTAAACATTTTAATAAGTACCTGCATCTCAAAAAAATGACCACATTATTTAATCAAAACATGTAATTTTTCAGATTTAATCTAGCAAATATATGGACAAGAGACAAAAAACAATTGATGAATCAGTGGAAGTGCACTAAATTGAATCAGCTTATCGCCGTGAAACATGAAAAACTGGAGGTGGAACAAAGCCACCATCACCTTCTCGAGACACAATGGATATGGCAGAGATGATACCGCAACGGTTTGAAGTAGATTTCAATGAATTTGATTGTGATGGTGTCGAGGTAGGAATGTTAATTATAAATATGATGTATGGTGATGTTCAAGGTTCAACCTTTCAAGCATAGGTATATGCTCACAACAGTACTTTATTCCCCTACAGGGTAGTTAGAGATATTGTAATACCTCAAAACATCCATGTTGCACTTGTAGTACCGAAACTCTGTCCAGCCAGAAGTGAGCCCATTCCCACTTAATGGACAGTGGGTATAATACACCTTAATACCTGAGTGCGAACCACTCACCATGATACTTAAATTAATAGATGTTATTTATATATTTCAGGATATTACAAATTAAATCATTTTGGAAACAATTGATATCCCAAAAGCAAATAAAGCCAACAATGACAAGGTAATAAATCAGTTTTGACATAACTTTAATACTAAAAAAGCCAAACAAAGGTGTGCACAACAGTGACAACATAACTTAACAATTTCATTATTTTGTAGGATTAAAGAAAGGTTAAAGAAAATCATGTCGAACTGAACAACAAGAATCCCCAAACAACTGCAAAGAAACCTACAAGGAAGACACCGATATTATATTTAAATTATTTTATATTATATTATATTTAAATTTATTTATCTCTAAATAGAATAAAAGAAAGTTGCTATTCAGGTCTGTAGCATGTGCTACAAATTATATTATTAACACATTTATATAACTATAATAATATAAATGTGTTAAAAATTTTATAATATGAATTATACAAAATTTTAACTTTTGCATGGACAGAGCTTAAGTTAATATTCTCTTATTTGTTGCAGAAAGCAGTTTTGGAGAAGCCTCGTAGATGCACAACCAAGTAATGATTAATTTAAAATTACAAACCGAAATTCTGATGAAGACATTAGAGTCACTTAAAAATAAATAGTATAATGAAATGAAAATGTTTTAAAGATAAATAGTGTTTTATTTGTTTAATGTAAGAGAATAATAATAAATATTTATTTAATTAATTTTTCAAATGTATACTGAACTTTATTGACTTTAATGACTCCTTTTCCAGTCTTTGATTATTTAATTGTAATTAATTATTTGCATGCAATCAAAAACTATTTTTAATAATGCCAAAGAAGTATAACTTCTTACGCGCGTACATAAGTACACGCACCCTTTTTTTATTATTTAACGCATATATGGTGCAGAAAAATTCTATTAAAATGTGTAGTTTGGCTACATTAGTTTCTAACAACGCATATTTTATCTTTTCTGCTTTAAAAAGTTACTAATATAATCGACTAAAAGATGGAGGGTTTTCGCGGATAGAGGACACCGTGAGTCATTTCTGCCAAAACCCTCAATCTTTTAGTCTATATCAACTCCGGGGAAATAAATATAGATAATATAATATAATCGATTATTAATATTTAGAAAATCGATTAAAATAAAAAAATGATTACTTATTCACACCCCTGATTCAAAGTCGAGACATTGACAAATACGTTTTTGACATACTGGAGTCGAAACGACCTTGCCTTGCCTTCTAAGCCGAAACTATAATAAAAATATCTTCTAGGTACACCGGTGCAATCAGCGGCTTGGTACACGTATTCACTCTACCGTCTCTTTTGTACATGAGATCTCTTCAGCTGAGAGGAGAACTCACTTTCTTTAAGGGGTTATTTTATTCGGCCATTATCGTTTTTGGCGTTTTCAACCTTGGCATGCAGTTCTTTATATCATAATTATAAATTGTAATTTCTGAAAGCTTATATTAGGAATTTATTGAGGCGTTATGTACCGGAGGTTCGATCCCTGGTAAAACAATAATTGTGTCGAGCTGCTTGGTTTGTAAGCAAAGCCTTGAAATTATTAATGAAATGTCCCCATGTCCCATAACGGGACTCGAACGTCCCTAAGATATAATTGTATAAACATCTAGTCATAGATTACATAAATAAAACTATATTTTTAATTTTGTGTTTTATTTCACTTTGGATATAACAACATTTATAAAAATCTTTCGCTTAACTAAATAACATTCCATTATTTTATTATTCTTAATTCAGTATAAAGTAACAAATCAAATGTATAAAATAACTAATAAATCTTTTATATTAAATATCAAAACTGCTTTTAAAGTATTTATACAAATTAAAATTACAGGCTACTCAAAATTTTTTGGTATACATTAAAAATGTATTTTTAGTTTAAAATTACGTAATCCATTGCACCTTAACAAACATACAAACATTAGGCCATAACCAACTATATGACAATGAATTTAATAATAATTGGAAACAGGCAACCGTGTATAAAGTTTGATAATCATAAACATAGATGGCGCTATTTGCAAAAATATAACAATAATTATATAATTCACATAAAAATCCAAATTTTTGAGTTTACACTCACAAACCACTGTAAGTTTTATTAAAAAAGTAAAAACAACTGAAAGTTTATTTTATAAAAAAAATTAAATATCGTTATTTAATCGATCATTTATAAGCTTTATGTAATAACGGTAGGTTTGTCGCGGCCGGTGTACTTCTGTAGATCTGATATTTGCAGCGCAACACTAATAAGGGGCGCTAGTTTCTCCTGAGCCGAGCCGAGGACATCACTAGCTTCGTAGGAGTCAATGTATAATCTAAAAAAAAATATATATTCGCATCGAATCTGGAACATGCGTTATGTGTTATAACTGTAATACTTACTGAGGCAAATGTAGTGCAATGTAAGTAATATATTGTAAATAAAAGCAAATTGTCAATATTAAACAAATGTATTATAACTGTCGTTATTTCTCTGTGTTAAGGTCTTTAGAATACACATTTCACACAGTCCACTAACCTCACAGTTGCTCCAGAGCTGCCTGTACCACTGAGACGCATCACAATGCGGGATCCGTCTTCAAACACTATGCGGAGACCCTGAAATTAATAAAATTTATTATTACAAATACTTTGAAGCTTCAAACAATAAAATCCAATTAAGTTCAGTTTATTTAGTACCATCGCTGGCACCGAGGAACAAAGTCGTAAAGCACTATCACGACTTTTTTAATGTTTTCTCATTTTTGACCTCCTTGGGTGATGTACTATAACTGTAATTTTATTTCTACTTTCCTGAAATAGATCGCAACAACCATAAACATAGTTTTAGTTTAGATAGTAATTCTACCAAATAATCATAAAAGATAATGCGACAGTTTAAAAACAAATGATAAACCACTCCTTATATGGAAATTGTATTCGTTTTTACAACAAGCTCCCAAGCGAAATTAGAGAATTATCACTAAATAAATTCAAAGCCCTCGTTAAACGAAAATTAATCAACAAAGCTTTTTATAAATTTGAGGACTACTTAAATGATCCTAATCCTTGGGATTGAATTGCTCCAGTTCAAACAATTTGTATGACAATACTTGGCGATTAAAAAGAGTGGCGGAAAGTTTCTTGCCAGTTCTTCTTACCCGCTCTACGCCCTTGACTTGCGAACTGGTAGTAAATGTAAATTTACGATTAATTTAACTTGACGATTCAAAAGTGTACTTGGTTACCTACTTGAATAAAGATATTTTTAGTTTGAGTTTGAGTTTGAAAATAAAAAATGGTAATAATCTATCTCTGCTTCACCAAGGTCGTAATATTTCCGCGAATAGTATGGTAATAAATTATTACGTTCTAGACATTCGTCAAAATTACCGTCGTAATGTGCGGTTACTGTGTAGTCCGTAATTTTTTTTTAAACAGAGAAACAATCGTAAAACGCTTTTGCTCTACAGTCTAACTATGTAGTATCAAAATTTATCTAAACCACTGTAATGTACATTTAGTTATTTTTTAACTATTTACACTAAATACATAACAACAATGTTAAAATCTAAAGAAAATACTTTTTACCGGATTAAAGTTATGTATTATTATAAATTTATAAATGCTGTAAAGCACGCGAAACGTCGGATAAATTTAAAATTATGTTAAATAATTGTAAATTTATAATAATACATAACTTTAATCCGGTAAAAAGTTTTTTCTTTAAATGTGTAAAGGTTATGTCAATCAAAGACAATACAATGTTTAAATCGTCGAATAGGAAAAAAAATGCCGTTCTTATTTGTATATTATATTATTTATACTTATTATCCTATTAAATTATATTATACTTATTATCCTAGTAATAATAGCATTACCTTTTACGACTTTGTCTCCGATAACGATATGTCCAGACCCAGAAGTGTTTTCAAAAATTATTAAAAACAACATGAAATACCTGCATCATAGCGACGCTCTGATCTACTGGATCCATATAGGAGAAGTTATCGGCCACTGACACTTTATACTCCTTCCCATTAGCAGAGTAACGGGAGCCCACAAAGCCCGGGGCCGTCATCTTCTTCTCCAGCTCTTGCATCATCTCGTTGCAGGGGTCGCTGGGGCACTCTTCGTAATCATATCTGTAAAAGTGTGTTTGTTGTTCGGCTGGGGCCTTTAGCAATAAAAACCTTGGAAATTAGAAATTCATTACAAAGAAGGTTCTACCAGTAAATTTGTGCCAAAGAATTTGTCCGAAAGACCACTCCGATTCCCTATTGTTTTTTCTTATATTTAACGAATAAAATAATAAATGTGTAAAAGGCTAAAAAGTTTTCTTTTTGACCATTTTCCTTATGCCTAGTTTTTTTTAGATTGTCGCGTTTTGCTATTAACACGGCTCGTTCAATTTCAAGCGAACTGTTAGCACCTTGTTTCTTTAATATTGCTTTACGTGTCTCCATATTAACTAAGATATATATATATATCGCGAATTGAAATAAACTAAAATACTATATCCGGCTCGAAGGACCAAAAATAATGTAGCGGCGAAGACAAATAGAAGTAGGCCGAGGGGCAAGTGCAATGCGGCGTAAAAATAATGGAAACACCACTCACCTAAAGTCCTCCGTCTCCTCACCTGTCTCCGTGGGAGAAGACCACAAATAAAACTATATGAACAATAAGCGGATGAAGCATAAGCGCAAGCGAAAGCACACGCGTGACCTCGCGGCGGCGGATAGATCTTCTCTGCTGCGCGGGAGCATGTAGAATGCGGTCCCTCCTTCTACACTTTAATACCGCACCAGAGACAGAGTGGTGTTTAGGGAATGGGTGCGGTAAGGATAGAGAATGTGACCAGAGAGGACCAAAGGTAACTGGATGGCGTGAACAGTTAGTATTTTCTATTCTTCTAGTGTTACATGTAATGTTTATGTATTTATTTTAAATTATTTACGCACTTCTTGTACTTTACCCTCAGTAGATGTTCAGATTTCATTTGAACTTTGACCAACTGACCGGCTGACCTGGTTGTTCCAAATTTTCATAGTTGAAGGTGCGCGATAAACCGACAGCTCATAAGATTATGTATGTGTGAATAGGTGTAAGTAGTATTTAACATATTGTTTTATGACAATAAATCAGATTTGAATATTGCTTTGTCTTCATTTCTCGCTTCCTCTTAAAGTTGGCGAAGAACCCTCCAAGCCCTTAGTTATGCCCTTTGAAATAATCCTATAATCTTTAATCTAAGCCGTAGGGCTCCGTCTGTTACCCTAGTTCATATAACCCGTTGCCTTATAACTTATGATAACTGAATTTTATATGTATGTTTTAGGTAACAAAGTGTGTACATAAATGTGTTTTAGGTAAGACTTGAACAGCCTTTGGAACAATCTCTTAAATCGGTTAAGTTATATAAACAATATATTTTAGTTAATAATTAAAAGCGTGAACCAAATGTTAGAAATTATCGCACACTTGAAGCCAAAATGATCCCTTTAGTTTTTCCCACACTGTGAGTGTTTAATTTAACATTCTCGATTCCGATAATGTCCAATAACATAAGTGTCACTTACGAACGAGATTTAAGAACTCTTCAATAAGTCAAGTTAGTTTGTTAATCCAGCGTCGCAACCCACTACCCCTAATGTTATCTTTGTTATAAGCTCATGTTTTTAACGATTAAAGTGAGTTATTACTTAGCTTAAAACAAAGTGTTTTATTGAACATATATTTGAACATACAACAATCGCCACTGAACTTAACTTCGGATCTAAATTAAAAAGACGCAAAACGAGGCCACTGTATATAATTGTTTTATGCCATGGATTATTGTAATTAAATATAACGATAAAAGTTATATTTATTACCAGCGGACCCGGCAACCATTTGTTTTGCCATGTATATTATTTCTAGGAAACATTTTTTTAATTCAATAAAAATAGATATCTACAATAATAAAAAAGGGGTTATATGTATTTTTGTATGCTGTATCCTAAAAAAAATAAAAACAAATAAAATTCTAAAGAATAAAAAACATTTTTTTTGGGGTGGACACAGCTTATCACTTAGGAGGTTGAAAGATAGATAGTAGCCGATTCTCAGACTTACTGAATATGCATATAAAATTTGATAAAAATCGGTCAAGCCGTTTCAGAGGAGTATGGTAACTAACATTGTGACACGAGAATTTTATATATAACATAACCATTTAATAATGACAACTCACCTGGTAAAGTAATTCCTGCCAAATTGTTGCCAGTGTTTCGTCAAAATCTCTTCCACAGAGAGTCCCGTAGCCGCGAGAACGGAGAGCCAAGCCAGTGCCGCCCAAAGCCCATCTTTCTCTCTCACGTGGTCAGACCCTGTGCCAAAACTCTCCTCTCCGCATAGGGAGAGACGCCCAGCATCCATGAGGTTGCCGAAATATTTCCAACCTAAAAATAATTTCAAACTGCTCGTTACTCAAAGACATATTTGACATAGACTAGATCGTGGTTAGAGATAGAAATTACGACTTTATTAAAATAAAAAGAATTGTCTCACCAGTAGGCACCTGGAAGAACTCCTTTCCCGTGGCAGCAGCAACTCTATCAACGGCTGCAGCTGTGGGCATACTCCTGGCGAAGCCCTTCACACCTGTCTTCTGGAAGTACGGGATGTGGTGGAGATTATTTGCCAGCACTGCTAGGGAGTCTGACGGTGTAACGAAGAACGCATCGCGACCGATTATCATGTTGCGGTCACCTGGAGAAATCAGTTTAAAATTATTAGGATGTGACCTAACAACTTGTCTATTGTTAGAATAATCCGGTTACACCAAAGAAAAAAAAATAGTAATAAATCTAAAACAATTATAAAAATAAAATAAAAATCCTGAGTACTTAGTATATTTCCAGCTATTAAAATAATAAATTAATGCAAAAAAAAATGAGTTCTAACGGTAATAATAAAATTTAAAATGCAATATAATATAATATAAAAATATATTTTTATATTACAACATATATTCCAAGGCTAGGAGGTAAAAACAATCATACTTGGCAATAACTTAGTACTTACCATCACCATCAAACGCAGCACCAAAGTCATAGTCCCCACCCTTGACCGCATTCACAAGATCAGCCGCATATGTCAGATTGGGATCAGGGTGAGCCCCACCAAAGTCTTCCAAAGGTACAATTCTACGAACGTTATTTCCTGTGGCTCCTAACTCATCTATGAAGATACGTTTTACATAGGGACCAGTTACTGAAAACAATGTTTAATGAAATTTTATATAGAATAAAAAAAGAAACATCCTACACATAAACATATACTAACCTCCATTCATGGCATCAATAAGTACATTAAAAGCCTTCCGGCGCTCTGATCCTTGCAATAGAGCCTTGATTTTTGGAAAGTCAAATATCTCCTTCATATAATCAACATAATCCTTTACAGAATCTACTATTTCAACAATAAATTCTCTATCTTCAACCTAAAACAAAAACTTTTAAATTTATAACTATTGATATTTTTAAGGCAAGTGTCCATTATAAGAAGGGTCTATGTTTAAAAGGATACTAATCATTATTGTCAATTTTTGAAGTTATAATTCTTTAGGCGCGTTATGAAAAATTTATGAGAGTGAAATTTTACGATGCGCGCGCACCGTGACACAAAATTATCAGTATGAACTTGCCCACTAACAAATTCTTTTTAAACCAGCCGGGCGCCGAGCGTGCGTTAGCGAGATGGAAATAAGACAATCTACAAGTAAAAAGAAATAGAATATGCGTGAAGTTAGCAGCTATGCCAAGAATTTTGAATGACCATAATGACCTTTGTAATACCTTTTAAACAAATAAAGGAGTTTTAATTATTTTTTCAAAGAAATTTAGCAATGCTTTTTCACACAGACCTATTGTTACTTAGTTAAAAGGTTATTAAACATACCTAGTTATTAAATTGAATGAATAATATAATAAAATAATAAATAATAATATCAATTATTATTAATATTAATTAATAATTGAATAATATACTAAATATTAAATATTATTAAATTATTAACGTTAAATATTTATTATTAATTATTTAATATTTAAAAAAAAATAAAGAAAGCCAAAGAAGTATAACTTCTTACGCGCGTACATAAGTACACGCACCCTTTTTTTTATAACCATGTAATTTTTTTAGCTATAAAATACATATATAATATGTTTCTCTTTTCTAAGGCAAAGACACTTTGACGTGACTGATGATATAATGTATTATACATTTTGTAGTAGACTAAACCTTACATGAGAGGACTCTTTTTCTTACAACTTTTTAAGTATAAATATTAATGTTATTATTTTAGAAGCTAATGTCTACCTTAAATTTCTGTAGACCAATTTTATCAATATTGCACTGTATATCTGGTACAATTTTGTATTGTTTGATTGTTGTACTGAGTTTATATATTTCATTTGTGGTTTGGTCAGGTGCAGGGCCGCCATTACTGCAGTTAAATTTAATTCCAAAATCATTGTCAATGCCACCAGGGTTGTGAGAAGCTGTGAGAACAATTCCACCTGAAACATAATTAAACCAGAATTCAGATAAATTGGTGAAGGAAAGTAGAGGAGAGATGTGATTAATGTATAATATTGTTGGTTGATTAAAGTAGCTTGATTCATACTTGTTATATTTATTTTTAAAAATAGGGCTTAAGAATGTTTTTCTAATGTTAGTAAGATTTTTAAAGTCTTAATTAAGAAATTATATATATACTTAGAATGTATGAAATTTACATATGTATAAAAATAATAATAGTTTATATGCAAGAATATGGTACAATCTAAAGTTTGCAAATTCTGCCACATATAATGACATGCAAATTTGTCTTAAAAGATAGAATAGAAGTTACAATCACATTATGAGTCATACCATTATAATCAATTATTTTATCACTACATCATCACATTATTAAAATATATTATTATGATATCATAATGTTTCATGCAAATAATCATTAATAGATTTTTTTTTCGAAAAGTAGTACATACAGATGATTTTTAAAAATTCTATAATATATTATTATACTATCTTTGGACTTAAGATATATTATGTGATTAAATATGTACTCTGATTTTCGTTTAAAATTTAATTAGATTTAGTATCTTGTAAAATACCTAAAGTTTTAAACTTCCTGATGATATGGGAAACAGCCGGCGTAGATAATATACCATTTTGTCCAACAATCAGCTTTCCAACCTGTAATTAATAAGAGCAGACAGTAAAGAATCCCAAGAACACTGAATCACAAACCATTTCTACTTCTTATTTTAAAATTAATTGATTAATAAATACATATGAATTTTATTTCTATATTGTTGTATTATATATATTTAATTTCTAGTAAGAGTTCTCATGTGACTATAGATAGATATTTCTCGAAGGAATTTGCACTTAGTTTAATTCTTACCCCATTTCCAGCAGCAATCTTTATGATCTTATCAACGACTTCCTTGACAAGGTAGCGACCATCACCACCAACTACAAGCGTGGAACCGTTTATGGAATCCTTGTTGGCATCCAGTATACTTTGAACAAAGTTTTCTGTGTAGTTGACTTGTACAAATACCTTAACTTTTTTACGCAAACCACTTGTGCCCGGCTTTTGGCCCTCGTAAGGGTTTGTATTAATTGTAACAACGCTAGACATTTTGTACAACTAAAGTGGCTTCACTACTAAATGTTCTAGTAGTTACACGTCGGTTGTAATCTGATAACTAAGTTCGTAAGGTCAAGAAATATTATTGTTGAACAACTCAGCTGTTAGGACAATGTCAAACAAGGTCGCCGGTCGGACCCAAAGGCACAACTGTGAACTGCGGAGTGCGGACTGCCATTTGTCAACTATCGTCTATCTATCAACCACTATCAGTATTCAGTATAAGTGTTTAATGTCTATTCACTAATGTCAACAATGTAGGCTGTTTGACAGTTTGAAAGTTATGTGTCATTCAAAGTAATCTGTATAAAACATGACTAAAGAAAAAGAGCGTTAGAAATAAATCTAAAAATCCATATTTAATAATATTAATATTTATACACTAGCTGCACGAACAAATTTCTTAAATCCACGATTACGTTCCTTGCGAACACATAAACAAACGTCAAGTTTTTTACGTGTTAATAATCATTCTGAAATTACTCAAATACACATATATATATTTCTTCTGTGCGTGTGTATGTGACTGAACTCCTCTCAAACGACTGGACCGATTTTGATGAAATTTTTTGTGCGTGTTCAAGGGGATCTGAGAATGGTTTAGATTCACAAATCAGCCCGGCAGATGGCACTGCAGTCGGTACTTTCATACTTTGCTTAATATCCTAATCGCTTTAAATATCATGCAGGACAACGTCTATGGGGTCCACTAGTACACATATATATTTTTAGTGGAACAGAAACAGTCTCCGATGCAATTAATATATTACATAATAAGAGGCACCAGAACGTTAAACAGAAGACGAGATTTAATTTGATTTGTACCGGAATGGAAGGACTCGTTTGGATTACAGATTCATATTTTCATCATAAGGCAACGAATCTAAACGAAATCATTACGCCTTCCTGTTTACGTTCTTATTCCTAGAATGTACCTTATATTCTGGTTCAATAAAAGCCATAAAATCATTTTTTGTCTAAAGATAAAAATGAATATGTAAAGAATAGTCATATTTATTACAAATTATGCATATTAGTTAAAAGCCGACAGGCATACCAGCTACGCTTACCTTTCGGTTTGTCCGTTGTCGTCAGTCAGGTTACATATTCTGCCGGTGTGATACGTAATAAATGTACATATGATTTCACCGCGAATGGAATCGTAAAATGATATATTAATTAATAGTGTAAACAAAAAATAAGTGAGTTGTTACTACTTAATTCCTTATTATATGTTTTAAGAAACATAATTGGATATAAAAATATTTTATTTGCGCACATTGTTCGCATAATAATTATTTTGTTTGCATAGTCTGAGGACTTAATTTATTCACAATTCTTACTTAGTTTCATAGAAGAAAACTAGTGATTAAAATTTATAATAGGTAAGTATGGGACAACAGCTTCCTAGCATTTAGACATTGAATAATTGATTGATGTATATTTAATTAGGTTTTATATTATGCGTCTTAAAATAATTAAGTTTTAATTATTTTTAAACTGATTAGATTATAAGATACATATACAAAAGACAAGGACAACATATTATTAAATATATTACCATTTATTTATCATCAATCATATCAAATAATAAATAATAAGTTTTTATTACAAAATCAAAACAGTTGTAAATATGTATTAATTTTCGATTGATTAGTTAAATGAGATTTGCGGAAGCGGTTTTTAAAACGTTTATCAAGAATTTTGACTAAGTAGACAATAAATATTATTTATTCGGTTTTATACATTTAAAAAATTTTCTCATATAAAATATAGATAATGAAACTCATTACATAGTATCCGAGGTTAATGAACTAATATGTTACTTGGGCAACGTTCTCCTTTTAGTTGCAGTCAATGCAACCACAGATTATGCAATTACCTATTGCTTTATTTTTGTGAAACATATCTAGTTTTTAAAATAAAAAAAAGTAGACAAAGAGATATGTCAGAATACAAATATTAATATTAGACGTTTCCTGTACCCACAGGTCTTACTATGTTTAACACATACATTTTCATGAAAATCGCCTCCGTTTAAATTAATCAACACACACAATGTGTCACAATGTTTGTTCCCATACTCCTCTGAAACGGCTCGACCGATTCTTATGAATTTTTAATTCATATTCAGTAAGCTTGGGAATCGGCTACTATCTATCTTCAAACCCCTAAGTGATAAGGGGTGTTCATTGTTCACCCCAAAAAAATTTTCTTTATTTTTTTGTTTTTATTATTTTATGAAAATATATATATACAACTCTACGATCAACTCCTATTTTTTATTTGTTATTTAAGAACTTATAACTTGAACTCTCAGGTTTATATAGAGAAAACTCACAGAAAAACCTAAAAAGTTTTCATTTCGGAAAACCGAACAGTCTCTGGGGTAGCATAGCAAAATGTTCCAAACGAAGTTCGCGGGGGCAGTTAGTATGTACTAATATATTATATAGTTTGTTGTTCGTTATCCACTAAACCGGTAGTCATAATTTTCTTTAAATACACGATTTACAATATCTTAACCTACATAGTAATAATAATAATTAAAAATGCATAAATAGAAAATTGAACCAAATTTTAAGTTTGGTCCCTGTGGCAGTGTACCTTTAATACTGGCATTACCCCCTAAATCCAGCACATTATAACTGAGATTTGTTTACTATAATTGAATTCAGTGTTTTGACTTCAAGTTAGTTAAAACTTGATTTCCTTGAAGTGAAGGTGAAGCGGTCAATTATTCATCACAATGGCATAAGTTGACAAACTTGTTATTCTTTTGACGCTCGACTGATCCACGACACACAGTTTAATCATAATCTGTCTATCCTCCAAGTTTGATTTTGATCCTTTGGAGTAGAGACTCTTGGGCCGTGGGGTCCAAGTGCACAGTTAATTAAAGATTTAAGTTGGCGCCTGGTTGCACCCCAGACCTGGTACTTTCCTCGCTCAAAGAATAAGTGTCGTAATACAGCGAGGAAATGCCAGCATTAAAGGTATGTCATAGGGACCGAACTGTTAAAATTTGTTTTAATTTTCTGTTTATCAATTTTTAATTATTATTATTATTACTATGTAGGTTCAGAATATTGTAAATACTGTATATTTGTGTTGGAAATAAATAAATTATTGTATCTACGTAGTTGTTATCATCAGCAATTACTTTTCCACCTGGAAGCCTAATTACATTAAAATAATCACAATAATTTCACATGAGAAAATAAAGAAAGAAAAAAACTTTATTATACATAATAAAAAAGAATGGAGGATGCCCTAGCAAATCATCAAACAACACTTATTTTAAAACAAATATCGCAAATTATTTAGAATTAGCCTGTAAAGCACTAGGGCCCAGGCCCTTTTATCAACTAGATAATCGTTAACTTTATAGTAAGCCTTTTTACACAGCTTTTCTTTAATTTATTAAAAGGCAGTGATAAAAGAGCCTCTGGGATTTTATTAAAGAAGAGTATATATATATTTTATTAAAAAATAGTACTCTAACTTCCACCAAGTTAGTCCGTCCACCAATACCGACGTAGTTGTATACAATTTCGATGCAGTCCTCTAAAAATCCGTACCGCTGTCGTAACTTTGCAATCGCGCAATACAAAAAATAAACGATGTAGTCGGAATCGCTATTAAAAATTACAAAGTACCAATGCTCGTTTTCGACTTAAATTTAAATTCTTTCACACACCCTCACACATATTCACACACCCACAACCACTCGTGATTTAGTTTTGATTTTGTAATTTTGTATATCAATCCGCGATGGAGGGTTGGTGGACTGTATGTAATGTTATAGGCACCAGCCTCTCACGAAGATGGTCAATACTTGCAGCAGGTCCCGTAAATGCAGTAACGTGAACAAACAAATTTTTTTTTGCCTTTTTGCAGATCATCAAAATGTCAATTCTCCGAGCGTTATGTTCCCGTATACGACTCTTCCTGGATATAGTAATAGATTTTATATTCTCCTTATACTGGGAATGCAAGAATAAAAAGTTACCAGACTTGGACGAAAAACACGCATTTCTCGCAGACAGTGCTGTATCCTTAGCACAGAGGATTAAATCAAAGCAATTGAAATCTGAAGATCTGGTTAAAGCCATTATTGAGAGGATAAAACAGGTAAAAACAGCTGGAATAATATTATTAAAATACCATCCGTATCACCTCGAAGTCCGTTCTACAACTGAGCGTTTCTTAAGGCAGTTTTTGCCGCGCACCATCACTATGTGGAACCAGCTACCCACTGAAGTATTTCAGAACCAATTCGAATTAAGGAAGTTCAAGAAAAGAGCGTACCAATTCTTTAAAGGCCGGCAACGCACTTGCGAGCCTTTTGGCAATGTTAGTATCCATGCACGGTATCACTTAACATCAGGTGAGCCTCCAGCCGTTTGCCTCATGTTACATAAAAAAAATTGTGGCGTCATTTTATTACATATTATGTCAATATGCTCAATATTTATTTCTGCTTACACATCAATAAATATTGACGAGATCTCAAGGATCACGATATATATTGATCGTATGAGATTGTATTGATCGTATTGATTGCTATAATGTTTAGTTTATTTAGCAGCATATAACCACGTAATATATATCGCAAATTATATAAACATTATACTGAGAAATTTAAAATTGTAGAACTGCTAAAGCAATTATTAAATCAGTGGCGCTACATCCTCTTTAAGTCATGGCCTCGGATTTCTGAATCTGTTTCATGATCATTTTTCAATCTAATAGGCAAGTAGGTGATCAGTATCAAGTGCATGACACACGCTGTCGACTTTTAGGGTCTAAGCGAATGTTAAATGCCCACATACACAGCTGGGAATCAAACCTACGACCTCAGGGATGAGAGTCGCACGCTAAAGCCACTAGGCCAACACTGCTCATTAAAAATGAAACAGTATTTGACCAATTTAGTTACATTATCACAGAATTTTATAGGATATACAACATTTTTTTTATAGAACAGGGTGCAAACAGGCACGGGGCTCACCTGTTGGTAAGTGATACCGCCGCCCATCGCCAGACACTTTTAAGAACGGGTACGCTCTTTTCTCGAAAGACCTTAAGTCGAATTGGTGGGTAGCTGGTTCCACATAGTAGTAATTAACATTTTGCTACCAGGGCATAGATTAGTCATAATATTTATATATTGATTATTAATCTATACATTAATTTTAATTTACAAATTATATCAATATTAAAATCTAAAAATAATCTAACATTTACGAAAACTCTTTTTTAGGTGAATCCAATTTTAAATGCAGTTGTAACAGAAAGATATGAAGATGCCCTAAATGAGGCTAGAGAAGTAGACCGGCTGGTCAGTGCTGGCCTTTCCGAACAAATGGCAAAGAAACCGTTCCTGGGTAAGCAGTTTTATATAGATTTTTGCTAAATGGATTATACGATCATAATTCCAAGGTAGTAGCAGGTAAACCCGGTATCGTAACGGTGAGAGGAAGACTCTGTATCTGTTTTATGGTCTTTAGGTAGGTGATCAGCCTTCTGTGCTTGATACACGTTGTCTCTTGTTCTGGATATGGATTTTTCCTAACGATGTTTACTTTGTCGTAAAGGCAATTATTTGCGCCATTGTAATTAAAAGAAAGCTCTACAAATCTTGTACCTGTACTAACATATGAATCTCAAACTTGAGCGCCCACTAAAGCGCAGCATAAAAAGCTACAGGTGTGTCAAAAGATCGATGGAACGATGTGTAATAGGGAAGAAAAGGATAGACAAAATAAAGAATGCAAGATGTATCCTAAAAACAACACATCGCATCAGGAACAGAAAATTGGAGCAAAAAAGTACTTAACTGGTGCCCGAGGTACAGCAAATGAAAAAGAAGAAGACAACTTAGAAGGTGGATAAACATAACCAAAGAAACAGCAGGTGGTACATGGCAGAGAGTGGCACAGTGCAGAGAGGAATAGCGGACTTTGGAGTAGGCCAACGCCAGAAAAAGGGCACACAGATACCTAAAAGAAGATTGAAATAGAAATGTGTTTAAATGTAAAAGTATCTGAATTAAAAGGCTATTATTATTAAGAAAAATCTATTAGTGCATCAGGTATGCACTAATAGATTCAAAGCCACAACCACAGAGCCTACTTAATCCCTAACTACTTTCAATGGAATCTTCAAAGCCACCAACAAAAAGGATCCATGTAAGAAATGTTCCAGTGATATCATTGCAATATGAATTTTTTTAACAGGTGTCCCATTCACAATGAAAGAGAGTCAAGCATGGAAAGGCATGCCTTTGACCCTTGGGCTCTGGAGTCGCAGGAACGAAAGAGCTGTAGAAGATAGCGAGGCCATCATAAGGTTGAGGGAAGCAGGTGCCATTCCCTTAGCCGCAACTAACCTACCAGAACTTTTAATATGGTAAGTTTTATTCAATAAATCTTATCTGCTTTAATCTACACAATTTATCATTTCAAAAGCTTGATTAAAAAACCTGCACAGCGTAAATACGATGTATCGTCAGTGACCCCCGTCTGAACCTCAAGAAAAAAGGCACTCACGTCACTCACTACATGTTTATAATAATTAAAATATGGCGAGGGGGCCGATGGCTGGCCTTGCGTCATACACGTGAACGGGTGCTACTTGTGGTGACTGGTCGTTGAATTCGTGTATGCGGTGATATTAGTTATTTCGACTATGTATTTGCGTGTTGTTCCCATTCCTATGCTCCTATTTCACCATACCTCCTGCTGATAGAGGACAAATCTTTGTTTTTAATTTATTTTATTATTATTCATTACTTCAGATGTCATGTGGAACATGGTGTAATGGTTGCAGCTCCTTACAAACATTGTGTAAAACAAAAAACTTGGCGATTAAAAAGAGTGACGGAGAATTTATTGCCAGTTCTTCTCTTCCGTTCTACGCCCTTGATTTGAGAACTGGCAGTAAATGTAAAATTAGAATCATTTATTTATTTTTTGACGTTCATAAGTGTACATTTTTTTGACGTTCATTGTTACCTATGTGAATAAATGATTATTGAATTTCAATTTTGAATTAATTGTTGTCTAGGTATGTATTGGTCGTGTCCAGTGGTGTGTTCGATGTAGGAATACTATATCTCCAAACCTTTTTGTTGGTTATGGTTGAGGTGTGAAGACCTGTTACAAGAGATTGGCAATGTATATAGAGCCATTTCATGGTTTTAGTTTTATTACACGCTTTATATTAGCTTCACCTGTATGTATGTATGTATGTATGTAACCGACTCCTTCGGACTCGATTTTGACCCATTTTTAACGGACAGATTTAATTCAAACTTTGCGCACCTGTCAAAGATCGATGACAATGCAATAATCCGAAAAAAAATTAAAAGAATTAAAAAAATTAACTAAAAAATAAAAAATAAATAAATATAGTTTAAAAAAACTAAAAAACACGCTTTTAAAGCACATCAAACTAAAACGTGAAAAATAATTCCTAATTTAGGCTGAAAATGGTAATGAACAAAAAATACTGGTATTATTGTGAAAAAGCGTGGGGCGCTCTGTGCCTAGCACCATTTTCAGCCTAAATTAGGAATTATTTTTCACTTTTTAGTTTGATGTGCTTTAAAAGCGTGTTTTTTAGTTTTTTTAAACTATATTTATTTATTTTTTATTTTTTAGTTAATTTTTTTAATTTTTTTTCGGATTATTGCATTGTCATCGATCTTTGACAGGTGCGCAAAGTTTGAATTAAATCTGTCCGTATACCGGTATGACACTCACTGGGTATTCCACAAATTAATAATATTATTATTTACGAAAAATAATGTGAGTAGAGACGAGAAATTTAATCTAAACTATACAGAAAAATAATTGCTTAAAAATTAAATAGAAAGAAAAGAATTTATTTTTTGTAAAGTATCCTTAATGCTGGCAGCATTTCTTCCGAGGAAAGCACCAGCTCTACGGTCACCAGTATTCTCTACCAGGCCCCAACTCCAATCTTTAACTAACTTTTAACTTGCTCAATACTATAATGTAGTTTTGATTACGAAACGAATGTTGAAAAACGTGTATTTCTTCTATTGTGTAATACGACATGTGGTTTTAGATTTAATTTTTTATAGGTACATATATTTAAGTATTAAAGAAATATTTAGTTGTGTGTACGTATGAATGTATGTGTGTCGGAGTTTATATTAATATGTATTAATGTTATATTTCTCCGATAAGGCAAGGAACATTTCACGTGTAATCAAAGTTCCTATTTATTTTATGTAATAAGGCAAACGGACAGGAGGCTCACTTGATGTTAACTGATAGTGATACTCACACTTTCAAAACTTGCAAGTGCGTTGCCGGCCATTTCAGAATTGGTACGCTCTTTTCAAGGACCCTAAGTCGAATTAGTTCGGAAATAAGTCCTCTTTGATGAGGAAAATAATTACGCAAATAAAGTAATAATTACTTAGCATGTGATCCGCCCTCTATGCCCGGTATGATACCGATTTATGAATTTAATAAACGGGTTTTCTTGCATGGATATTGAAGCAAAAAACCAGTGGCGCTACAACCTTATAGGCTTATGGTTCTGGACCTCAGATGTCTGTATCTGTTTTGTGTTTTTTTTGTTCTAATAAGCAAGTAGGTGATGAGCTGTGCCTGATATATGCCGTCGACTATTTAGGTCCAAGGCATGCCGGTTTCCTCACGATGTTATTCGTACCGTATTCATCACACCTGTGACTTCAACAAGGAGTCGCATGTTGAAGCCACTAGGCCAACACTTCGAAAGAAAGCTCTCGAAACTCATATTAAGAATACATAAATTGAATTAATGTTATATTTACAGGCAAGAAACGCGTAACCCAGTGTACGGAATGACAGTTAATCCCCAACACACGGGTAGAACTCCCGGTGGTTCCAGCGGCGCTGAAGCGGCCCTCACTGCTACTTACGCAACTTCTATAAGTCTTTGTAAGAACATAGTTTGTTTTTTATCTAACAGTAGACAAACGGGCAGAAGGCTCTCTTGGTGTTAAGTGATACCGCCGCCCATGGTCACTAACAATGTCAGAAGGCTCGCAAATACGTTGCCGGCTTTTTAAGAATGGGTACGTCCTTTTTTGAGGGACCCTAAATCAAATTGGTTCCACATAGTAGTGACATAAACTGCTGAACTGAGCTACCAATTAAAACTTGATTATTCATTAATCTCTATTATCTACGATCACTTCGAAATCTTTTATTAGTTTTAAGACACCATTATTTTATGATGATGCCGCTTATACAAAACATAATTGGTAATTTGCAAAATTTTTTTATTTTAAAAGAAAGATTTGAACTGTTGAAACTCGTAACTTTTTAACCGACAAATTAAATTTTAGTCGGACTTTTATTTATTTTTTGTGTCAGTATATGTTGTCCAGAAATTTCCTTAAAACATAAAACCATATATGGATGGTCCTTTATCCTGATCCTATGATTTGGTATACTCCAACTTAGGAAACAGTACACGATTCATCAAAATCGGCGAGCGAATGTCCTCATAATCTATTATTATGTAAAATTGTTATAAAGAGTACACAAAATATCTTAATGTATAGGTTCTGATGTTGGAGGTTCAACTCGGATGCCTGCCTTCTACTGTGGAATGTTTGGACACCATCCCACCGCCAACACAACATGTATGAGAGGTAATATTAATTTAAAATCATAAAAAAATATACTGGTTATGGGAAGAATTTATTAAATTATAATAACTATAGATAAGCGATCGTGCTAAGAAATTTAGCAATTTTTGAAGTTTTACTTTTTTTGGCGCGTTAGGGAAAAATGATGAGAGTAAATTTTTACGATGCAGCGCACACCGTGACAAAAAACCGACACCCTGAAGTTAGCTATAGTCAACATTTTAGTTTTTTCTATTGTTAGTATCGTTTTTCTACAAAGAAAGAAAGATACATTTTTTGAAAATATTTTTATCTTGTTACGCCAAAGAACTAAGAAGTATAACTTCTAAGTAAAGTACTCAACGTTTTTTTTTAAATTTTACAGAATAATTTAATCGTAATCATGGTATATTACATATGAAAACCACTGTGGTCTGTATTAATGTACCTTCTTGCTAGGAGCGCGACAAATGCACCTAAAAATAGTTCTTCAACTAAGAAATGAAACATCACATTCCAAAATAAATCGGTCATATAGTCAACTAAAGTTTCCATTCTTTCTGTCCAATTGTGTTTACGCTTTGATGAAAAGAGACAGAAGGCTATAGTTAAAACAACGTAGGTACAATAAATTCGAAGCCAATCTTCTTTTAACTTGTAACTGTTCCTTGTGACAAGCGTGTAATTAGTAATTTCGTGTTTTTTGATATACAGTAATCAAAGACAATATTTTTATAGGCGTCCTCTTTCGTGAGGGCAACGAAGACTCCATGTTCTGTCTGGGCTTCATCTCCAGGCACGTGGAAGATTTAGTTCCTCTCACCAAGATAATAACGGCCCAAAAAGCTGATAAATTAAATTTGGACAGAAAAATTAATTTAAGGAATGTAAAGTTTTATTATTTGGACTCGAGCAGCGACTGTCTAGTCAGCCCGTTGCGATCTGAAATGACAGAGGCGATAATGAAGTGAGTACTATTGTTCTATACCTACCAGGAAATGTCTTGAAATTATTATTATTATTTTTTTAGACGAATCACATTTATAATCGGACTTTGATTTACAATCAAGTATACAGTATTTACAATTTTGTTAACCTACAAAGTAATAATAAAAATAATTAAAATGAAAAACAAAACAAATTTAATAAGTTTGGTCCCTGTGACATACCTTTAATGCTGGCATTTCCTCGCTGCATTGCGATACTTATTCGTTGAGCGACGAAAACAGCAGCTCTGGGGTCACCGGTACTATCTACCAGGCGCCATCTTAAATCTTTAATTAGCGCCTGTGCACTTGAACCCCACGGCTCAAAAGTCTACTTCAAAGGGAACAAAATCAAAGTTGGACGAAAGACCAACTCAAAAGATATTTCAGCCGTTTATTATTTTCCATCTGCTCTGCAGCTTTTTCTTACCTTTTATTTTAATATAGCAAACATATTTTTGAAGAACACATATCTTTTGGTTTTCATTTCTCTTTCACATACAACCTTTCTCCGGTTTTGTTGATTCAAGATTAATGATATAATAATATATTAATACTTACGAATTACGATTTTGTTGCAGTTACGATATCGTATAAAAAAAGGTTGCATGAGAAATTATTTTTCCTTTGTGTCCTAGATCTTGTTAGTTTTCTTATTTTGTGTCATTAATTATATACCAGTCACAGACATTAGTTGTTTTTTGTAAATAAAACTAATTTAAGTGATTTTCGTTTCCAGGGTCGTTGAGAACCTTAGAGGGAACCTTAAAGTGGAAGTTCAGCCTTACCATCACAAGGGTTTTGACTACATGTACCGTTTATGGAGCTACTGGATGAGCAAGGAGCCTGGAAACTATTTCAAGCTGGCAACCAACAGTGAAGTAGAACTTAATGCGTGGACTGAAATGGGTAAAAAGGTAAGTTATATTACAAATATTTCAGTATATATCGATATATAATGTCATATTAAACAATTGTTTCTCCGGGAATCAAACTCTTTAAATAATTAAACTGTTAACACCAATACGACAGCGTACAACTTCATTTAATTTCCCAACCACGCCCTATTTCCGACCCTTCACAGACAAGAGATATAAAATCCCTTTATTAGTTTAAAAAAAACAAATCAGACGAAAAAGCATGCCTGTCTCGTGTACTGCGGAATATTTTGGGTCGTTTAAGTGAAATTTAAATCTCAGCCCGAAAGCGGAAGATGCTCCGAAGAAGTTTGCGACGACGTTGTTCGGCGTATACGTATACGACGCCAACATCGTCCAATTCATAAGCAACAGGCTCAATTGGTTGGGACATTAGCACCGAATGGCGGACGACAGAACCCCAAAGTCCTTGCTGAACTCACAACCTGGTGGCAAATGAAACCCGGTAGACCGAGGCCGCGTTGGTTGGATGGAGTTGTCAAGGACTTCAAACAATAGGTGTTCGAAGTTGGATGCAAGAAGCACGACATAGATTGCGATGGCGAAGGCTACAGTACAGCCATTGATGATGATGATACAAACAACCAAAACATTAAGAGATCTTCCTTCTAGAGTTTTTAAAAATCGACTTAATGTACTACTTTTGGAAAAAATATATTATTATTTTAATGATTATTTGCGTGAAACATTATAATGAATAATAATATATTTTAGCAATGTGATATTTTATCACTACAAATAATATAAGAATTGACTAATTGATGTGACTGTATATATAATGTATATAAGTTCTAAGTAAAATTCCCTTTAAGACAAATTTGCACGCGATTATGTGTGGCAGAACATGCGAACTTTCGATTGTACCACCTTGTATACCTTGTGTACACAGTTAAAGACTACCTAGAAGACAAAAACGCGTGGCAATGGTTCTACTTACATTGTTATAATTTATTTTGTTATCTTTGAAGTGTAGTGAATATGTGTGTAATGGTGAATGTGGTAAATCACAGAACAGATTTTTTTTTTTTTACTTATGTAACTTTAAGGACGTTGTGGTTTATGACATTTTCCTTTGAATAATTGTAATGTAGAGGGAGGGTAAAATTTGCTGAGTTTCTTGCCCGTTCTTCTCAGAACAAGGCCTCCTGGTAGTTTTGCGAACGGAAGGCGTAGTCTTGTTCTTTCGCGAATTTTGTAAACCTTTTTGACATTCATAAGCATGCCCTAAGACGCATAGACTAAACTGAATAAACGTATTTTGATTGATTGATAAATGTTGTACTATATTCTTGCAAATAAATTATTATTATCATCATTATTCTTATTAATACAATCGTTCTTTACAGCTCATAGGAATGAGCAAGCACTGTCTCTTCCTAATATTGCGGTGTCTGGAGCTGAGAGCGTTCCCTCAACTGGACAGCGTGTGGGCGGAGAAAATCACGCAGGAGCTGAAAGATGATCTGGCTGTAAGATTTGCACAATGCTTGTTGGTCTAAGATCCCGCTATACAACGACCTTCACCGAGATGCTTATTTAATGAAACTTATTTTATATATAATTTAATATGTCAATAAATATAATCCATATGGGTTGCCTAGCAAATTTCAGTCCAGAATATGTTTAATTAATTTAAAAAAAAAATATTTTTTTAAACATTTCACCGGTATGATTATTAGATAAATTCTATACCAATCGAACGTATGAAGCCCATAGAATATGCAAACGTTAGGTTGTTTTTAATCAATTAATTATTATTGTCTTTGATTAACATAACTTTTATTCATTTAATAAAACACTATTTTGACCGGATTGAAGTTATGTATTATTATAAATTTACAACTATTTAACATAATTATAAATTTATCCGACGTTTCGCGTGCTTTACAGCGTGCGTGGTCACGGTGACTACGCACCGTGACCACGCACGCAATTTATAATAATACATAACTTCAATCCGGTCAAAATAGTGTTTTATCAATTAATTATTATTTATGTGTATATTTTTTATGTGACACTAAAGTATATATACATCTTTAGTATAAAAGAAGGTTATAGTGATACATATAATATAATACTACCCTGATTAAAAATATTGATTGAAAAAGTTCAAAAAATTTACTACATGCAAATTATAAAAAAAATTTTTTTTAATATTAATTAAACATACTCTGGACTGAAATTTGCTAGGCAACCCATATGGATTATATTTATTGACATATTAAATTAAATATAAAATAAGTTTCATTAAACAAGCATCTCGGTGAAGGTCGTTGTATAGCGGGATCTTATACTATGTTATGATGTTTTAGATTGAACACTTTCACTGAGTGCTAAACTCAGTCAGTTGTTTGTTATCAGCTTTAGCATTATACTGAATATACCTAGAGGTGTAGATATACATAATATATGTTTGTAACTATACAGTGTGAAAGATATTAGAGCGGCTCATGGCCATGTGTAATACCTTTTCAGAATCCCTATTAAATGCGCCAAAACTTGTAATACAGGGACACTTTTCGGTAGAGTAATTGGAACGAAGTTCCTTATCGCGCGTTGTGAAAGGGGGCTAGACGGAAAAAATTCTTACGAAAAGTTGTCACGACACTTTTTTGCTATTTGCTATTGTAATACACCGGTTCTCGTCCGATCACCGAAGTTAAGCAACGTCGGGCGAGGTCAGTACTTGGATGGGTGACCGCCTGAGAACACCTCGTGATGTTGGCTTTTTTTTGTAGGGATAAGAAATGAAAATTATTTTTGGAATCACTTAACTAAATTAGTCTTGTTGGAACGAAGTTATCGAGCGTTGCGAAAGGGGGCTAGACGGAATAAATTAAGACCAAAAGTTGTAACGACACTTTTCGCTATAGTTGTTATATTTTATATTTTCGATTTAATTATCGCCAACGTCCATACCACGTTGATTACACCGGTTCTCGTCCGATCACCGAAGTTAAGCAACGTCGGGCGAGGTCAGTACTTGGATGGGTGACCGCCTGGGAACACCTCGTGATGTTGGCTTTTTTTTTGTCGTAAGATTGGTGTCGAGAAAATCTATCATACTGTTATGATACCAATTAACATATAAATTAATCGAAAGGAATTTCGTTCCATCCGGGTGTCCTTGACACCTCTAAAGTTTTATATATTTTTTTTTTCACAGTGGGGTCCGAAGTAAACAAAAAGTTATGATTTGAAAAAAATGTTATATCGTATCACTTAATATTATCTTGAATACACTCAATAAACAACTATAAATAGTATGTCTAACGCAAGAACTCATCAGTACCAATCTAGTCGATATTATGAAAAAGATACAGAATGTAGATTTTTTCGAATTTTAATAAGAATTAGTAAAAAAAGTCAATTTTCTTATAAAAACGCAAAATAAATTATAACTCTGCAGGGGTTGAGCTTAGAGACCTCCCGTAGAACAATTTTTTCCAGCTGATGACCTCATCTATCCCCTATTTGCGTTTGATCCACGACTTTTTGACCACCCTGTATATTTAATATAAAGGAAGAATAACAGAACCATTATTAATAAAAGATACCAGAGTTTATTGTTAAATATAGAGATTGTAGTTTAAATATTAATGTAAATAAATTGTACTTAATTTAGTATTTATTTAGAACAAACTTGGCGACAACGGAGTTCTTCTGATGCCGAGCGCGCCCCATGCGGCTCCCTACCATTACTCATTCTACCTTCGACCCTATAACTTTGCCTACTTTGGTATCGTCAATGCGCTCAAACATCCAGCTACTCAGGTAAATAGTATTTATATTCTTTGTGCTTATGAAGAAGTTTTTGTGACGATTTGACGTACAGAAAAAATATCAAACTTAAGGTCTTACATGAGTGACAATTTAAGGCTATTGTTGTTGTCTATGTATTTTTTTAATTGTATATTACTTTAAGTAGTATTTACGTGACCACAGGGGGCGCTGTAAGATCTTCAAATAATTTGACGAATTCTTACGCTCTGCTTAATCACATGGAGAATTAAAGAAACCTACGTTATTTTTTGGATCTCTTTTGCTTTTGAATAATTCAATAAGTTTTATTGCATCATATACATTTGCGACGTTGCCGCACTTATACGTTGTAGTCGCCATTCAAATATTGGCAACCTCGCCTAGACATAAGGGCGTAGGAAGAATTTTTAAAGCGATATCTCGAGTTTTCAAAACATTTCGATACAGATTGTGAAATCTATCGTCAAAATTATTAATTACCAAAGAGTTACGGCTTTTCCATAGCAACGATTTGTCTATTTATTTATTTTGTCTTTGGTACCATTGAATAAATGGCCCTACGGAGTGTTTATTTTGCATGGGTTTTAACAAAAACTTCTAAATATCCTATGATATTATATGATTTCGATAAACTCTTTCATATCGTATTTATTTATTTGCATAGGTCAAATTTTAACTGAAAATATTATAAAACTATTATACAATTATTAAAAGATATTTTCATACGTACCTACTATGAACTGTCACAGAGTGAAAGCGATTTTATTAATTTTCAATTACTATAGAATTATTGTTACAAAGCAAACAATAACAATAACGATATCCAACCAACCCAAATACCGATTTAGATCTTTCGATACTTTTACGAGTTCACTGTGCAGTTTTTTTTTTGTATGTAATATTATTTTACGTTACGTTACCTTGATGGCTGGAAGTCTTCCACGGTCCGTTCATAAAACATTCTTTTGGCAACAAGCGAACTGTGGAATCGACTCTCGGTTTTTGTCTTTCCTGGGTGATACGGCCCCCAATTGCTTAAAAAAAGAGTATACTCCTCCCTCAAAGGCGAACAAACGTTGGCAAAGCTAACGCACCCACTAACATGGGTGCACATGGGAGTCCCGTAATAATGAAAAAAACGATAAATAAAATTATTAAATCTTTTGACAGGTTCCCCTGGGCACCAATAGCAAAGGATTACCATTGGGACTTCAAGTCCTTTCAACGCCATACAACGATGCTGTGTGCCTTGAAGTTGCGAAATATCTAGAAAAAGAATTCGGCGGCGCCATAATGCCTTGTGCAATTAAAAACAAAGCGTAGGCGAAAATTTTGTGTTCTAGAAATAATAGATATTACATCAAAAATAATTATTTTAATTTTGTAATGTCATGTGATTGTCGATTGCTACTTAGATTTTAAGGTGAGGTTAAAGGGGAATATTTTGTTAAATGTTACTGGCTGTAAATATTTAGAGTTAATAAAAATATTTTGCTGGCTATAATTTTTTCTATTTCATTTTTTCCTTTTTTCATTTGAAAACAATTTTATAATTAAAAACACGTTTTACACATGTATAAATAAATAAACTTAATTGGGTGGGGCACATGACAAGATGAACAGATAAGTGGACCAAGAAAGTACTAAACTGGTGCCCAATGTACAATAAACGCATAAGAGGAAGAAAATTTAGAAGGTGGATATAACATATTAAGGAAACAGCGGGTGGTACATGGTAGAAAGTGGCACATTGCAAACAGGAATGGCGGGATTTGGACGAGGCCTTTGCAAAAAAAGGGAAAATTGTTATCTAGAAATTAATGACATGATAGATATATAAATGTGACTGTCTGAAATAAATTACTTTTATTAAGTATTATCATTATTTTACACATATAAAATAATGTGTTTTAATATATTTTCTTCTATAAAATACCTTTTTATCGTGGGTTTTTATTTGTATTTGACTATAAATGACGTATCGATCAAAACGACCATGACGTCATGTAATTTGTGATAAGGGTAAGATTTAAAAATTACTTAGCGCAAAGTCAATCCCTGTAGGTTTTATTGCAGTCACAGAAACGGGATGTAACGATTCCATAGCTGACGCTAAGTTAGTACCAAGTCAGGAGTATCTAGTATATAGTATATGTAGTGTATGTACGAGCAAGCTGCACTAGATAACTAAGTATATGAGAGGTTGAGATGTAAGAAAGAAATAATGGATTCCATTATTTTAGAGAACAAGGATGTTATAGGTAAGGTTTAGTATAAGGCCCCGTAAAACATTTATAGTGTGAATGATGAGGGGTAATTTATATACTATGGTTCAGAGTATTTTACTCTGTGACCTGTGTTGTTATATGTTCTAGTTGTTCTGTGGATTGTGACTGATACTGATTCTGTTTATGTTTTTTTAATTTCCAAAATTCCAATCCCAATGTTCCAATGGAAAGTTTTAAGTTTCAACTTTCAAGAAATTTTTTGAAACAGTCTTGAACTCGTATATATATACAGTTTTACAGTGAATGGCCAATGCAGGACACGAATTAATTAAAAAAGCTGCCGTTCGTTTTACGATTGGACTTTGTTTCTTGTAAAGTGTTAACATACTAGTATGAATATATTACCGCTTTAATTAGATTTCATTGACTACTAACTCCGGTCTTCGGTATATTATTTTCATTAGGTAATTCCATATATTGTACTATGTCAATAGGAAAAGATAAATCTATAAAGACAGAGAATAATAAAGAGGTAAGATAAAACTACATAGTTGGTAATATCATAAAGATTATTTACTGTTCAATTTCATACAAGTTGTAAACTGGCTTAGTTTAGTGAATACTATTGTTATTAGTTTGACTTTGATGAACCCATTTTGTTTTATAATTCAAGACAAATAATTTTCTAATGAGCGATTGTAATCCACAAATTATTAATAAAATTTGTATTATTTTCAGTGTTGTAATAATAAAACAAGTAAGATTTTGAAAGGCGTAACCATGGGCTTATTGAAGCAATTATTTTTCTGCTTTCGCTTTTATATGGACATGTGCATAGACTTTCTTTTTTCATTATACTGGGATGGACAGCGTAGAACAATACCATCTTTGGAGAAAAAACATAATTTGCTTAAAGAAAGTGCTGTGACTTTGGCGGCAAAAATAAGGAATAAAGAATTAAAGTCGAGAGATTTAGTGGCCGCTTGCATTGAGAGGATTAAAATTGTAAGTTTCTTCAGTTTATTTTTAAATTAATATGTACTGATATCTAATTAGTGATATATTTAAAATTATAAAACATAAATTTCATAAGAGTAACAGCAAACACAGTCAAATATTAGTTTATTTTTATATTGATAAGTGTAAAATGGTGATAATAAGTATTTTTTATTCCAGTTAACTAGCTATACCTCAATTTCCTTGACAGCTAGTACTGAACCTAATTAAAATTTTAATAAGGTTCATCGTTTAAAAACTTATTTGTAACAAATTATGGTAATTACTTTTATAGGTGAATCCTTATTTAAATGCAATAACTGATGAGAGATTTGAGGATGCTTTGAAAGATGCAGAAGAGGTGGATAGAATGATAGAAAAGGGCTTATCAGATGAGGAATTCGAGAAGAAACCCTTCCTAGGTGAGTTAGTGACCATTAGAACAGTAAAAGTAGTAGAGAGTTTGTATCTAGAAGCAAAGAATTTAATAATAACATTTTAAATTATTATAATAGAGTATAACACCTACTTGCTTGTAAATAAAGGTTTTAAATAAAACTCTACATGCAACTATTAGATTATATATAGGTGTTACTTTATTATTTATATAAAAACTTTTAGTATTTGTATATAACAAGTTGGAAAGCATATTTCTTTTCCTTTACAAATGTTAAACATTCATTATTTGTCCGGGTTTTAACCCAGAACCCATATTATATGCCATGTGTTCTGGAAATTTAGATAATTGATTACAAGGTGTGTAATTTTTGAATAAATATAATAACAAACAGAATAGATTATAATTGTTACGTGCACTATCATAACATTATTGTTAAAAAAAAATGATTTAGTAGTAAATAAATGTAAATTTAATTAGGTGTTCCATTCACGGCGAAAGAGAGTCACGGTGTACTCGGTATGTTACATACACTCGGCGTGACCGCTAGAAGCGGCGCACGCGCAACTGAGGACGCGGAATGCGTACGTCTATTGCGAAATGCTGGTGCGATACCTGTAGCTGTCACCAATGTACCGGAGATTAATAAATGGTGAGCTGAGATAAAAATTTACTGAATATCTGATTTAACATATCTTATGTTTATATCACATTTATGTTTTAGGCAAGAAACACGCAATATGTTGTTCGGGCAGACTAACAATCCATACCACACAGGACGAACTGTCGGAGGCTCTAGTGGTGGTGAAGCCGCTCTTTGCGCAGCCCTAGCTAGTCCTATATCGCTGTGTAAGTACTATTTCTAACAATATTTATAAGTGAAACTTCTTTAGGCGCATGAGTGTAAATTTTTTACGGATGACGCAATAATAGCGTCACGAAGATGTGCAGCGTTTTTGTCGAAGATAAGGGAGAGAACGATGGTACGGAAAATGCAGAATGGTTAGATGACGATGAAGTGGAGGGTAGTTTTGAAGATGAAGAAGAAGATGGTGCAATACCGATTGTAGATATTTTGGCCCATTTAGAGAATCCTTGGACTTCTGAATAATAGAAATATTACATATTTATATTTTTGTTATGAAAGATATTTATTAATTTATTTAAATTTTATTATAACTTATTAAATATTTTGAATTTTCCGAATTTGTGTACTATCATTTAGAATTTATCATACTCAGTAGGGGGGGAGTCTTAGTTTTTGTGACGAAGTATTTCTATGGGGGGGTCACAGAAAGTGTGACACAGCGTGGCAATAGGGGGGTAGGGGGTCAAAAAAGCTGATTTTAGTGGCGTATTTTATGAACGGCCCCTTAATGATATTTTCCTTTAAATAATTTTAATGTAAAGGGGAAACTAAAATTTTAAGTTTTTGTATTTTATATTTCAGGTTCCGATATCGGTGGTTCGACTCGGATGCCTGCATTTTTCTGTGGACTTTATGGCCTCAATCCTACACCTGGTCACACTAGTCTTAAAGGTATGTTTTTGTTGTAGGAAACACTAGTTACAAAGTAGTGTGGATGGTTCAAGGCCGCCACGTTTTATTTAATATTAAGTTTATAATTACGTTCTAATCAAAGAATATTTATTTAATTCTATTTATATTCAAAGGATCGGTACTCCGAACTGGTCAGAACCCTACAATGGCATCGATTGGCTTTGTAAGTAAACACCTGGAAGACCTGGCGCCTCTCACTCAAGTCGTAGCCGCAGAAAAGGCAGATCTACTCAACCTGGATAACAAAATCGACATTAAGGTAAATTATATGAATCCTCATCGAAAGTACGCAATAAATTAGTAGATTTTATAATAAATATAACTGTACGTAAGTCTACGAACGTTTACAAGCGCGCACGTGATTTGTCTGCAGAAAATTCTATTACTACATACTTTAAAGCATAAAAAAATTGCCAATAATTCAGGCGATTAATTAAAATTAGCGTGTACATATAAACTGAATTTAACATATTTTGAAGGTACCGGAAATATTATGTTACAATTCAGTAATAAAAAGATCATACATACAGATATATGTTAAATGAAACAAATCGGCTTTAAAGCCGAATTTACATTACGAAACTAGTGGCTCGGAATTAGTTTTATGACATAAATTTCATCAACAATTTCACGTGTAAATTTACAGTTTCATAATGCATGCATCGGTTTGCAAGCATGCATGCAAGCATTTGCACAGGGCAGACGTGTGTGTTTGAGTGCATCGTGCAGCTAAATGACCCCCAAAATGGCAAACCAACGTTGGTCAGTTAATAAAAATATAATTTTCGAATTTTATATATTAACATCTGTACCACGACGTTCTGCATCGCAAAATGAAGCTTTGATGTTGACAGAGCCATGTCGTTGGTGATACTGTTGATTTCACGACACTATTATTTTTTGTTAAAGTAGTTTCACACGTGCTGCAACTATTTTCATGAAACTCATTCCAACATGCATAACACTAGTTTCGTAATGTAAATTCGGCTTAATTGTTTAAAACATGAACTTATAACTAAGATAACATTAGGGGTAGTGGGTTTGCGACGCTGGATTAACAAAAAACTAACTTGACTTATTGAAGAGTTCTTAAATCTCGTTCGTAAGTGACACTTATGTTATTGGACATTATCGGAAACGAGTTAAATTAAAATTTATGATTGTGGTAAAAACTAAAGGGCTCATGTCGGCAAGAGTGCGATGATTGCTTACATTAGGTTTACGCTTCTAATTATTAACTAAAATTGTGTAATATGTAACTTTACTAATGTTAGGTAACATAAATCTAGTTTCGTATTGTTAAATTTTTATACATTTATAGGACGTGAAATATTTCTACACGGAATGTGCCAAGGACCTTCGCGTGAGCCCTGTTTGTTCTGAACTGAGAAAAGCTATGAGAAGGTATTTTTAAGTTTTGCGAATCATATAATATAGTGATTTTTTAAATTTTCCCTTTCCGTTTTGGTTTAAAGACTAATTATTTAATTTCAGACAGTTTATTAAAGTCGACTACCTTATATGTTCTTTATAAATCGTATTTTATATTTATAATTATACTGTAGGTGTGTATGTCACTGAACTCCTCTTAAACGGTTGGACCGATTTGAAATAAATTATGTTTGGCTTACGGGTGGCGCCCAGGATGGTTTAGATTCACAAATCATCCCGGCAGATGGCGCTGCAGTCGGTATCTAGGTTATTTAATTTTACAGAAAATACACAGCTGGTATATATATAATTCTTCTGTACATGTGTTGGTGATTAAACTCCTAAACCGCTGGACAGATTTTGATGAAATTTTTTGTATGTTGTGGAGTTCATTATTAGATATTTTGTTTGTTTGTAAGTGTGTACAGGACAATGTTTGTCGAATCCGCTAGCTTATTTATAAGTCCTATTACAACATATATGGTTAAAACATACAAGAAAACTAGTGGACCCCACAGATGTTGTCCTGCATGATATTTAAAGCGATTAGGATATTAAGCAAAGTATGAAAGTACCGACTGCAGTGCCATCTGCCGGGCTGATTTGTGAATCTAAACCATTCCCAGATCCCCTTGAACACACACAAAAAATTTCATCAAAATCGGTCCAGTCGTTTAGGAGGAGTTCAGTCACATACACACGCACACAAGAAATATATATATTAAGATGTGACTTCACACATAAACACACATCAATTATAATCATTGTATCCATGCTTGAGTTCTGTTGCTCTCTGATCGGCGCACATACTTATTAAAAAATAAAATTGAAATGTCGGGCGATAATAATAACTATCTGGCTAATATTAATGGCTTGGAGTCTGAAACATATATTCTTGCACTATGTTATTCTCAGTCTAAAGTGTAATTAAAATATTGCAGAGTAATAAAGCGTCTCTCCGACGAGTGCCCCAGTTCCCCCACTCCGTACTACCACAATGGGTTTAACTATATGTACTCGTTATGGAGACACGCTATGACCAAAGAGAACGAACGCTTTGCAAGTCTGCTTCTCGATAATGCGGGAGAGGTTCACGGATTAACAGAGTTGGGGAAGAAGGTAGGATGTATTTCCGTATTTCCGAACTAATTCATCTTAGGGTCCTTCAAGAAAGGAGCGTACCAATTCTTAAAAGGCCGGCAACGCACTTGCCTTCTGGCAATGTGAGTGTCCACGGGCGGCGGTATCACTTAACATCAGGGGAGCCTCTTGCCTGTTTGCCTCCTATTAAAATTACAGGCCTGTAATTCTCCAGACTATTTCACAAATTTAGTAAATTAAACACGATTTGAATCAGAAAGAATTTATTATTCCTCAATTTATTTTACCAAACTTTTATATTGATATAATTTTCCATACATTCTAACGCTTGAAGTATATTTTTTTTTTAATTAAAATTAAGTTTATGCAATGGATAAATCATTAAAAAGGCTATAAAGTATTAACATTTGCGTAGTGCAAATTAATATTCATATGTGCTGGGGCTTCAGACAAGTTTTCTACAACAAACAATTTTGTATGAAAATGGTCACGTGACCAGAGCGTGTAATGTCATTCCCATACATAAGCCGTTAAAGTGCTTTTGTCTCAAGTCCCTATTTAATTTAGATTTCAATTAAATGCCTTAAACTCGTGCAGATTCTTTTCCCCCTTTACTGTAGCAGCCACTCCTAATTTTCATTTTCATATTTTTGCAGTTGGTAGGAAAATCTGAATTTACTGCTGCAGCTATTATTAAAGTATTGGATGACCAAGTGTTGCCACCTGTTAATAAAGAGTGGGGAGACAAACTTGCAGAGGAATTGAAGAAAGATCTTGTGGTATGTTGTTTTTAAAGTTAATAAAGTTAATGTTAGTTATTTCGACAATGTATTTGCGTGATGTTCCCACGAGAATGTAAGTGCGTGCTCCTATTTCACCATGCCTCCTACTGATAGAGGACAAATCTTTGTTTTTAATTTATTTTATTATTATATTTCTGTCATGTCATATGGAACATGGTGTAATGGTTGCAGCTCCTTACAAACGTTGTGTAGAATGAAAAACTTGGCGATTAAAAGAGTGGCGGAGAGTTTATTGCCAGTTCTTCTCTTCCGTTCTACGCCCTTGATTTGAGAACTGGCAGTAAATGTAAAATTAGAAGAATTTAATTTGTATTTGTTTTTTGACTTTCATAAGTGTACATTGTGCTACCTATATATGATTTTGTTTTTGAAATAAACACTTAAATTATTATTTGTTCTTTTCGTATCAATTTGCACAACGAAGGGGTGAAACTCCAGTGTACTTCTCCTCTTGTCTAAAAAAATCTTATTTTTTAAGGGGTTGTATAACGAATTCTAGTATTATTACGTGTTGCAGTTGCAGTCCTAATAAGTTATCAGGAAACTTAAATTAAATTTTTTTTCAGAACATCCTTGGTACAAATGGTGTGTTAATATTCCCATCAGCACCTCAGCCTGCGCCATACCACTACAGCCTGTATCTTCGGCCATTTAATTTCTCATACTGGGGGATATTCAACGTCCTGCATTTGCCTTCCATTCAGGTATTTATGTCCAGTTTAAATCACAGCCATTCATTATAAAGGAAAGCTCTCTATAACGTAAAAAATAGTAAACTTTGTTTGGTTTAACACAAAACCCATACATTACTTAAATCTTTATAACGCAACATCCATTCTCTATAACTAAGAAATATTGTCATATTTAGACATCAACAACATACTTACTTTCTCGCCTTTGTTATTGTTAATTGCATTAATACGTGTGCCATTCTTAGATTACATTGCCTGTCATAGCAAAACACGTCAGGCAAAGAAAACAGAATATATAGTCCAAGATCCCAGAGCGATAAGACATAACTTATTTTCTAAAGCATAGAACTTTCGGTTCTAAGTAGTCTCTCGTGTACTTTTTAATACCTGTACGCTTGTGGAGTTGGCTCGGTGACACCTGCGCAGGTACCAGGTGAGAAAGGTAACTAAAAATCAGAGTAACTTAAGTCAAATTTTAATGACTGATTTTTATATATAATTTGTAGAATATTACTCTGAAGTAATATCAAAAAAGTCAGACGCTTTCCATGGGCCAGAACTTTTGTCAGACGCTTTAAAGCTCTACAAAAAATAAATGAACTTAATTTATTTTTAAATGTCTGATTTTTATATATGTTATTCAAATAAGTATTACAAAGTTATATTTAATCAGTCAGACAAACGCGCTGTAAAGCACGCGAAACGTCGGATAAATTTAAAATTATGTTAAATGATTGTAAATTTATAATAATACATAACTTTAATCCGGTTAAAAAGTTTTTTCTTTAAACTTTGCATGTATACTGCTCTCGCGCTCATACTCATAGTTGAGTAATTTTTGTGTTTAGGGGATGTTTGGTAATATTTATTTGAATAACATATATAAAAATCAGTCATTAAAATTTAACTTAAGTAACTCTGATTTTTAGTTACCTTTCTCACCTGGTACCTGCGCAGGTGTCACCGAGTCAACTCCACAAGCGTACAGGTATTAAAAAGTACACGAGAGACTACTTAGAACCGAAAGTTCTATGCTTTAGAAAATAAGTTATGTCTTATCGCTCTGGGATCTTACTCTAATATGTGTTAAGAATAATTTACCTATTGATAGTAATAAATAGAAATCGGATTATATGCATTTGCATGTTTGCATATGCAAATGCATATAATTCTATTTTTACAGCATTATTGCATATTTTGGTACTTTTTCATTGATAGTGCTTATTTCAATAGTTAGGTATACGTGTTTGGCAAATATTGCTAGTATCTCAACACATTTCAGTAATATACCCGATGCGATTGAGAAATTAGAAACAAAAAACTTTCCTCTATGCCAGTCCTTGGAAACAATAGAAAAAATTATTGAACAGAGTAATGCCCTTCCGAGTTGACTATCGCAAAAAGTTCGTGGCAAATTAAATGCAGTTTTGTATAAAAACCCCGGTTTTGAAGGGATAAAGAAAATTGACGCGTTTATCAACGGCACCGGACAAAGTCTGCCTGAAGAGGTCTCTGCAGAAATGGCGCCAAATTTTAAGTTCTGTCCGGTAACGTCAGTTGACGTAGAAAGGTCATTTTCAGCCTATAAATTAATATTAAGTGACAAACGTCACAAGTTTGCTCAAGAAAACTTGGAAAAATATATTATTGTTTACTGTCACAAGAATTATAATAAATAAGTTTATTAATTAATTCTATGTAATAAATTATTAGTTTTATTTTTTATTCTAATTGCATTTTTATTGTGCATATTTTATGCATATTTCGCCCTTTTTTAGTGCATATTTGCATGCATATTTTGGCATTTTGATAGTGCATATAATCCGATGTCTAGTAATAAACCTAGAAATTATTGTAATTGGTTAAATTTGTTTTTGTTTCTCTTCCATTCATATAACGAAAAAAAAATTATTGTGCCCCACCATCCATGTTACAGATTTTATTTACAATTGAATTTATTTTCAATTCCAGATCCCTCTAGGCCTTAACGCGGAAGGTATTCCGCTCGGAATCCAGGTCGTGGCTGGTCCGCGACAAGAAGCCCTCTGCCTCACAGTTGCGAAGCATTTGCAGACTATGTTCGGTGGATATGTGCCGCCTTGTACTATTCATGATTAAAATATGAGAAAGATATAGTAATAATATATTTTAATGTTATTGTAAAGGGAAGGGGCTTGGATCTCGAGTATTGTCTGTCCGTACCGTATTATCTTACAAATTAATTCTATGATATATTTATTGAAGCTTCAGCGTGTGATTCTCATCCCTGAGGACGTAGGTTCGATCCCCGGTTGTGCACCAATGGACTTTCTTTCTATGTGCGCATTTAACAATCGCTCGAACGGTGATCGATAACATCGTGAGGAAACCGACTTGCCTTAGACTTAAAAAGTTGACGGCGTGTGTCAGGCACCTAATTGAGAAATTACATCTGTTTCATACAGATAAAAAATCTGAGGCCCAGACCTAAAAAGGTTGTAACGCCACTGATTTATTTTGTTTTTATAAAATGTTTACAAAAAAACTTTACAGCGCCATCTAGTGGTACGAAAACAATACGTGTTTAATGGATTTTTTTAATTATATTAAAAATGTTATATATAATACTTCAAGATTTTATGAATTAAACAATACTCCATTGATTATACTCTAATTTTTGATATATTTATATTGTTGAGGTGAAGGTGATGTTGGATATTTTAATAAACATATTTTTAAATATATTTTTTATTTCTTCAATCCTAAATTTGAGTGTTTGCTGCCCCTTCAACAAAAATTGATCATGACGTTTCCATCAATATTTAACACTTTTAATACCTGAGTTTTTTCATCTATCTTAACAGTTTATATAGAATAATAAACACCAATAATTCTACAATAAAAAATACAATAATTTAAAATATTATATACCAACTTTATAACTAATAGATAAAATAACAAGCAGCTCTTGTGAACTCAGCCAGAGTACAAACAAATATGTCGACCGCGTGAGTGACGCCTCGCTAACCAAGTTGCAGTGTGCGGTACAAAGTTGTGACTTCCGCCTCAGATTCAGTGTCTCCATTATATCCACATTATGCACCCAACCCGTAAGAATCCACTGATAAAGCAACTTCACGCGTTAGCGCTTGTCATCTCAACTCTTTATAAATTTGATCGCATTACATGTGAACTTAGCCTAAATAGACACAGAGGGAAAAATAATATAAATTGCACAGACGCAAAAATGCGTGTTGGGTTGGAGTAAAGGGGTTGCAGGTCTGATAAATGAAAACATAATTGAGAGAAAATGATTTATTGAAATAAACACACCCCAAGCTCGCCAGCGTCTCGGACGCTCCCCACCATCACTTATCGCAACAAATGGACTTAATCTATCTCTTACTCTTATTATTTACAATATATTGTACATTTGTGCCAAATCTATCACTACTTTAACGTCACAGCTACGTCAATAACTTTTATTATCATATAAATTCATATTTCTCTAACGTCTAAATATTCTAGAAACATCTTTTCATATGTCAATTTCGAAAACACGAATTAATACAATATCACTAACACAATGGAATGGTAAAATATTTTTTATTTTTATTGTAAACTATAACGAATACAGCTCAACGCCGTAATGTCAAATTGACACGTCAATGTCAAGTTTCAAATACGATTGATGCGTTCCGTTTCACGTTATAACTTGTCACTTTACGCTGAGTCTGCGACATATATTTCAATTTTAATAAATGCATTTTTAAATAAGCGAAGTTGACAATGTACTTTAATCAATAATAATTATTAAAATACTCTTAGGAGCGCAGACTTAGCGTAATTTATGTCATCTATAAAAGCACAATTAACTACAAAGTAACGAAATCTGAATTGTCAATATCACGTTACAAATATCAGACTATATCGGATTTTGAACCCTAAATATGGCACCCTGTTACAAAATTCACAACAGGGTTAAATTTAAGACCACTAAAAAAAGTTACTCTATAAATCTTGAGCAGCGTAATTTGTCGCAAATGAAAGTGAAAAAAGCTCAGTGACGAAGCGAAGCTGGGTGCCTTTTGACAGCTGTCGTATCTCGAAACGTCAATGTCAAACCGGTATGTCAGCTGTCATAACTATATACACTATCGAGAAAGCGCTATTGGTATTAAACAAAGAATTTTGAGGGTTTTTTAAAAGCGTAAAGGATCTAGGTTTGATTCTAGGCGATGAATGTTTTTATTTGTTTTTATGAAGTTACAGAAATTGTACGTTTCTTTCTACGGTACATGAAATGTAATAAGCACCAATAGCGTAAGCGATAGTAACAGCGACATTAATGAGAGAACTTTATTAAAATCCGTCATATATTGTCCTCTTTATGCACCTGAAACTGAGAGAAGAAGCAAATAGAAGCGCACCTATAGAACTCTAGGCCTGTTAATCTAGAATTGCAGATCCAGACGAATCCAGGTCTGCTCGACATCTATGTTAAGGGTTGTTAAGAGCTACTCCTAAGAGACGTCTCTGGGCGTCATGCCCCACTGGCCCGGCACTTGCAGGCCAATATCGCAGACACGATCCGCCTCAGCAGGGTGGGGCGGAATCGGCAGGGCGGGTCTTCGTAGACGCGCGGCGCGGTAGATGCGAGTATCGTGTGAATGTCCCGGGCGGGGGTTTTGGGGCGAAAGCGCGGCGGGGCTGGGGCGGGGCGGCGTGGAGCGTGCCCTCAGCTCGGGAACTTGTTGTAGAGCGCGTAGTGGAGCTCGTAGCCCGAGAAGCGGCAGTGCTGGGCTTCCTTCTGCTCGAAGCCGCTCAGGGAGTGGTAGGCCTTCAGCTCGGGCAGTGGCTCGGTGCCAGGAGCGTCCTGCAAATGTTGAAATGCTACATAATTCCGTTTTTATCATTTACATTTTTCCGTCTCTTCTTCATACTAACATATAATTTTCTAACATATTTTAAACGATGGTAATTAAAAAAACATGTGTGTGTACACGCGTTAAAAATCTTTTCAAATTTTTTATTTTAATATAAAATATTAACTATAGCTAACTTCAAAGTGTCGGTTTTATGTGACGGTGTGGGCGCGCATCATAAAAATTACTCTCATTATTTTCCCTAACCCGCCAAAAGAAGTATAACTTCAATAAATATGTTAGTAAAGTCTAAATGCCATAAGCCTAGAATTGTGTCGCTTTAACTTACCGGTGTATGGAATATGGTGAGGATAAACTTGGCAGGTCTGAAAGCGGCGAGCACGGCCCGTAGAACGCGATCGTAGCGCTCGACTGGTACGTTCGACTCGAACGAGACGTACGAACACGAACGCTCCGGCGTTATATGGATGGTCATGTAGTAGCCCTGGAAGAGGCAAAGTCAAAAACATTTATTCATATAGGTAACACAATGTACACTTATGAACTTCAAAAAGGAAATTTACATTAAATGCTTCTAATTTAAGTCTCAAATCAAGGGCGTAGAACGGAAGAGAAGAACTGGCAATAAACTCTCCGCCACTCTTTTAATCGCCAAGTTTTTTGATTTACGCAATGTTTGTAAGGAGCTGCAACCATTACACCATGTTCCACATGACATGACAGTAATAAATAATAATAAAATAAATCAAAAACAAAGATTTGTCCTCTATCAGCAAGAGGCATGGTGAAATAGGAGCACGAACTTAAATTCTCGTGGGAACAACACGAATTTGTGATAATTCCATATTACGTCACTTGACTATCGTCAAAACGTCAAAATGACTGAACTTTGACTGGTTTGTTGTCATCTTTATATAGACTCTCCCCTTATCGTGGCAATACAGAGTTTTGAACGACCCCTTATTATACTAAAGAACAAAAAAGGAAAAAGAACTTACATCCTTAGCAACTCCATTCATGGAATATCCGCAGGGATCAAAGAGATAGTCGTCAATCACCATTCCCGGGATTATTTGGTCGATTCCCGACGCCTGTTAACAAAACATTACTTATAAAACAATGAGGAACATGTATACTAACTTTTTTAGTAGTTTTATTCTAAGAGTACATTGTCTTCACATATAATTATTTAACTAATGTAAACAAAATATTGTAAACCTATTTTAAAAGAGTAAGTGTGGAGTTTCTTGCCCATTCTTCTCCACACGAAACTACCTTTTGGAAGGGGCAACTAGAATCTTCTTTGTATTTTGACGTTCAAAAGTGCCATTTTAGGTGGTCTAATTGAAATAAATGATTTGACTTGACTTGGCTTGAAACGCTTTTTTTGGAATGGGGTCAAACGAGCCTACGGGACGCTAAAATAGGGCAAACGTCTCCTCCTCTTAGGGATGTTGCCAGCCTCGGAGGGTCGAGTATACTCTTACTTTAAACAATTGGAGGTCTTATCTCTCAGAAGAACCCCTCGGGGAGTGGATTCTACAGTTCGCTAGTCAGCAAAAGTTAGTTGTCTTGTGAAGGGACTTATACGATTGCTATTCAATTTTTTCCTATATATAGAAGTAGAGTATCCAAAAAAATATTTTAAAATTATAATATTTCGACGTCTTTATATTATACCTTAGTCGCCTGCGCAGAATCAGCGGAATTAGCCCGTGTGAATATATCCATGACGGCGGGGTCCAACTCCGACATCAGTATCTCTATGGTTTGGTCTGGTTCGGGAACTTCTCGATCAGTAACTTCACGCTGTTCCTTTTCAAGTGCGTCTACTGTTCCTATAAAGGTAGCAGAAAATTACACAATGTACAATATCGTAAAAGAGTTAACAATAGCTAATGTACTGGAACCAGTGCTGGCCTGGTCTGTCATGAGGTAGCGCATTTGTTCTGGTCAAAACTTTAAATAGTTTCGGAAGTCAGGCACAGATATCTTAATATATATAAATCTCGTGTCACAATGTTTGTCCTCAATGGACTCCTAAACTACCGAACCGATATCAATCAAATTTGCACACCATGTGCAGTTCGATCCAACTTGAGAGATAGGATAGTTTAAATCTCAAATTATAGTCGCAATTTTAATTTATTGCAAAATATTTGTTTATTATTTGATACAATTCTAACAGATGGCGCTGTGTTAAAATTATCAACGTTTCACATAAGCTGTCATCTACCTTTCACAAGTTTCACATAAGTTCTCCTACCGTTTCCCTTGAATAGTTTACTACTCTACGAGTCTACTAGTAAAACATATGTAAATCTAGATCTTCTACCGCATTTACCATGGAGAGTGGTCAGAGGAGTTGTTCGGATTAATACCTGCAGCTGAGTTTCGTCATCGGACGTCGAGGCAGAATAAGAAATTCCGAATCACCTCGACATCCGTCTTTCCACAACTGAGTGTTTTAAGGAAGTTTTTGCCGCACACCACCGCTACGTGGAACCAGCTGCCCACTAAAGTATTTCCGAACCAATTCCACTTAGGGTCCTTCAAGAAAGGAGCGTACTAATTTTTAAAAGGCCAGCAACACACTCGCGAGACCTCTGGCGAGTGACCATGGGGGCGGTATCACTTAACTGGTGCCTTCTGCCCGCTTTCCCTGTTCTATAAAAATAATATTCCGTGCCCCAATTGTACCTTCAAGCGGCAGAAGCGTGTAGAGGTACCAGCAATCCTTCTCGGGGCCCATGATATAAGCTCGTCCGTCACCAAAGAACGAATCCAGAAGTTCAACCTGAAATTAAAAAATTCAAATTTATTTTGGTTTTATAGAATAATTTAATACTATTAATAAATAAATCAGTGGCGCTACAAGCTCTTTAGGTCTTGGCCTCAGATTTCGAAATCTGTTTCATGATCATTTTATCTAATAGGCAAGTAGGTGATCAGCCTCCAGTGCCTGATACACGCCGTCGACTTTTTGGGTCTAAGACATGTCGGGATCCTCACGATGTTTTCCTTCACCGTCGAGCAAATGTCAAAAGTTAAATTATTATATTACGTTAATAAAATTTACTTTCTCTCGAAATGCGAGATCTCAAAAACTGAAAGGATTTTAATTCAAAGGTTTCCAGCTGGAATCTACCTGATTTACAGAATTAAACAAAGACTTTCAGTTCCCGAGAAATTCGTAAACATACATTTACGCAATGTAGTCTCATCATATATCCACTCTAAGAAGCGAGAAGAAATACCAAGGCTTTAGTAGTACTAAACTTATTAGACTTATCCATATATTAATAGTGATCTCTTTTCATCACCTATTAACACTAACTGTCAGAAAGAGAGAATAATACTTTATATAAACCTTTTACCTTTAAACAAAGCTGTATTATAACCGAAAGTACAGTCTAATTCGTGGTTGTATCTCGAGCAAAATTTTTTAAAAGTATTTTTTAAATAGAACAGGGGGTAAACGGGCAGGAGGTTCAACTGATGTTCAGTGATACCGCTGCCCATGAACGCTCAATGTTTAAGGGCTCGCGAGTGCGCTGCCGCCTTTTAAGAATCGGTACGCTCTTTTCTTGATGGACCCTAAGTTGAATTGCTTTGGCAATACTTCAGTGGGCAGTTGATTCCACATAGTGGTGGTGCGCGGCAAAAACTGCCTTAAAAATGCTCAGTTGTGGAACGACAGACGTCGAGGTGATACGGGTGGAATTTCGTATTCTGCTTCGACATCCGATGATTCATCATCTGCTCAGCTACTCAGCTGCAGGTATTAATCCGAACGAATAAGTGCCCATATTAGAAAAGAGTGGCACTACAACCCTTTATCTTTGCCTCAGATATCATTATCCATTTCGTGATAATTTTTTCTAATAGGCAAGTAGGAGTCATACTCCTCCGAAACGGCTCAACCGATTCTTATGAAAATTTTTATGCATATTCAGTAATATGAGAATCGGCTACTATCTATCTTTCAAACCCCTAAGTGATAAGGGGTGTCCACCCGAAACAATAATTTCTTTTTTAATTTTTAAGAATTTTTTTATGATACAGCATACAAAAATACATACAACCCTTTTAACCCCTCTACGATCAACCCCTATTTTTTATTTGTTCATTAAAATCTTATGACTTGAACTCTTGAGGTTTATATAGAGAATAATTCACAGAAAACCCTAAGTAGTTTACATTCCAGAAAACCGAACAGTCTCTGGTGTAGAATAGCAAAATGTTCCATGTTCGTATGAACTAAAAAGGTAGGCTAAGTAAAATCGCATTAAGGAGAAACGAAGTTCGCGGGGGCAGCTGGTTTTTATTATATAAAAAAAATTGTTACGTGTTCAGTATATATAAATACATATAGACAATTTGCTAATCGTGATAATAATAACTTCCTCTATTTACAGTCAGAGAATCTCTTCAATGAACCGTGTTACTGATACTTCTGCGAATGACGAAACAGTATTATGATAAACAATAAATGGTCTTCATTGCGTTTGTCATTTCATTTGTAAGTTTGCAACTATGAAATCAATTTATCATTTATTCATGAGGAATAAATGCTTCTAAATTTAGAAGAGAATAGCATTTAGAGCGTAGAACGAATGAGAAGAACAGTAGCTACGTCACTTTTAAACGCCAAGATAATGTCATGAAAGTGTTTGTATAGCTGCAACCACACCATAGCTCATCACATTGAAGAAATAGAAAAGCTAGAAAAACCTACTAATAGGGGCCGTTCAAGTATTACTTAAACACTAGAGGGATGAGAGGGGTCTATGATTTTCTTATTTAGTGATTACGTCAACAGTAATTATTTACTTTTTTACAAACATTACCCTCACTTTGTATATGTATGTAAACGAAACGCATTTTCGAGGATTCCTACAAAAAAATAATACGAGTATGAACTATTATTTTTGAGAGCTTTGCTTACTTTTGCTGACAGGAGGAGAGAGGGGGGGGATAAATTGTAGTAAATCTGCTTACTTTTACTTCTACTAGATTTTTTTTATATCTACTAGTCTTTATTTTGCAATCAGTCAGCTAGACTATGAGCAGATGTGTTGAGAGCTGTTAGGCGTTCAGAGCAAAATCTCCATCGATTTGTCGCCTATTTATTATTCTAGCCTATTTATTAGGTCCGGTATGGTTAGTTGCGTGGCAAGCTTATTAGGATGCATTTCTAGCCTTTTTCTGTATTTCATACTCCAGGTCTTGATCTCCTCTTTGACAGTCCTGATTTTGAGGTGCTCATGAATCTCCGATGTTTTTATAAACCAAGGACAGTTGGATATTTGTTTCAAGATGTAATTTGGAACCCTCTGTATGATACTTATGTTAGAGTCACACGCCGAACCCCATACATGAATCCCGTATGTCCAAATTGGTTTCAAGAGCATTTCGTAGATGAGTAGCTTATTATCTTCTGACAGTTTGGAATTTCTGCCAAGAAGCCAGTAGAGTCCTCTGTCTTCTACTAGTTTAAATAAATAAAGGTTCTAAAAACCAAATAGAAGCCACATGGGAACAACACGCAAACACGTCGTATTGTCCATGCGATTTGACATACCGGAGTCGTACTTAGCGCTAAGTGTCGATTAAGAAAGAGATTATTTCTTAGTCCCAACGTTTTCTATAAACAAATAATTCATGAATCACAAACATCTATTTGCCTTAATTTGAGATTACTTCATTTAATAGCTCTATTCAATTCAATTTTGTAACCAATTTGATGCAAACATTGTTAAATGAAACATTAGAAGCCAAACAATGAAGTCACTTCCGCCTGCACTGTTTACAATCAGTAATAAGTTAATATGTGGAATAAGTAAAAAAGGCGCTACAATGCCTGGTTTTGTTTTCTTTAGTTTTCCTAATAGGCAAAACCTGTTTTCCTTGGCGTATAGATGTGGTGACCCCTCTGCACTACTACCGCATTTACCATGGAGAGTGTTCAGAGTTGTTCAAATTAATACCTGCAGCTGAGATTCATCATCGGACGTCGAGGCAGAATACGAAATTCCACCCGTATCATTTCGTTGTCCGTCGTTCCACAACTGAGCGTTTCCTAAGGCTGTTATTGCCTCGCACCACCACAATTCGACTTAGAGTCCTTCAAGAAAAGAGCGTACCAATTCTTAAAAGGCCGGCAACGCATTTGTGAGCCCTCTGGTAATGAGTGTCCATGAGTTCACTTGACATCTGATGAGCCTCTTACCCGTTTGCCCCCTGTTCACATTGTACATTTACATTACAATGTGTTAGATTTGGGAAACCTTTTAAGTAAGAAAATAGCTGTGTCAGGGTTTCCAACTCTTCCATAACAAACTTAATAATAAATTCCTTAAAATTGTGTAAGTATATAAAACTTTTGATGTTTTAGACATTTTTTTTTTAATAAACAAAATATCTTGGAATCACTCTCACCTCAGAATCAAAATTGTCGTGCGGTTTCAACTGGGCCTCAGGCCTGGCGAACTCGCGTCTAGAGTAGAAAACATTCTGCACTCTAGTATGGCCCGCAGTTTCGTACGCCAGTGCCAGCACTGCCCGTACGCATCGAAGCGGTGTCGTCCTTCCACACGTCTTTAAGATCCACCGGCGACGCGACACAAACATGCTGCTTTCGCTGAAACAATTATTTTATTATTAATTACTTAAGAGCTTTTAGAAGCAGATTTGCAAAATAATAATAATTTATTGCAAGAATAAGGTACAAAAATGTGTAAGGTGGTACAATCGTAAGTTCGCATATTCTGCCTCTGTTCTGAGTTATAACACCAGTTATAACTCGAGATCGGCTGGACCGATGTTAGTTATCTCTTTTTTTTGGTGGATTTTTCTTTCTAAAATATCGCATTAGGTATCGAATAACAATAAATTAATTAATTTTACGAATGCAAACAGTTGTTGTCTGTTGACGAAATAAGAAGGTCAAAGTCTATCAAATCATCAAATATCTGCAAATGTCACGAAAGTCAGCGATATGGCGGTTTTTGGCATCCAAACCTCTAATACCAACGAAATTAAACATTTATGTATTTGCAAAATATTGTTTTATTAATGTATTATAACATGTAGGTATTATACCTTTAATGAAATCCTGAATTAAAGAAAAAACTGTTTAACCGGATTGAAGTTATGTATTATTATAAATTCACGGTGACCAAGCACGCTGTAAAGCACGCGAAACGTCGGATAAATTTAAAATTATGTTAAATAATTGTAAATTTATAATAATACATAACTTCAATCCGGTTAAACAGTTTTTTCTTTAAATCTGTAAAGGTTATGTAAATCAAAGACAATACTATCCTGAATTAAGTTTAACTACAATACGATATTATTAGACTGTTAGGCGGAACGAAGTTCGCTGGGTCAGCAAGTAAATAATAATAATAGAATGTCCGTGTGTTTAGTCATCTGTAATTAAATAATTTCACGCATTTATAACACAAACATAAAATATATTCGTAAACGACATTATTTCAACCGCAATCACATTGTGCAATATCTAGGCAATGTCAAACAAAGCACGTCTTATTTGTACATGATTAAATTATTGTATTCATTCTAGTTATAGTTTGTTTAACGTTTGATAGATCTATTTATTTAACAAGGACACGAATTTGACACAAAGTAATGACCATCGCTCAATGGCTATTTGCACCTGGACATCTTAGAAGTCAAAACTATGGAGTCAAAAAAGGTATGGAGAAAATAGTGGGGGGGGGGGGGGGGATAGCGCTGAGCTGTACAGCATTTATTATCTAATGTATAAAATTCTCGTGTCACAATGTTCGTTCCGAAACGGCTCGACTGATTGTTATGAAATTTTTTATGCATATTCAGTAGTTCTGGGAATCGGCTACTATGTATTTTTCAAATCCTTAAGTATATCTTTTTTAATTTTTAGACTTTGTAGTTTTTTTTAATGATACAACATACAAAAATACATACAATCAGCCCTCTACGATGAACCCCTATTTTTTATTAAAGCAGGTAGTTATTTTTATTGAACTAAAACAATGTTTTACAGAAATAATATACATGGCAAAACAACGTTTGTCGGGTCTGCTAGTACTTAATAAAAATCCAGTGTTATAACCCACTGCAGTTACGTACCAATCAGAATCAAAAAAAGCGAACAAATCGTTCCCCCCCTTACCCCCACGAATTCCCTAAGGTTGTTAGTTAATCGACTAAATTACTTTAAACATATCTAGAGATGCTAATAAATGCATCTTGCCATTGTCTCTCGTTCTCAATTAATTGTTTAGTAATTGGGCGAAATACCTTTCAGCATTTAATAAAACATATTAATATTAACGTACAGAAAGTCCTCCAATTACTCTTGTGCGAAGAAAATATTTTAACAAATAATATTGGTTGGAACTCATACTCGTAAATAACGCGATATTTTATTCCCATTTCATAAATAGAGTGACGCAAAGAAAAAAAATTAAAACGGGAAATCCTAACCAAAGAGGAGATATTTGAGGTCAAAGTGGCCAGTACGACAAACGTCAATTCCATATGTTAGGACCTAATATGTAGTATAAAGTCAAGGCCTGGAATTATCTACCATAAAACAAACATTCAAACGATAAAATTGTTTACCGTCTTCGCGACGTTTTGTCGATGTTTGATTTAACGTTGTTATGATAAGAACGTGTTACTGGGTTAAATATTGTTACAATGGAAAAGTCACTTTTAAAATAAATCAGTGGCGCTACAATCTCTTTAGGTCTTGGCCTCAGATTTATGAATCTGTTTCATGATCATTTTTAAATCTAATCAATAGCTGATCAACCTCCAGTGCCTGACACACGCCGTCGACATTTGGGTCTAAGACATGTCGGTTTCCTCGCGTTGTTTTCCTTCACCAGCACACACCAAAGAAGAAATATATTAATTTAAATTGCATATTTGTATTTCTTGATCTAGTTTAATGTAATGTGTTTTTGCATGCCTTATGTGTTTCGTTAGTATGCCTTTTAAAAACTCATTTAAATGCCTCACATCAAGTTTCTTATCAAAAATCTTATTTCTTATTTCATAAAATATATTAATATACTTGAAAGGATTCAACGAAAATGGTCAGAGCTCTTAGAAAACAATACTTATAATAAGCGTCTGAAAGCACTTGATCTTACTGATTTTGAAAGTAGTCGATTAAGAATCTTATTGAAACCTTTGAAATCCTTACTTATTTTAAGTGAGAACAAACATTTGAGGGGAAGTTCTTTTAAACAGAAGACCACTCAATATAATACATATTCCCAATTAGAGTAGGGGCTGATTAGAATTGGATTCCGGAAAATTCTTTGAACACTTTTAAAAACGGGTTAGATAATATAAAAAATCCGCATATACGCGCGTATCAGCTTATTATGCTGCTAGTGTGTTAATCTACATAATAATAATAATATATGTGTGTACATATATATTTTAGTGAATAAGCTCAATTTATTATTTCATTCAAAATGGCGCTAATAAAATTAAATAACTTATTCAACTAAGTCCAACTTTTAAATCAAGACTTGAATATTATTCATTTGTCATATCAATCTCAATTCGGCCTAATTTATTGATAGCTAGAGTACCAGTAATGGGTAACCAACATTAGCAGCCTTAACCTGTTAACATTTACAAAAGGTAGGTCAATGTCATAGAAACTGTCTAAGGCATGTTGCTACTGTACGGTGTGTAATGTGTAAAAAAAACAACTGCGTAGCAGGCGACAGATGCGCAGGCCCCAATCGATCGTGTAACCTACCGCTACATTAACTCCATACACAATAAATACTGATTCCAGTACCACAGCCCATAGCTACCGATAGAAATCGAATCGCAAAACGCTACGATAACCACAGAATCGGTAATATAATAGTTATATATATTTATTCACGTTTACATAATGACTATGTTACAGCCGATGTATTCGCACGCAATTATTAAAATACTTTCCATGTTGAACTTACAATATAGTTAGTATATTTACTACACATTTAATTGACTACATTATGTACTATACACGACATTTTGAATGTTTATTCAAGTTTACATAATGGCTATGTTACAGCTGATATATTTGCACGAAATTATTGAAATCCTTTCCATATTGAACGTTTAATATTGGCTAATTACTACACATTTAATTGACTACATTATGTACTATACACGACATTTGAATGTTTATTCAAGTTTACATAATGGCTATGTTACAGCTGATACATTTGCACGAAATTGTTGAAATCCTTTCCATATTGAACTTATAATATTGGCTATTTACTACACATTAAATTTACTACATTTTATACATATACACGATATTTTAAATGTATGTAATACATAAAGATTATGTTACAGCAGTTATATATTCCCACGCAAAATCCTTTCAATATTGTCTTTGATTTATAACTTTATATCATTTTTTTGAATGCTTTTCAATTGACGTGGTCCTATAAGCCATCTCGCTACTATACTCGTTTATATTATGAGCTGGTGTAGCAAGAAGATTATTTTTTTTATAGAACAGTGCCAGAGGGCTCGCGAAGAATTGGTACGTTCCTTTCTTGAAAGACCCTAAGTCGAATTGGTTCGGAAACACTTCAGTGGGCAGCGGGTTTCACATAGTGACGGTGCGCGGAAAAACCTGCTTTGCAACGTGGAACGACGGACGTTGAGGTGATGCGGGTAGAATTTCGTAATCTGCCTCGACGTCCGATGTTGAAACTCAGCTGAAGGTAATAATCCGAACAACTCCTCTAAACACTCTCCATGGGAAATGGAGTTCATTTGTTTACCTACAACTTATGAAGGATAACACCCATTTTACAATACCAGAATCTAGTGTTCTCGTCAGAGTATGGTCACAAAGTCAAAGTTAACTTCACCTAATCCAATGTTACTTGCGCAAAGCCCCAGGTCGGAGTCATAATGATCCTTGATATGCCGTGTTATTAAATAATATTAAAAAAGGTACTTCGTTGTAATAAAAAATCTGATTACAGCATGAAATCAATAATATATTATATCATATAATATGTAATCTCACCCGTGTATCGTAAAGTGATCGTCACGGTATTATACTAACAATAGTATAGCTACTAGATATAGCTACAAAATATATATAGAAACTTCGAGACCCTTTTTTTTAATAAGGTGAAAATGCGCTTACGCAGGCCCGCGCCATGGATGTCGAGCTTGACGCGGGGACTGTGGAGCTGTGTCTACACTCAAATCCCTTTGCTATTCAGAGTGGTAGTCAGACCCCACCCACTAAAACACGTCAGCCCTTCACACGCCCTTAAGATGGGCCCTCGGGGTTCGAAAAACCTCGAGACTAAGTGTATGTGGTCTCTAGCTTAGTGGTTAACGAAATCTTTATTCGATCTCCGGCGAAAAATCATTCAAATCAAATTACTTTGGAGAAGTATATAAATTTGAATTTCGGTAATCATTTATTTCAGTTGGAAAATAAAAAAATCAAATAGTATAAATAATGAGGGATGCATCGGGTGGCCTTATCACTAACAAGCAAGCTCTTCCAGGCAACCCTACTAAGAAAAAACACTGAAAAAAGAAATACTAAGGGTAAAGTGCAAGAGCAGTGT